CCAAATCAAACTACGATACTTGATGTCTGCAAGCGCAAGCAGTGCTTATAAAAAACGATTACTGGGATATCGTGAGTGGCGAAAAGATATTGTTACCACAGGCAAATGATGCAGAGACGTCGGCATTCAACAAAGAAGACTTAAAAGCCAAAGCTGAAATTCTACTCCTGTTATCGCCGTCGGAGCTTAAACGAATTAAGACATGCACAACATCCAAGTCAGTGTGGGACAAACTAAAAGCCACCTATCAAAGTACCGGCCCTGCCAGAAAAGCGACTTTGTTAAAACAATTAGTTTTAAAGCGAATGACCACAGACCAAGATATACGCGATCACATAAATGATTTCATGGACGTCGTGGACAAACTCGCTGATATGGACATAAAAGTTCCGCCAGAATTACTAAGCATAATGCTGCTCTACAGTTTACCTTCTTCGTTCGAAAATTTTAGAATATCTATAGAGTCCAGGGATGTACTGCCAAATCCTGAAATTCTTAAAGTGAAGATATTGGAAGAATTCCAAGCCAGGAACGGCAGCGAACAAGCTGGAAATTCAGAAGCCTATCACGTGAAGAAGACAAAGCATAAAATGTTCTGCAAAAACTGCAAAAAGAACGGTCACGCCACAGAGGCTTGTTGGAGTAAAAACAAAAAACCTAACGGTAAAAGCATACAGCATATTCGGATACAGATACGAATGTTTGGTGTCTCGACAGTGGATGTTCATCACATATGTGCGGTGACAAATCCATGTTTACGAACATGACAGCTGAAAATGCCAGCTTAAAGTTAGCTTCAAATAAATACTCAGCAGAAATTAAAGGAAAAGGGAAGGTGACCGTGAGTACCGAGAATGAAATTTGCAATTTCACCGACACTCTTTTTGTTCCTGAATTATCAGTCAACCTATTATCTGTAGGAAAGATAACAGACAGAGGTTATAAAGTCGTGTTTGAAAATGACAAAGCATACGTCATAAAGAAAAATTGTAACAGAACATTGACAGCACAAAGAAGAAATGGGCTCTTATTTTATAAATTTCCTAAGGGAGGCTTCACACTTCATAGAAAACGAAGACACCAACATGGAATGGCATCGAAAGCTTGGCCACCTAAATGAAAGAGACCTAAACAAAATGGCCAAAGACGACCTCGATGTATGGTTTTGGATACAAAAATGAAAAATTAGGTACGTGTGAAACCTGCATCAAGGGCAAACTATCGAGATTACCGTTTACAAGGCATGATCTGTATACGACAAGTGTTCTGGAAATTATCCATAGCGACGTTTGTGGGCCTTTTGAGTGCGAAACACTTGCGGGAAATAAATATTTTGTCACATTTATTGATGACTATACGCGTTATTGTGCCGTACATTTCATTAAAAGGAAGAATGAAGTATTCAATGCATTTAAAGAATATAAAAATGAAGTTGAAACATTCCACAACAAAAAGATTATACACTTGCAAACAGACAATGGTACAGAATATCGAAACAAAGAGTTGGCGATTTTCTTACATACCTGAAGATGACAACGTAGTGACTAGTAGAGACGTAAAGGTAATAGGCAAAATGTACTACGAAGAAATCAGAGAAAGTTATGATAATCTCGTAAATGAAGGGGAACAGCAATACAAGGCACCTGAAATAAAAAATAAGGTTAAACACAATGGAAACAAAAAATTACAACCAATAGAAGTAGAATTTTATGAAAACAATCATGAAAACAAGAACTTACCATAATTTCAAGAAGAAATAGATTCTTACGACAGCACTTCAGATCGAGAACCTGTGGAAATATCGAAGAGTGGGAAGCCAAAAAGAGATAGGCACCCACCAGCATGGACAAAAAACTATGTTCTTGATGAAGCCGAAGAAAATCATTTATTTTCAGAGATGTCTTACCTTTCCAATGAAGATGAGGACGATGAATACTGGCACGATGCGATTAAATCTGAAATAAGAGCACATGTCAAAAATGGCACCTGGAAAATTGTAAAGAAAACGAAAGATATGAAAGAAGTAGACTATAAAATGGTACTTAAAAATAAAACAGGACCAGACAATAGTATTACCAGAAAAGCCAGACTCGTAGCTAGAGGATTCACGCAAAGACCGGGCCTGGATTATAATGAAACTTACGCCCCCGTCACCAGATTAAGTTCGATAAGATCTGTCATTGGTCTAGCTGTGGAACAAGGAATAAAACTGAACCAAATGGATGTGACCACAGCGTACCTAAATGGTGAGTTGGAAGAAAAAATTATAATGAAGTGTCCTAAATATTTAGAAGAATATTTAACAGAAATTATGATCGATGAGAGTACGAATGAGGATGTGACGATGTATAATAAAACAGTAAATATGTTGAAACATATAAAAAATAATGAAAAAGGAAAAGTATGCCATCTTATCAAAGCTCTGTATGGACTTAAGCAGGCAGGGAGGCAATGGTATAAGAAACTCGACACTGAGCTAAAGAATGTCGGATTCAAAGCTTCTGAATCTGACCCATGTATATACCTACTGGAGAAAAGAGGAGCAAAAATTGTAATTGCGATTTATGTCGATGATTTATTGATTGCCTACTCATAGTCAAGGATGTTACAGGAAATTAAAAATCTCCTTAATACAAAATTTGAATTGAAAGACCTGCATATACCAAAGAGGCTCATTGGCATAGATATCACCAATGAAAATGGTGGAATCAGGCTAAACCAAGAGAGATTCATAGAAGACACACTCAAAAAGTTCAACATGGAAAATTGTAAGCCTGTATCAACACCCATAGAGCCAGATCTTAAATTGCAGAAGAATGATAAGATAGAAAGAAATGATCTGCCATACAAAAACCTTATCGGTACACTCATGTATATTGCCGTTGCAACTCGACCGGACATCATGTATGCCATCAGCTATCTCTCCCAGTTCAATGATTACTACGGAGAAGAGCACTTTAAGTCCGCAAAACGTGTACTAAGGTACCTAAAGGGGACGAAGACCGTTGGCCTTACATTCCAAAAGAGTGGTCAAGATTTATATGGCATGGCCGATGCAGATTGGGGTTCATGTAAAGTAGACCGGAGATCTTTTTCGGGTTATGTTTTCAAGTATGCAGGAACGCCCATAAGCTGGATGTCTAAGAAGCAGAGAAGCGTTGCCTTATCGACTGCGGAGGCAGAGTACGTCGCATTGACGGAAGCTACAAAAGAAGCAATCCATCTAAAAGGCCTCTTCGAAGATTTAGGTGTGAAATTTGAGCACATAACTATTTTAAATGACAATCAAGCAGCTATCAAATTAAGCCAAAATACATTGGTAACTTCTAAATCAAAACATATACATCTGAAGATACACTTCATCAGGGCGTGCATCCAAGAGGGAACAATAAATGTAGAGTATCTGCAAACCGAAGAAATGGAAGCAGATCTTCTCACTAAGGCTTTACCTGGTCCACGACTGTTAAAGTTGATATGCAAGTTAGGACTGACCTAATCTTCATTACAGCGCCGTGAAGAGGAGTGTGAGTACTGGCACAACGCTGTCAATAAAGAGAGTAACCAAAAACGAATTTGTACGTCAACAAAGATTACTATATTATATCTTGTCAATGCTTGATTGTAATTCGTTAATTATATAACAATGTTTGTTTCACAAAGTCTTTTCATATAAGCAAACCCTCACAACAAACATTGACTTTTTTTTTCAACACTGAACTTAGCGCGCTCTGCTGGTGCATTTGAAAACTAATTCACGTTCCAATTAAGCATCAGCATGTCAGTTGTCAGTTCACACAAGTATGAAGTGGCGAATAGCATTAATAATTTTAGAGCTTCCCCTGCCAGCTCTGGATATTCGTGTTTTCTTTTCATCCAAAATACGTGGACACTGCGAATAAAGTTCCATTTTCAGCATGCATGAGAGATTCTTTCATATTTATGGTTTTTGACAAAGGATTAAATGGTTAATGTGAAAGAGTGTCTGTCCATTTCATAAAAACTAGGTGTGACAAGAACTGAACAGTCCTATCCTAGCGTTCCAACGTACAAAAAACTAGCCGTTTATGATAAAATATTAAATTATTTTGCATAAAGCTAATTTAATCAAATTGCACCTTGATATGAAAAAACGACTATAAAACTTAAACTAAAGGTCACAATCAGCAAGTTTTTCTATTACAGGGTTACTTTTCTGTAATACAATTTTTTCCACATGGTACTCTTAAAGTGAGAAGTAAGTTTTTGTAACGCTTCAAAGATTACGAAAAAAAAACATAGCTCGTTAAATTTTATACCAAGAGCTCCAATACAATTTCTGTGGTATTGATACATAATCCAGTCAAAAGGAAAACCAAAAAGATTGAAACAACACTGGTTTAGACCAATCAAACTACTGAATCGTACTCTCTCTCCTTGGTTATCTTGAGGAGTATCAACTGATCAGTGACCGTCAATACGGCTTTTGCCGAAATCTATGAGCTGTCGACTTGCTCCTTTGCCGTAACCACCGAATCACTGATGATGGGCACAGGCCTTTGAGTATAATCAAAGGCACAGACCATTGAGAGCAAGGTTGAAGCAATTTTTATCAATCTTGAATTAGCTAACGGCATTTGATAGGGTCTGGCCAAGGGCAGTTCTGTCCAAGCATCCATCTTATGGTATCTGTGATGGGTTATGCAAATGGATTGCCAGCTTTCTGTCAAAACACAGCATACGTGTTCCATGTCCCACAAGGATCAGTTCTGTCGTCCACGCTGTTTATTTTGCATAATAATAATTACTTGTTAACAAACCTAAAAACAGCATTTAGTGCTAATGCAACAAAGAGCACTGGTGGCGTCACTTATCACATTGGTCGCCCAAATATCCCTCGGATATACAATTCTTATTTGTAGCAACTAGGAGCGATGCACGGGAAGTTCTCTACGCACTATCCAGCAACACCCCGCATCTGCCTTAAATTGTCTATGGTACCTACCATATACAATTTACCGACTGGTAACATTCTACGCCGGAAACAAGCTGCAACTCATATGTTTCACAACCTGCCTAAATCTCAGCCAGCCATCTTTTTGTGGAAAATCATTTGTTTCGTATCGTCAGGGTAAATTTCACAATTGTAATTAATGTCAGAGCCACAGTCTTCGCTTTTATTAAAAAAGCAGCTAGCAGGTACGTTATAGTGCGTTGAAAATAATTTGTCGAGTCACTCTTTCTTCGAGCGTCAAAATGACTTGTCGTGGAATCATTGACCTTAGCGGGTCGAATTTTGGGCATCTTTGCAATTTGGAAAAAACATTAAGGTAAAATCTTTCTTCGTTCTGCCCAGTTGTTAATTCACGATAATTATCTAACAGTCGCGTTGTTGGGAATAAAATCAATAGTAGGCGCAATGACAGCTATTCTTATCGAAATGAAGGAGCAAAATAACTTGCAAATTATATTTACAATTCCTTCTGGCAATGATTCTTATAATTTCAAAAAAAGTGAAGATTGGTCAATATCTAAGAGCTCTACAGTTACAGCTGTATTTGTTTCAGAACTGAACAAAAATCCAGTAGAAGGTTTTTCTGCTGGATTGATAGATGACAATGATATTTATAGATGGGAAGTACTCATTATTGGACCTCCAGATACATTATAGTGAGTAGGAAGTATTGTAGATGTTTCTATTTTTGTGTAATGCTAAATCAATTCGTTCTGTAACATTATTCAACAATTGAGTTTTGAGTAAATATGAGTCTTTTTTTCAGTGAGGGTGGATTCTTCAAAGCTCATTTGCATTTTCCTAAAGAATATCCTCTAAGGCCACCACGAATGAAATTTGTTACTGAAATATGGCATCCAAATAGTAAGTTCTTTATAACTGTTAAGTTGGATAACATTTTCCTGCACAATTAAAAAAATCTTTTTCACCTTTATTCTGGGATGCATGTCATGAGGACCAAGGTAGCCAGGACCAATATTTTAATAGCTGAATTTAGTCACCTCACTGACAAAGAATGAAATTTTGATGACTATATTAATTAATGAAATTAAACTAAACAGGTGGATTAGTTGAAATAGTAAAATAAATTAATTTTCAGTTGAAAAGAATGGTGATGTATGCATATCAATACTGCATGAGCCTGGAGATGACAAATGGGGTTATGAAAAAGCATCTGAGAGGTGGCTACCAGTGCACACTGTAGAGACCATCCTTATAAGTGTCATCTCTATGCTTGCTGATCCAAATGATGAAAGTCCTGCTAATGTTGATGCTGCGGTTAGTAAGCTAATCAGATATATTTTTATTCATTATTAATTTAACATCAGGATGATTATACCCTTTACACATAAAATACTTTTTATCAGTTCAAAACCACATCTTGTTCCATTAGTGAACCACTTATGGAACAAGATGTGGTTTTAGACAGTTATTAAGATTTATTATAATTTGCTTCTAAGGGCCCTTTCAATTTATGCGTTTCTTGACGGCCTGCTGCGGTGCCGAAGCGGTGCGTTTGTCGTACAGCATATGGACGATCCTTTTTTTTCATACAAAATGTACGGTGCGTTTTGTATGAAAAAAAGTATATATTGAAAGAGCCCTAAGTGTCATCTTTTTGATACTACTATAGCAATTATAAAATTAACTTATCCTTTAATTGTAATTAATGATTTTCTTTACTTATGAATATTAATTTATTTTATAAAAAAACTTGTAACAATTAAAATTGTTACTTCTATTCAGGCATACTTTATTTTTAAGTTAGTATTACACTCATATTATAATGGATTAATTGTAAATGTTATAATTGTCATTTATATTTTATAAGTAAAAATTTACAGACAATGATAATTTCGTAGGTAAATCATTTTACATTATACAAGGTTACATAGCTTTTGCATTTCTTTTACTGTATATTATGTATGTATAATTAACTTTATTATTATTTGTATCCACAGAAAGAATGGAGAGAGCGATATTCGGATTTCAAAAAGAAAGTTGCCAGATGTGTTAGGAAAAGTCAAGAAGATTGCTTTTAGGAGTGAGGGAAATTTAGATCACAGAATAGTATCATTGAAAAAGGGCCATGGGACATTTATATTCACATGATGCTGTGTTAATCACTTAGATTAGGTCACTGCGCCAACTGATCTCAAACACCAACTGAAGCATATCATTTGTAGATGTGTGCTCATTATATTTCTTTTTGCAGAAGGAATGGAGAGAATCATATTCGGAGTTTAAAAGGAAAGTAGCACAGTGTGTGAGAAAGAGCCAAGAGGATTGTTCCTAAATACAGTGCCCTTTTTCATTAATTTAGTTGGATAGTGAGTGTTTGGTGATTCAGTTAGGACGTTGAAGAAGGCCCTGTGTGACATAAGCCCTTACACCTGGGCCAGAGACAATATTGAAATTGATTAAAAATACTTATTGTAATTAAATGGTATCGCTGCCGTATTTTATAAATATTAAATTAAAAATAGAGTTTGAGGTCTTTTTCATCTTTTTTAAGACGTGTTAGCTAGCTATTGTTATAATAATAAAATGTGTATGGTAATTTTTTTAAAGATGAAAAGCATCTGAATTTTTATCCACTTCATCACTTCACATTGTGGTAAAGATTTATTGATCTCTCTCTGTAAAGTAGAAACCAAATTAAAAAATGAAATTGACTCCTGTTTACTTTTTGTTACTTATTTTTGTGTAATAAATAATAATTTGTAACATGCAATAACACAACAATAAATAGAAAAATCGTAAAAGATTTTAAATCTTATAATGTGTATGTAAAGTGTTAGTTACCGAAACAATGAATGTATACATTGGTCGCTTCTCTGGAACACAATTTTTATTCTAGTGCTAATTTTAGTAGTAAATTTAATAACTAATTATAATTTTTACTAAATAAAAAACAATTTTGTAAACTTCAAATTGTATCGATTCAACACCTAGCCCTATATTATCTTTATTCTAAAGTTATGTGAAATAATACATACTTAGCTGGCATTATGCAATGGATTTTCCCCATAAAAGTTCTGTTATATATACGTCGTATCTTTGTATGCAGTGTCATGCGGGGAGTATTTGTTACCATTGCAACTTCACAAACCCCAATCATAGATTTTCTTCATTAAACAAGAATTTGTGAAGTGTGTATATATTTTTACTGTGTATGTATATTTTTTGCTATAAAATTATAATGCAGTGATAACTGTTTTTTCATTTGCAAGAAAGCCCATATAAATATGTAAATTTAAAGTATAAAGTGCCACCTCTCCATGGGTGAGAGAACTGTTGCTGCTCTTGCTGTAGCATCAAATTCGATAAGTATGCACTGACAAATGGTTATTTAACCACTGTCATATATACCACATATTATTTTGCAGGATAATAGTTATGAAATTGTGACTCAATAAAACTGATTATAATTGGCACCAAATGATATTCCACTTAATAGTGTAAAAAGAGTGTTTCACTAATAGTTATGGATCTAAGGTAAAGAGTAGTGCTGCTTGGTTGAGATCACCTCCATCCTCCATACATCTATCTCCAAGCCCACTGTGGAGTTAGTAAGGACAGGTTTATTAATTATTTTTTATTCATTGAAAATTAAAATTATTTAACTGTCCAAATAGCAAATTACTTAACTGTGATAATGATCTGATTTGATGGTGCTGCACTTTAAAGTTTCATATATGTTATGAGAATAAACCTTTGATATAAATTAGTTACATTTTTTTTAATCACAACATTTTTATTAATAACAATAGGTAATTTGAGTAAATGATACATTACTCACTATCAGAGTTCTCTGCCAAAACAACTCTTTGAATAGCTCTAGGGTCAAAAGTGTTTTCAAAGCATCTCTTAAAAACAGATTTAATCATAGTTCTTGATGTGGGTGAAGCTGGAATATTATCATTGTTCATAATGTTACTGCAGTCTAAGTCAATTTGTTTATCAGAATTTTCATTTTCAATGTTATTTCTGATTTTTTCTTCAGGTATATCAATAAAATTAAATAAATGCGAATCTTCATCTAAGCATTTTGATATATCAGGCTCCAAGTGTGGTTTCTTTCTTGATGTATTCTGAATGCTATTATCTTTTCTTTTACTTCTCTCTGTTTTGGAGGTGTTTTGAGTTGATGTTGCTTGAGTTGGAATATCAGCTTTAGATGTTGCTAGGACAAAATGTGCTTCAAATGTCACACCATTATGTACAATGAAAACAGCAGGTCGTCCAGTAGTTTCAAAGTGTAGTTGCAGAGGTAAATTTAGTGCTTCAGCAAAAACAAGTAAAGCTTTGAATTCTTTAATTGTAAATGTGATTGTTGTCTCTTCACCAATTAAGTAGCTATCAAATTCAGCCTCCTTGAGATTTATTTGTGTCCTTATGATCTTTGTCAAGTCCATATTTGAGTCCACATAGTTCCGCAGGATTAATGAATGTGTTGTAGCCTCGATTGTTACTTGGTCATCAGAATTTTGAAAGTTACTAAGAGCTTCTGATAATATTCTTTGTGGTGAAGTTATTCTGCAGATATTAACAGCTTATCAATTTATATTATTTTTTTATCAAAAATAATTTAAGAATACAATGTAACAGCATAAAATAGCTAACACAAAAGGAAGATTAAAAGAATCTCTTTAATTTTATCATAATATACATTTACTATAATGTGATGTTATAATAGTGTTATCTTCGTGGTAGCTTTTGGCTAGAAATTAAATAAAAATGTATTACCTGTTGGGTACTAAATCTTTGGTATAAACTGCTTGCATGGCTTTACAATCTAAAATTGTTACATAATGTGTCTTCACAATTCCATGTTTACACTTTATCTGGAAGATCAATTTAGATGCATCAACATCTAGTTTCATCTCTAAGTTTTCTACTTGTTTATCCATGTGGGAAGGAGATTTAAAGGTGTTTAATGCTGATTTCATTGATATTTTACATTTCAAACCTTCATTATCCTCAGTAGAGTAATAATTGTGATTAAAATAAGAAAAGAAGTTTTTGTTGAATTTAACCATGGCGTAAGCAGATTCTGCTGCATTTAATGTTCTTAATAAAATGCTGTCTGGAAGTGACTCCAGATAGAGCTCATCCCCAAATCTGGCGAGAGCATGCACTGTCCTTCCTAGAACTAAAAAATAATTAGTGATTTACAGAAAGAAATCTCGATCACCTTCGCCTGCTTTATTTACGGACCTTTCACATTGGGCCCTGGGATATGGCATTTCATCTTGAACTTCCAGTTTGGTAATGGAAGATAGTAAAACTAAAGTTTCTAACAACATTGACTTATAAAGAAACGATAAGAAATAATTTTCCGTATTTACATTCACATCGCCGCGCGTGAATTTGACAAATCAAGTTTGACATTGATAGATAGGGCTGCCATCTCTAAAATGTGGCAACCAGGATCAGAGGCGTGATAACCCCGGATTTCGGAGCCCAGAACCCGGACAGACCAATAAAAAAACAGTTAAAAATGTCACAAATCAACTTTTTTTTGTTGATCTAGGTAAAAGGGTAAGCGGTCTACCTCATAATAAGTGGTCACTACTGCCCATGGACACTTGCAACACCAAGGAAAGCTGATCTTTGTTGGAAGTCTGCATTTATGGTTACAGTGTTAGAATAGATTTATTAATTTTCAAAGACATTTACATTTACGGATTAATTGGCAACCCGAAACAGGAAATTTTTAAACTCGGACAACAAATGAAACCCCGCCCGGACGCTCCCCGGACGCCCCGTAAACTAGGACAAATCCGGGGAAACCCGGACGGATGGCAGCCCTATTGATAGACAGAGACAATACATTATTTTATTGGTAATTTCTCTTATTTTAAGTAGGCAAAGGATATTAATTTTACGCAATTTAATTGAATAGGCTAGTTTACTCATGTCGAATTGTATTAAATAAATGTTTATTTCTTAAAGTATTTAGTCTAAGGAACCTTAATATATCGATTTCACTTCATAAAAGCAGAAGATTGCTGTAGAAATTTAATTTTAAAAAATATTTTTTAGTCTATATTTTTTAAACACTAAAAACGCTGTTCGCCACATCCGCCATGATTTTGACGTCTCTTGTGGTAAACAACTATATGTCATTCGCGTGTTACTGTAGGTGGATTCTTTCGTCTGACTAAATTTATCTTAAAACACTTTTAACTTTAGGAAAGAAAAAACAGTAAACTTAGTTTTTTTTGACAAAACTAATTATGGATGCGGGCTTTGTGAAAGCAGAAAGCACAAATCTTCCAAGAATTGACGCATTGATGGTTGGTGAATTTGTTGCACTAAACCCCGATTTCTGCTCTGCGGAGCAGAGAAACGACAAGGCATCTATGTAAGTACAGTGCATTTAGTATTACAATGAAGTAATAAACATAAAACTGATACAACATATGAATAAGTGTAATAAAGTTGCGTAGGTTCATTTCTTTCGGCACTTTCACAACTTTCCTGGAGTCTTCAAGGATGTGTTTTTATATTCTAGTACAATACAGTAATGATAATTACTTTATTTTTCGTGGTATTTATTAGAAATCATGTTTTTTTTTTATTATAAACTCAGTTAAAAGTAATTTTCTACGTGTTTACGAGTTTTTGTTTACCGCAGTTCACGTCATAGCATAGATAATCTATAGACTAAAATGGCCGACAGCGTTTTTGTATGTCCATGAAAAGTCTATTTTAAAATTAAGGATTTGTAGCTTTCTAGGTTTAAAAAAAATACGATACATTTTTTTTCGGTCTAATAGAACATTTATTAACCATTTAAAACCTTTTTCCAAAAAGGGTCAACTAGCCTATTGTGTAATGTTGCGGGTGTGGGGCATTGACTTATTATATATTTGTTTTCTCAACTTGCTATTTGTATCAGCAGATGCACTTAATTCAATTTGGTTGAACGTTGTCCAGTATTAAAAATACCATTCATTCATTTTTCGTCACATCACTATGAATTTCTACCTATTATTTTTGTCATTCTTTTGTGATTGCGCGCCTTTTCTTTAAATTGAATTTTATACTAGAATACTAACTTTTTAGAGCTTATAAATACTTATATATGATAGGAACGTGGTGTATGTTTCAGCAGGATTGAAGTGGCAAATCGGTTTTTGCGTGGGAAAACAACTTAATTTTCTAGTTTTGTAGGAGCGATGGTAGCGGTCGTGCGTTAACTTAGTTTTATATAACGCATATGGTCCCATGGCCACGTACTTTGCCGAAGGTGTTTGCCCGCCTATTCCAGCTCCATTGGTATATGCTCTAAGCTTAGAACAGTGTGTTGCCTAAAAGCTATTCTAGACGGATGTTATCCAGCGTTTCAACCAAGGTGACCTTGGTGGGAAGTTGGTTTCCATCTTGTTATAAAACCTATTTTGGTTTATATATGTACTTATATGTTTGTTTTTAATCTAAAATTTAAATATGTGTCAAGTCAGCTGATTTTAATTGTCAATTAAAACTCTTGCATCACGCACGTACAAGCTTTTATTTCTACAATTATACAACAAAATCGTTATCAGCACAAAGGCTCCGTATATTTTCTCTTTTCAGTAGAGATATTTGCGTGATATTTGTGTCCCAAACCTGTAGGGAATATTTTTGAAATATGCCCGGAGATGGTGTTTCCATCACACCCGTAAGTGTAACAACAAGTAAGTCTCTTCATAGAGCAACAGGTTCTTTATCTCAGCAGGTACGATTTTTAAGCCGTAGGAATGATTATTCCGATTGGAAATTCAAAATGAATATGTACCTACTACACGAAGATTTGTGGGAAACGATATTATGGTTACCCTGAAAATGACGTTACGCCTGCTACCGTAAAGATCGCAAATGATTAAAAGCTCTATCCAAAATTTGTCTGATCTTGGAAGGTCCCGCTGTGACACATGTTCGGCAGGCTGAATTGAAAAAATTTGGCAGGCAAAACATGCATTGGGCTTTTTGGCCGCTGCGTTTGAAGTTTTTGTTGTCTTGTTTGTTTGTTGTTTGTTTTACACAAATTCAAATTTGTCTAAAATTCAAAAAGTGGGCATTGCCTTAGGAGTTTTGAGGGCAATAGACGACGAAAAACAACACAAAAAGAGAAAGTGGATGAAGCGTTGGTTAAAAGCGCGAACGATTCTCAGCCAATCAAACTTATGTCCAACTCCCTATACTTTTCGAGTAATATCACCCACGCATTTTTTTTGACAAGCATCTTTATATGATTCCGACGTAATGTCCCATAAGCATGGGATATCTCTATAGAGATCAATTAGTTCGCTAGTGATATCGCGTTCGCGACTCTGGTCTTCGGACGACATTTTTACATGCATAGGTACGTGCGCACCAGCTGACTGCCACAGCGCAACTGTCTTTGGTTAGATATAATCCGCCGGCCAAACGGTTGTAATCCACGCGCTCAAACCGCAGATGTAAACACGCGCCCGTAATTTAAGGACGTTAAAGGTCAAATCAATAGCAACAGGCAAGGTCACCTTGCTTGGTACGCTGGATTACATCCGTCTGGCATAGGTCTCACATCCGTCTGCTGGAATAGGTCTAAAAAGATTAAGGTAGTTTTCCAATTACAGCACTAGGGCGCATTATGCCTATCGTTGAATGTTTCAAGTACAGCAACGCTTCGCACAATCGAGCACTTTCAAAATTCACGTTCCTGCATACCTATTTTATATTTGCTAGGTATAGCAATTCGCCATGCAGGACTCAAGACGCACCCTGCTCGGTGTTAACCAAAAACAGATATCGCCATAAGGCATTCAGTAATATCGACCGTTAATAACGCGCCTATGGGGGGGAGGTCTAAAAGGAGCGGCGGTTGGTTGGTTGGTTGGTGATGACGGTAGTTTTCCAATTACAACATTATAGCGCATTATGCGGCATAATGCTTAACGTTGAATGTTTCAATTACAACAACGCTTCGCGCAATCGAGCACTCTCAAAAATAATTTTTTCGTGTGATGCGTTCAATCGATTTCGTTTCATTGTAGTATACAGGATTATACTTTTGAAAAACATTGCAATTGCTTGATCGAATCATTAAATGACGCAGGCAATCATCAATGTTTTTGTGGAAAAGAACATATTTATCAAGCTGATTTTGAACACTGAACTTAGCATCAGCATAATTCGGCATTGTGTGCCACTGAGTCGCATTAGGGTACGGCCACAGTGCAGGCAGATTCAGACTCAGAAAACAAGCGCGAGAAATAAACAGTGCAGTTTAAGCAGGGTGGCCATAGTGACAGCAGGCAACTTGCTTAAACTACACTGTTTATTTCTCGCGCTTCTTTTCTGAGTCTGAATTTGATTCTGAATCTGCGTGCACTGTGGCCGTACCCTTATGCTCTGTAATTGGAAAACTACCGACGTTAAACTGTGTGGTGCTGGTCTAATCCCGGTATTTCACATGGCTATTCGAGTTTGCTATTAGTATGTGTTCCTATTTTATTAAAAGTCTGTTTTTTATTCTCAGATACAAAAATGATAGTACCTGTGCTGCCGGGTTATTTCAGTTCTCAAATAGCGTTATATTACTATCGGAAATTAACGCTCATACAATATTTAGTATCGTTTTTTACAGGATTCCCAGTTATGAGAGAGTTTATGAGCAACAGTAACCGCTCGCCACCTAGCGGCATGTCTACCTGCATGTCGTTGTTTTGATATAAAATTAAAAACGGACTTGATAATCCAAATTTACCATTTAAAAGTCAAAAATGATATTGAAACAAGAAATAAATTTTAATTTATAATCGGAATAAGTTCGTGTTTTAATCTCGACCCTGCCCTACTTCCAAATCATAATAGAACCCACCTGATTTCGTGTGAGTCGTATTTTATTTTTAACTTTTTAATTCCAATTTTAATTCTTTGTTTTCATAATATTTTTATTTCGTCAATTTTACTGTAAACTGTACTGTATAGAAACAATAAAAACCCTATTTAAGCCGTATACAAATAATAATTGGTAGCATGAAAATTACATCGTCGAAGTCCAATAAAAATGCTCATAAAATAAAAACTACTTGGCCAAACTAAATTCACGTGACAAAATGGCGAGTATTCTGCATTGGACCCAAAATGAATAGGCTAGTTGACCCTTTTTGGAAAAAGGTTTTAAATGGTTAATAAATGTTCTATTAGACCGAAAAAAAACGTATTGTACTTTTTTGAGACCTAAAAAGCTACAAATCTTTAATTTTAAAATAGATTTTTCATGGACATACAAAAACGCTATCGGCCATTTTAGTCTATAGATTATCTATGCTATGACGTTAACTGCAGTAAACACAGAGAAAGGTAAATAAACAAAAACTCGTAAGAAAATAACTGACTTTATAATAAACAAAAGATGATTTCTAATAAATACCCCGAAAAATAAAGTAATTATTATTATTGTATTGTACGAGACTATAAAAACACATCCTTGAAGATTCCAGGAAAGTTGTGAATTAAAAGTGCCGAAAGAAATTAACCTACGCAACTTTATTACACTTATTCATATGTTGTATCAGTTTTATATTTATTACTACATTGTAATACTAAATACACTGTACTTACATAGATGCCTTGTCATTTCTCTGCTCCGCAGAGCAGAAATCGGGGTTTAGTGAAATAAAATCACCAACCATGAATGCGTCGATTCTTGGCAGATTTGTGCTTTCTTTTTTCACAAAGCCGGCATCCATAATTAGTTTTTTCAAAAAAAAGCAGTAAACGGAAACTTTTCTAAAGTTAAAAGTGTTTTATGATAAATTAAGTCAGATGAAAGAATCCACCCACAGTAACACGCGAATGACATTTAGTTGTTTACCATATGAGACGTCACAATCATGGCGGATGTGGCGAATAGCGTTTTTAGTGTTTAAAAAATATAGACTAAAAAATATTTTTTAAAATTAAATTTCTACAGCAATCTTCTGCTTTTATGAAGTGAAATCGATATATTTAGGTTCCTTAGACCAAATACTTTAAGAAATAAACATTTATTTAATACAATTCGACATGAGTCAACTAGCCTATTATGAAAGTTGGATCAGAATTCATGTGTACATACATAAATAAAACATACCGACCAACTGAGCACCTTTTGGAAGTCAGTTTAAAATATGCACATGAGAATAAATACTTAGATTTTGTACGGTAGCAAATTGAAGAGAGTAATGAGAGGCCTAAAGCTAAAAATATAAAATTACTTATATTAATATATTTTCAACTTCTTTATGAAAATCATGAATAAAACATTATTTACACACAAGGAGATTTGAAGTTCATAATAAGATAAACATATTTTATTAATCAATTATGAATTTTCTGAAACATCATCATCAGACTCGGCATCTATTACTACAATAGAAGTTCAGTAATGTTGATTATATGACCTAGTTGACCGTTTTTATTCAAAATGAATAACACATAAAATATTATGTATTTTAATGTATAATACATAAAATATTAAGTATTGATAAAGTGTGCTATAATTTTTTTTTTAATTTGGAAAATATCAATAATATAAAAAAATAGCCGACAAATGATAATAAAAACTTAAAAAACCGGTATCGCGGGTACAACACTACATAATAAAAGCTGGTATCATTATTTACCACTTGACATTTGCATGTGTCTTTTTGTCTCCAAGATAAAATTACAGTAGTCGCGTATTACATTTGAAACCTCACCTTGTATTAGTAAAAAAGAAGTAATACTTACTGCAAAAGGAATACGCCATTTGAACATTATGTTCTAAAATCAAATCAAATAGCGCGCGCTTTCACGACTTCCTGTTACACACTTCCGTCCCATTTCACGAAATCACTCTCAAATCAGGAAAGCTGATGTTACACATCAAAAACAGACTTTTAGTAAAGTAAGTTTGACATTAGTCTGTTCTTTTCATTATTTATAAAGTATGGGTGCGGCCAGAGTGCACTCAGATTCAGAGTCAGATTCAGATTCTGAAAACAAGCGCGAGAAATAAACAGTGTAGTCTAAGCAAGTTGCCGGCTTTTTCTCGCGCTTTGTTTTCTGAGTCCGAATCTGAATCTGAATCAGGAGTGCAATCTGGCCGTACCCTTCGACTACACTGTTTATTTCTCGCGCTTGTTTTCGAAATCTGAATCTGAGTCTGAATCTGAGTGCACTCTGGCCGCACCCTATGATAAGGACAGACTGTTGTCAAGTTAACAAAAAGATAGCATATTATCCCTTGCCGGTATTTCACTTGATTGTTCGTGTTTGCTACTTGTTAATTTGGAAACATTCTGCCCACATCGTGTTTTATAGGGAATGAAAAGGACAGACTGATGTCAAGTTAACAAATAACAAACACGATTATTTAAGTGTCGGCAAGGTAGTTTTAAGGAGTTTATGTTTTTTAATAGGTACTTTATAGACATGGGCGTTTTTGGTTTTGAACGCAAACGGATATTTATCGGATTTCAGATTTCAAAATCGATTTTAAAATCCGTTTTTAGATATCCGATTTCAGATGTGCCGAACTTAGCCAATTCACTAGTTTGTGTTATGATTTGGTTTTATTAGCTAACGACAATCACAAACAATTAATTGTACGAAGCAAGGATACTCGTAGATTTGCGCGATTTTCCTTTATGCTTTAAATCGAGGCTTAGGCAAGAGTATATATTCTGTGGCTTAGGACTAGCAGAAAAGTTATCTTTACGGTTAAAAGTAAAACTTTTGCGGCGCATTTAAAAATCGGCTTATATACAATGATTTCCTTTTACATATTTTTTAAGTATTTTTTTTTTGTTTTTATTATTTTTCAAACCATTTACAAAATCAAACCTAATTACTTCAGGTTAGCGTTCAAAAAATGTCGGTTGCTCGACTTTTGATGTTTTTAGACGACATCTTTTTCAGTAATAAATAATCCCGCCTTAGAGAAGAACAATAGATTTCCGTAAACAGCAAACCGAAATCGGACTTCCGAAAACGAAAGCACGAATTTCGAATCCGATTTACATTTGGATACTTGCGGTGGTATTAGATCGCTAGCGTTTTGGTTCGGTTAGATTTCTGAAATCGGATTTTCTTGTTGAGAAATCGTTCGGTATCGATTTGTGTTTGAAATCGGATTTTGGATTCGTTTTGATATATCGGACACATGCCTAGTACTTTAGAATAATTTTGAGTGTGATGTTGATGTTGACGGTTCTCTGAACTTTGGTTTCGTATACCTTTATTTACCGTAGTATCTCTAAGAAGTCTGTGCTACTTCATTTACTATTTTACTCTTTGCTTTGATGTTGATCATGTTGATGTTGTAGTTGTACCGTTAGCTGGCCCAAAGAGTAAAGTAAGTATACCAAAGGAGCTGGCCTTCTGACCAGAAATTCTAAAGAATTTATATCCTATTTATAAAATACAGGAGTTATCAAAATCGTGAAAAATGTCCAACAAGGATCTAACCGGTGAGTATGAACCATTTCAAGGAGCGCTAATATTTATTTATTGTTTATTAGCAACACTAACATTGCATAAATATCATACATGGATATACCTACATATTTTTATATTGGTTGTTTACTTGCAAACACAACAATTAAAAGTGTTGACGTCATTCATAATAGTGATCTATCAATTATAATTTTAAGGATTGAATTTTAACTCATAATATTTAGGGGGATGAAAAATGTTGTCCGATTCTCAGACCTACTACCGATATGCATGCATGCATATAAAATTTCACGAAAATTGGTCGAGCCGTTTCGGAGTAGTTCAATTACGCACACCATGTCACGAGAATACTATATATTAGATTGTTAGTATCCCTAGTTTCAATGGCTTTGTAGAGAGGATTTTTTTGGCAGATTTTATTAAAATGGAATGAATGTGCACAGAAAATGTACTCAGTATTTGATAAAGAGTTTAAAGAGGGAATTGATTACTGTTTTCAACTATGATTAAAGCTGTATTGGATTTGAAACTATGTCAAGTCAAACAAAGATATGTTAAAACTTACACAAACTTCTTTGAAATATAAATATTAAATAGAAATAAACAAAATGAAAAAAATATAATTTTTAATTGTCCCAGGGATAATTTTAAATCCTGTATTTTTTGGCGAAATGAGATTTGTCCCTCACAGGATCTTAATAAATCTGACAACCCCTGGATGTCCTCTACTCTAAGAAAATCTGAACAGAGGGCAGCCCTTTTCATACTATAAAATTAATAATAATAATATTCTTTATTGTAATTACACCATAAAAAACACACAAGTAAATTAAAACATGATAGATAGAACGTACACAATGTAGGCAATTTATTACTTAAAAAATTGTTTACAATATCATGAAATCTGTTAAAAATCCTTGAGCCATCCGAAAGTTTTTGACATTTAAAAATTATTAGACACATCATTATCTATAGGGTTCATTCTTTGTTAAGATGTTCTGAGCAGAGTATGCAGCCAAGGGAAAAAAAATATATTGTGATTGAAAACATATTACTATTTATTTAAGTCCTATTAACATAGATATTTACATAAGGGCAAGTCACTTTATTCATAGTTAAATAACCAGGGTCAATACATTGGGCAGTGTGGAGACTTCACAATCAGGGTACACACTTTTATGAGTAGAGGAGACACTTTGACATAGTAAAACAATAAATAAATTAAATAATTATAAAACATTGAGCAACATATAATCAGAAGTAGATTTTGTAGTGCTGCCTTTCTTTAAATGTTAAACTAAAGCTCCTTAGTTATAAAAATAAAAGATGGGTTGCACTCCAGGAGTGCCGGCAGAAGTGAAAACTTGAATATTAATGTTGTACATTTATGATATTTTGGAATGGTTAGGGAATAATTTTGCACGAATTGCTTTAATTATCAGTATAAAAGTACTATCATTTATGTGGTAGAATACAATGTTTATTTATTACACAAACATGACAATTTATATTACATTAAAAAGTTTATCTCTCACAAAAATCAACTTCCATCCATAGTTTCGACGACTTATTCACCATCATATGCGCGTGGCACCCTGTAATATAAACACACGTACATTCGCGCAAGCGCCCTGCGCCGCCTAAACGAAACAGCAGGCGCAGGCATACATTTTCACCGCGCCGTAGAAGGAGATATTTCCTCTCCTACGTCGCGCCGGCTGTCTACTCTCCATCCGTCTTGCGAATTTTCGATCAGGTCACGTGTCCTGACGCGAGTTTAACATTTTTCACCCATTACAAAAAAAGTGTATAACGCCGCTAAAGAAGTTTTCACTTCAAAAATCCAAATCAACATAATATTTCGTTTCTTACAGATTTCATCATCAGATTTTTGTAAATTTCAGTATTGGTAACAAGTCAAGATACAAGACTTATTGATTTCAAGTTGTTTTTGTACATTAACTACAATCAGTCGCCAGATAATAAATAATATTGTTGAGTTGTTAATTACGTTTGAGAAGAGCAAAACCATTGCTTCAACCTCTCTTAGTCATCAAGAACATCTTTTTTTTTTGAGTCTTTTGATGTTGCTGCTTCTCTCCTGCACCAATGTTTTAAAAAGAGAATTTTGGATGTGCAAGAACTTGCTTTTTGTATTTCGTTTTGTATCTGTTAATCTCTTGGCTAATTGTTTTGGCATTTCCAGATATTCACGTATTTCAGTGTACCAGGTAGCACCACTGATAGTACTAAGGATATTGTTTTGAGCCCTTTGAGGCACTGCAAGTTGGAATCGGAAGCTGTAGCCCACAGTTGGATACCACCAAAGAGCCATATGGGTTTTAGAACACACAAACTAAACACAGTAGATCATGAGTTTGTTTTTTAAGGAAAGGGTGGACTGCCTACCCAAAAGCCATTATAGATTTTTAAATCTATTGTTTATTTGTTATCAAGTTTGCGTTTTATGTGTTCTTTCTAGGTCATGCGGCGATCAAGGTTAAACCCAACTATTTAACGCAGGTGGTATGGGATAATCTCCAAGTTTGACCTACTGGACTTTTTTTCAAGTTAAGCTTGGTGAGGCAAGATTAAAGCTGTATAACATCGAAGCTGGAGTGCCACAGGGATCGGTTATAGGCCCAGTTCCATATAACATCTTCACATCCGTTCTCCCCACCAGCCCTGATGTAGTTGTTGCAACTTATGCCGAAGACACTGTTTATATGACGCCATAAGAACCAGCTCTAAACTTCAGTCACTGTTGGACAAAACGAACATCTGGATGCTGAAGTGGCGTATCCGCGCAAGTGCGCACAAATCGCACCATATCTACTTCACTTTAAGGAGAGGAAATTGCCCTGGACTAAAACTAGGCAACGATGACATACCTGAGACCGACTGTGTCAAGTATCTTGGTTTCCATGTGGACAAGAGGTTAACTTGGAAAACACACATCAAACAGAGGCGTGACCAGATAAATATAAACTTTAAAAACCTTTATTGGCTGATGGATCAGAAATTCGTTCTTACAGTGGACAACAAACTGCTTCTATACCATTCGCTCTCAAACCTGTATGGACTTACGGTATTCAATTATGGGGAGTGACCAGTAACAGCAACATAATGTGCCTTCAAAGAGCTCAAAACGGAATTCTTCGAAACATAGCAAACGCACCATGATTGACACGCAATAACGAAATCCATAAGTACCTAAATATTCCTACTATAGTAGAAGAAATACAAGGCGGCAAGGAACGATACTTCCAACGACTGGCCATGCACCTAAGCCCACTGGCCAACGAGTTGCTGGATACGTCGAATACTACTAACAGACTCAGAAGACGTAATGTTATTTAGCTGGGAAGCTGAGGCACTGGCCTCTGCTCTCTTAAAGTCATGCCGCATGCAACCAAAATTGATAAAAGTTCTTAAGTGGCAATTAATATACAAAAAAAACAAATGTATGTTTAACTAAAAACGTAAAGAGGCCAGGTTAAAGACTTTTTTAGTCTTAAGTATGATAGTCTCACAAATTACCTCTAATCGTAGAATCACTATTTACATTACACCACGATCATGGAAATCAATTTTTCAATGATTGTTAGAATGTATGCGCGTTGCAGGACTATTTTATTTGTTATGTTAGCTTAGATAAAATCAAAAGGTTTGATTGGCCCGTACTTATTTTGAACTTTTTGATTGACTGAGTTTCTAAAAAGCAGAAAAAACTAACAATTGATTTGAATTTTTTGAAAAAAAATCTTCATATAACATGCTCAATATTATTTTCTGCTGTGATGAAAAATTTTTTGAAGTCTTGCTCGTTTTCAAGGAACTCAAAGTTCTCTACGGTGGCATTGGAGACGTGCCAAGCTATTATCAGTTTGCAGGCACCATCTGGCTCGGTGCAGTATTCCAAAGGTAGGGACGTGGAGGTGGAAAAGCTACGTGATGGATAGTAGGTGTACTCTGTCATAACTCGAAGTCCACATTTCGCAACGTTGTCTTCTAAACTCCGCACGATGCCTGTTGAAAAATTTATTTGATACTTTTAATTAATTATACTTTAGATCAATATGGTTTTGTATGATGATTTATAGTCCATAATTTAACAACAAGCATTTAGGTATACGTAGGATCGTATAAACGCCAAATATTAGTATTTCATTTTAATGAATTTCGTGACCCTACAATTCGAGTAAGAAAAAATCGTTAATATTTTTTAAATTCTCCTTTTTTAAGCTTATTTGATTTATAGATGGGTCTCAGTTATTATAAGTACTTAACGAAATCGTCGTTCTTTACTACATAGCTACAATCAACTCACATGATTACTACACAACACTACACTAAACATCCACTATATCTACCCGTAACTCCTTAACACTATCAGACTGAACATGGCTATTATCTTCTTTATCCTCGCTGCTGACGATTATGAGTTGCTACTCCTAGTCATCAAGTCCTGGTGACAATTTTTTATTTGCTATGATGGCCCTATGATTTAGTAGGGTCTAAACGACGATACGCGTACTGTGATTCTGCTTCCTAGGGCAAATGGAGTTGCATTTTTCAATCAAAACATATCACATATTTAAGTGTGTGTATATTTAAGTGTACCTGATACTGATGAAATTCATATCTAAAATCAATACTAGAATATATTGAAATTGGGAAAGGAACGATTCAAATAAACAAACCAGCGTGTTTCGCTATCCGGGTGAAAAGAGATGCACTGTGACCTTAATATGATATATCGAATTTCCCATAGTACTTATTTAAACAATCAACGTAATGTAGAATACATTAAAATAAGTCTTTTATACAAACCATCTTGGCAGGTGTCATTTATTATTTGCCGTGGAACGCTCATGTATCGTTCTAAAGTTGTGTTGAATGTCTTCTTAAGGCAAAGGAAGTCGTCCTCTGAGTACTCAAAACGTCTGATGGTAGGTACTGTTTCGTATTTTATCAAGGAGTTGAAAGCGCATGGGTCTTGCTGCGATGACATCTGCAAACAGTATACTTACGTTAGGAGAACTTAGCGGAGTTTTGTTTGGAAAAGATGCAGGATAGAAAATCTACGTCTACAAATTTCTTTAGTTATAAATGTATTAGTTTAATTTATACTAAAATATGATATAGATATGATATAGGTATTAGACAATACTTGCGAATATTTTAGATAAATCAAATTATTTCATATTATGTAACTATGTTGCTTTAGATAACACTTTTATTTTGTACCTGATTGTGTTTTTACGGATTATCTAATCAACAAATTACTATCGTAGCTTTAAATTATACCTTCTTTCTTAGATACGTTTAAAATCACCTTCCATTTGATGTAGAAGTTGAAGGAAAGGTATAAAATGGGCTATTCCGGCGTGTGCCTCTTCATCGTAGTAAATCTACTGTATATTGAAATCTTGTGTGATTCCGGGCAAATGACAAGTCAGTCATATTTTGGTATTCAAGTAGTGATCCATTTAAAAAAGTCACAATAATTTTACAGAAAACAACACGATTGCGGATGTCTTATCCATTTATATATCTATCAACTGTTAATTATTACCTCGTGCCCAATACAGCGAGGTGTGTAGAATAGTTCGCTAAACAGGTTGGAGGACTGCTCATGTGATGGAAACTGGACTAATCCCTTGCATAGACTCCAGGAGCCGTCTCTGACCATGTAGGAACGAGGTGGTCGCCCCATTGAAGTCACTCTAACTGCTGACAAGCCAGATCTGCAAGTTATGACCAAAAATACGATATCCATTCTCTGGTATAATATAATACGAATGACTTTAATCTAAATAACAGTAAACTTTGACTCGTGGCAAAATCGAAAAAAAACTTTCACCTCTTTTATTTTGACTGCTTCAAGATTGTTTTGCGGCAAAAAAACCAAGTCCGAGTCGGGACTCGCGCACGAAAGGTTCCGTACCATTATCGGCAAAAAAATCACGTCTATTTTTTTGTAGAAGCCCCAAGGAAGTTGTATACCTAACGGTAACAGGAATACTTACTGTTCGCAAAATATTATGTATGAACTATATTATATTTATATATGAACTCTATTACAAATGACATTCAGTCACTGCCATCGACGAATGTGACAATTTGTGTGGCTATACAGAGCTCTCAAAAATAGTACCAATAATTAATATTATTTTAGCGGTTGATTTTAAAATCGATGTTTTGAAAAGAAACAGTATTACATTAGAGTTTGAATGTCTACTATTTTATTATAATCTTAAATTAACGTTTAAAGAGCCGACCAGATTGATAAGTAAAACGTGTACCTATTGATAATTTTGCTCATAACTTCCCAAAGACTTGCAGAACGGAGGTGCTAGATTTAGCTTTATCCGATCATACCGCTCAGCTATCAACCTGTCCAGTAAAAAATGTACCTGTATTGAAATTTAGGCGTAAGAAATACAGATATCTTTGTATCAAAAATATTACAAAATTTAGGGATTGCCTCTAGAAGTTGTCGTTCTCAGATGATCCGAATACTGCATTTTCTTCATTCATAGATTATTTTAAGTTATGATTTTATTTATTTTTTAAGCATTTAACTGCTAGATGTTTAAATCTAAAGAAAAGTTTACTAGAAAAAAATCCACGCGGACCAGGCCGTCCCGTCCGCTGCCTGGTCCGCGTGGATTTTTTTCTAGTAAACTTTTCTTTATTTTAAGTTGTTTTATGATCTTTGCTTTCCATTTAAGTTGATTACCATATCTATCACAAGGAAACCTAAGTGGGTCACCAAGGGTGTTAGAATATGTAGTAAGAAAAAAAGACGCCTTCTATGGAATTACAGACTTAAGCCGACAAAAAATAATCAGGAGATATTCATCAAATATAACAAATTGTATAAGAAAATCATTTGACCCACGCAGCGTGCACAGAACGATTTTCTTGTCATGTATATTTTTGGGGTATTACTATTTGTAAAAGTTAACATGCACCTTTTCGTTAGAATGGCGGATGTTTTAGATCTTTTTTTTTTTTTATTTTTTTATAGATAGGTCCGACAAATGACTCCACTTCACCTGATGTTAAGTGAAGGTGAAGTCCAGACGTGACGATAGCTGATACAGCAGTTTTACCTGCCACACCAGCCATCCTCACCCTGCCGGCCTGCATGTTGCTTCTTCACGCCTCTTTTAAAGGATCCCAGGTTGTAAGAGGGAGGGAACACGTGAGCGGGCAGAGCATTCCATTTACGGATAGTGCGACAAAGAAATGAGTCACCAAATTTCTTTGTACGCGTTGGAATTGTGGCCACAGTTAGACGATGACAACGTAGGCCAGCGCGCGTGGTCCTCTGAAGGAAAGGAGAAGGTGGGATAAGAGAGAATAACTCCTCAGAACACTCGCCGTGGTACAGACGATAGAACGCGCTTAGTGACGCCACGTCACGGCGTAATTGAAGAGGCTCAAGGTGTTTAGTCACCTCCTCATCGCCTATGATGCGGATCGCGCGTCGCTGTAACCTATCCAAAGCATCGAGCAAGTACTTGGCGGAGCCATCCCAGAGGTGCGAGCAATATTCCACGCAGGACCGCACTTGCGTTTTGTACAACAAGCACAGTTGATCGGGCGTGAAAAAACGCCGCACCTTGTTCAGGACTCCGAGTTTGCGTGAAGATGTTTTGATCACGGTTTCGATGTAGTTCTTTGGATTCAGGTCTGAGCGAACTTCCATACCGAGCATGGAAATGTTGCTCTGCAGCGGTAGTGTTGTGCCCTGAAGAGATGGAAGGGGAAGGAATGACGATGTTTTTGCCGTGAAAGCGCAAGCCTGAGTTTTTTTGGCATTGAACTCAACCAAGTTCCTGGTACCCCATTCGGAAATGTGGTCCAAAGCCTGATTGAGTTCAATGACAAGATTCTCGCGTTTCTCCTTGGTTACCGCCAGCCCAGCCGCTGCTTGTCCGAGATACCCCGCATGCACTGTACTATCGTCTGCATAGCAATGAATATTCCCAAGAGGAATTAAGTCATTGATATGCAGCAGAAAGAGAGTGGGGGATAGGACGGAGCCCTGGGGAACGCCGGCATTCACTGACATGAACCGCGAACTGCTACCATCCGTAAGGACACGAATTCTACGCTCATGCAGGAAGTCAGCTACCCAAGAACAGAACTGGGCTGGCAGACCGTATGCCGGAAGCTTGGAGAGAAGGCTTTTGTGCCAGACCCTGTCAAACGCCTTGGCAATGTCAAGGCTGATAGCCAACGACTTGCCACGCTTGTCGATAGCCTCACCCCAGATATGAGTTAAGTACGCTAGAAGATCACCCGTCGATCGTTTCGGTCTAAAACCATATTGACGATCATTAATCAAGGAGTGATCCTCTAGGTAGCGGGTCAGATGGTTATTAAGGACCTTTTCTAAAACTTTACATAAAACTGAGGTGACTGCTATTGGCCGGTAGTTTGCCGGGTCTGAGCGATCCCCTTTTTTGGGCACCGGTTGCACATTGGCATCTCTCCAAGTCTCCGGCACACGCCCCAAAGAATACGAGCATTGGTACAAGCGCGTGAGCACGGGAGACAACTCCGCTGCACATTTTTTGAGTACTACTGCTGGGATGCCATCAGGTCCACTAGCTTTCCGGACGTCGAGTGATTGCAATTCGGCACGAACCTCGCGCTGCCTGATTTTAATATCAGGCATCGTTGTGCCACAGTGAGGTAATGATGGTGGCAGTGCATTGCAATCATCGATTCGGGAGTTAGCCGCAAAGAGTTTTGCCAGTAAATCGGCTTTCTCCTGCGGCTTATGGGCTAGTGTTCCGTCTGGGCATCTCAGAGGTCGCAGCGAGGGCTCGCAGAAGTTTTTTTGCACGGCCTTGGCCAGACGCCAGTAGCTACGGGAGCCCGTAGGATGCGTCATAAGTTCCTGGCCAACACGTGCAACGCGCTGGGCATCCGCTCTAATGTAAGCCTTCTTACAGGCCTTGGAAGCAAAATTGTAGGCTGCTTTGAGTAAATCGACCTCGGGATCCTTGAGAGCGCGCCCTCTGATCCAAGCACGATATGCCGCTTGCTTACGCGAAGCAGCTTCAGCACAATCGTGATTGAACCAGAGGTTACGCGTGCCCTTACTGATGAGATCAGAATGAGGAATATAGTATTCCATACCCATTATAATCTCCTCAGTAATGGCAACGGCACTGGCCGATAGGTCCCTGTCACTGAAGCAGCGCTGCTTCCAGGGGACGGACGCAAAGTAGTCACGCATACCGTCCCAATCTGCCGACCCATAATGCCAGATACGGCGCTTGACCACTGCTGGACGCGGAGGCTTGGCCTGTGGTGCTTTGGCAGATATCAGGCAGTGGTCTGACGAGCCCAGGGGGGCTCTTACCACAACCTGATAGCCCTGTGGATGGGTCGTGAGCAGAAGGTCCAGTAAAGAAGGCGCTTGACTTGGAATATCTGGGATCCTGGTGGGCTGATCAACCAGTTGCTTCAAGTCATGCGTGAGAGCGAATGCGTGAGCAGAGATCCCTGCATGGTCAGTTTTGGAGGAACTTAACCACAAATTGTGGTGAGCATTAAAGTCCCCCAAAAACACCAATTCTGCATTGGGAAATTGTTCCTGTGCGTCATCTGCTGCCCGACTAAGGTGTTCAAAAAGTCGAGTTGTCTCAACATCGCCGGTGTGGGATCTGTAGAGACACACGTAAACTCTGGCCAGGGGGCCAGAGTCGACGTGTACCCCCAGCATGGAGAAGGAGGGATCTTCCAAGCAGCGGAGACGGCGACAACAAACATCCGCCCGAACATACAGGCATACACCGGCTTTCGCTTTGAAGGACTCTTCTAGCACGTAGCCGGGATAATTAAGGTAGCCTGTGTCAGCAGGCGGAAGTATTTGTGTCTCCGTCAGGAACAACAATGCTGGCCGTGCTGTCTCAAGATGGTGGTGGACAGCGTTGAGGTTAGAGTGGAGTCCGCGTATGTTGCAGAACTCGACCTCAAACAGCGTTGAAGGCGTGGGGGTGTGCACCGCTGAACGTCCAAACTTTGTTTTAGGAGCTGCCATTATGGAAGTGAAAAAGAGACGTGAAACGAGTGGACGCTGTCACGACAAGACCGGGCAAATTAGGGAGGCATGTTTCCCCGAATGATTGCCTGCAGAGGATATACGCCGACCCGCCGGACGGAAGGGCCCCCGCACCCCCCCGGAAGTGGCCGCCGGGACCCCACGCCCCGGTCACCAACCGGCACGACGGTCCACCCCGAGATTATGCGTGACATGATGGGGCAGCCTCGCGAACTGGTTAGGAACGCTCGGGCCCCTGTACTGTGCCACGGGCGGCCAGCGGGACAGCCGTTTCTACGGGTCTCCCTGGCCGGCGGGTCGATGCAGTCCTCCCGGCATCGGTTCCACGGATGCCTAGCCCTGGACCGAATCCGTCGCGACAACCTCCACTCGAGCCCTGGTTGTACGCTGGCTGACCCCGAAACGCGCGAGAAGCACTTCACGGGTTTTTCACCATGCGCACGGTGGTAACAAACCAGGCGGGTGTTAGGCACCCTACCACCAGCAGAGCGGATGGAAGCTCCGATATCCCTTAGTCGCCTCTTACGACACCCACGGGAAGAGAAGGGGCGGTGAGTTGTATTCTTTCTCCGTCACCGCACGGATAAAAATCGCAAGATCGCAATAGACGCGAGAATAGTAGGCTATGCATGCCAAACTCGAGAATAGCTCATAAGAGAAGGAAGTATAAAAGACTTCGGACCTATATAATAGAATTAAATTATAACTTGTATGAGAAGAAAATTAAAAATATATTAATTGATAATTGAATAGTGAACTTCAGTAGTTTCTTATTTATCCATACGGTGACGGAGAAAAAAAATACTACTCCGCTCCTTAATTCGTGTCGTTAGTTTCTTTCTAATGACGGTCACGATGTACTTTGATATTCTACTATATCAATCCCAGTATGTACTGGCTACTGTGCCCTTAGTACGAGTTTGAGCTCACGAAAACTATCATAGTTTACGTAATTGTGAAAAGTAACCAAATATACTTAAAGTTTAAGAAGACGCAAATGATTTAATGATAGAATTTAAACACTGTTTATTTGTATTGTAACGAAAACAATAAAATCAGTACCCTTAGTACGAGTGCGAGAACTATCATAGTTTTCGTAATTGTAAAACTCGTACTAAGGGTACTGGAGAGTACTGGTCAAAATCTTAGTCTCGTTCGAGAAAGGTTTTTTCTTTCGTTTAAACCTAACGGAAAGTAGACCTTAAGTACTTTTTTTAAGGCTTATATTGTTTTTTTTTTTACAAAAGAGCATTCCTTTGACCGTTAGGTAATATAACTTCCTTAGGGAGCCCCCTTTAAATATATACCTCTTATAAATAAGTGAATATACCTCTCTTTGAATATTATCTCTTGCTGTTATTAATATAGTGTCAAAAACGGCACAAAAATCGCGTTTGTTAGATGGGAGCCCCTCTTAAATTTTCAACTATCTAGCTATCACGGTTCATGAGATACAGCCTGGTGACAGACAGACAATCAGACGCATTCGAAAATCTGGAGGTCAGAAATAAAAAAAAAATCCTAAGCTGAGCCCTGACCCGCGAACCGGTCTGTAAAGAAGAGATCTTTCACACAAAATCTCGACTTTCTGAGTCAGATTTACTCAGGAAGTCGAGATTTTGTCTTGTTTTTTTTATTGTTGCTTACTTTCCTTTCAATAAACAAGACGATTTAGTTGTCTGGTATAATTTACGGAATTCATACTTCTTTCAACTCACAAAATTTCAACCTTTGAATGGAAATTATCTATTTACCTGCCATTTACAATGGCGTCTTTTAATATTGATTCTCGCGTTGATATTTCATCGATTTGCAATTTCAGTGATTCGGTAAGAATCGTGGCACTCTGCAGCGTGTTCTCCAGTTGTACCTTCAAGTCTACTGTGGGCATGTCGTTTCTCGAATAAGACTTCACCACTTTAATCGGAGTACTCTCAGTAGAATCTTGTGTCACTTTGAGGGTTTCATCCTCGAAAGCGATATCATCCATGTCTTGATTTCTCCGAGTTGTTTTTGCATTTCTGTAATCATAATAATGTATGAATTAATTATTATATCGGAATGTGACGCTTCTACATACAACAAGTCTCTCTTCAAAATATTTTTTTTTACTTCAACTGTAAACCACTCACATTTGATCTTGTATGGGCAACATCCATTCTGAAATCTAATAAAATACAATTTTAATATTAATGAAATATTAAGGTGATAGGTACGCGAAATACCGCGAATTTACTAAACTTAAGGATAATATTTACCCAATTACATGAACAAATATTCAAAATGTAAAGAAAACTTGCAATTTTAGCATAAAACATGTTGAGTGAATTCGACTACTGCTTAGGTGCGTAGGCGATATTCTCAAACCTAGAAACTTTGTTTCAGAAAAAAAATGTTTTGATTTCACTGATAAAGTCAAACCAATCACAATAGTTCCATTGTTTTCACAGCTACTGGACAAACTACAGGTGTTTCGTACGTATGACAAAACAAACCCTCCTCCTGTTATTTTATTTTGCTAAACTGTGACTGTTAGTCGAAAATATGTGAATATCGTATAACAAAACGAGTAACAGTGGGTGGAGACGAGGGTCCATGATGATCGTATTTTGTCATAACTTATACTTAACATCTTTTTGTACATTGTGGACATGGAGCACCCCCACTAGAGTCCGCATCACACAAATTTTGTTTGGAATCAAAATCGCTAAAGTCGGTGGGGTGCAGGGAGGTCAGCCCCGCTGTGATTGGACGCATCAAGGTCAGGTCATATACTCAGTGCAGCGAAGTGATGAGGGTAAGATGGATTTTAGAAAATATCGATATTTTCTATCGATAAACAATTTAGAATAGAGGCCTAGCACTTTGGTGCGCAAATGCGTAATCATACCCTCTCCACTTTCTTCCAGCGCAGCGTTCTAATTACATGACGCGACTAGTAACTACATACTAAATTATATATAAGCAACACAAAAAAAAAACACGTCCAGGACAAGAAGTATTAATGCAACGATATTGACTACCCTAGATACAACAACACGAACAAAATCGTGGCCGAAACGTGTCCAAAAGGTACATTGGACGATCCACGGAGGTCCGTAAGATGATCGCGTGGTCAAAAACAATATGATGCCTTATTTAAACATTAAAAGTCACCTTTAATGCATACGGCATAAGGTCTTAATTAAAATGCATGCGTCAAGTTCGTTAAATTTAACGATTTATTGTTATATGTGAAAGAATATAGACCTTATTTTTTTTACTTTTCACTCGCAATTCTGAATGCGCTATTTGCAATATAGCAAGTACAGACCGCGAAGAAAAGAGATGGCTAAGGGCGACGTATAACCAACCATGCATTTGAATATCACAAATATTTTAAATTAAATCAGTTTATAGTAAGTATTACAACAATAAAATTTGCTTTAAAGGCGTTAATTAAAAAACATTAATTAGATACCCGTCGAAAAAACGACACTTTACGTACTATTAGTATTTTTCTGCATTTTTTCACGGAACTCTTTGGCATCTTGACTTTTCAACGGTCCGCGTGTGACTGTGTACTAAGAAGTGCTTGAGTGGAGTTCAAGCACTTCTTGATTGGGACACATTTTGAGCGCTCGTGGTGTATCTAGGGTATTTAATATCGTTAATTCTATGTCTTTATCTAGGTCATAAACTATGCGCACTTAATTTCATACAAATCCGTTTAACCGTTTTAGCGTGAAAGAGTAACAAATATGCATACAAATTTTCGCGTTTTTTTCTATTTTATTAGGATATGTTTGAAATCAAATAAAAACTGTTGGTTGTATACTTATGACATATATTATTGTATACGTTGAAATAAATAGTTTTTATTTATTTTTTCCATTTCCATAGCTGACAAACTTATCGATAAACTTACGCGTTGAGACATGAGCTGCGTCTGAGTCACTAGCAATACACGTGCCGGTGTGAGAGCGAGATAGCATATATGATGTAGCCCATGCGAGAAAGGGATAGTGTAAAAAGACATCAACGCGTTCACCAAAAAATAAATACAATTAACAGCAATTTAATATAACAGTATTTTTGTCTTTTTGTAATGCATTTAAACTAGCCAGTGAAAAGTAATACCATTTTTTTGAAGACTGGAAGTTGTACTCGACTTTCCACACAATTTAATTGCACAGTACGGCATTTTTTACAGTTTTTTAACACGAAAACGAGAGAAGCAGTTCGACCAACGCTCGGTTACCGAATGAAACGATGTATCGCGACGTCTGTAGGCGTGCCTCACGCATAGGTAAAATACTACTTAAGCTTGGCGTAAGCGCTTGCCCTTGTATGCGGACTCTAGTGGGGGTGCTCCGTGATTGTGGATATGCAATAAACGAATTGAATTGAAGAGTGTTTTTTTTTTCTAGTGGACGAGTTTGTGGAGGGACTGCTGACACAAGAAGCCGCGCTACGACCTTCTGACGATGTACAGCCTGAAAACTTAGAGATGGAACTACCTGAGAACTTTGATGAGAAATTGTTTAATCAGTGAGTAAGATTATATGGCTCAGCTTTCCATTACCTGTAATTGAGTTGCAAGCTAAAATTTTTGTCACGCAAAGTATTAATTATTAAAAACACGTACACGAAAAAAATTATTGAAAATTAATATTTTTGTAGGTTATGAGTCAATTTTGACAGCAATTTTGATCAGTGCTGTCATTTTTTTGTGCAAAAATAACATGTTTCTTGTTGTCTATGGTAAAAATAAGTTTATTATGTTGGTACTATTGTCAAAATGTGACAATTTACCGCCATTAATGAGATCTGTCAGTCAGTGTGTTCGTCGCAGTGATACTTCACACTAGGTTAGGTTAGGTTAGTATTGTGACCTTAACGCGCGAAGCGAGCGTGCCGCGGCAGCGGCCGGCGAAGCGCCAGAAAGAAAAATTCGTTAATAGAGACTTTTTCTACAAAAAAATCAAATATCCCCTCTAGGCCCTGGAAGTACAGTTTTATCTTTAAAACCCCTATATTTTTTTATAATTATCATTTCTGTAAAAACGCCGGGAGGGGGGGGGGGGGTTACCCTTCCCTCTGAGGTGTCTTCCCTAATACATATCCCCCTGAAATTCCACTACATTTAACAGATTTAATGAATTTTTAGGTTAGGTAAAAAAAATGCATTTCCGCCAAAAATCTTTTAAGGCGGGGGGGTCGGGGGGAGCCCCCCGCCGCAATGCAATGATAATGAAAAAAAAACAAACCATTTTAAATGTGCAAGTTCAATGTCCTATCTTAACTACACCCTTGGCAAGTTGATATAAATAAATAAATGAAGGGTGTAAAAGTATGAATCGTGGGTAGCGGTAGATTGAGCACTTGCAGTGATGTAGTGATTGTTTTAAGGAACTAGAAATGTTTTAAAGTGAAACTTTTATTACATTGCCACAATTTTTTGTTACTCATATTACAAGTCGCATTACATTTTTAATTGTTATGAAAATATTCAACTCTTCAATTACGGAGCGTCGGTAGCAAAAATCTGCACACGAATTTATTGTCGGTAAAATTTTCAGTTCAAAGTGTACGACCTAAAAAATGTGGCGATGTAAAAAACTTTAAAAGGAGAATGGTCATTTTACTTTGGGAGTTGGGCTAAGTTTTTTTCATTGCGTCTTATTGGAATAAGTGTACAACAATAGGGAATCAGGTGTATATTGCGTAGGAAAAATATCATTAGAAACTTAAGTAGTGGTTTAAAGAAAATATTAAATTACGTAAGCATTTTAAGGTTATGTCATATTTAGATTCGATTAAATTCGATATTTATACCATACTTAATTATTACTAGGTATACTACTTTAAACTGTATTTAATTAGGTTGTGACCTTTTGTCTTCTATTTTGGACCAGTCCAAAATAGAAGACAAAAAAGAGTGAAACAAAAATTGAATGCACTTCGTAAAATCTTATCAACGGGCAGCGTATATTTGTAAACTGTTGCGTTGGTGAGCTGCTATCTATCTCTATTTATTCCAAACATCTCAGATTCAATAAATGTGGCGTTGTTGAGGTGCGGTTATATTAGTGCTATTTATACTTATTCTCTTTACGCTCAAGCTGCACCTTTGATGCTCTGTTAACCCAACAATGGATATAGTATTATTTAAGGTTTAGGAATCAAAACTAAATAAGACAAAATATTTTAATAATGATAATCATTTATTGATAACACATTTATCCAAATCGACATTATTAATGTGATATTTTTATTTTATATTTTTGGGGTTATGCCGTATCCAGTGAAACTGTAGTGACTTCGCCTAAAATATCTTTTGTAACTCGCCACCATGTCCTGTTGAGTTTGAAATATCCAGTTAAAGCTCTGCTAAGTTCAATTAATACAGCAGTTTAAACATTAAGCGTGCTCTAATCCTGGTTTATATATTGCCTTTTTTTAAAAAAGAATTGACTTATATACCTTCTTCAAATACCTCATCTAAAAATGTAGCTGGAGCATGTGTATCGTTAAATCGCCCCCAGCTAAGGTACCAAACTACCGTCATTACGTGTGCGCAACATCCTACTGTCCTTTTGCCTACAATACAACTGCAGCAATAGCCAACTAAACAACTTAGTGAGTTGGCTATATTGGTGTCACGGCTGACTAAAATGTAAACAAAATAGGTGCGTCCACCAACGTGTCTAGACTTAATACGTCCTCTAAGCAGATAATTGTTTAAACCTAATACAAGGGGAACATCTTCATCTATTTCTGTATTTATTTCTATGGAATATATCCCAGACGATCGAATATGTTCCCCATAATATGATCGCGCCTGCTTTAACTGATAAGTGCCTAATGCAAAGCGTTTTAAATCAGTGATGCTTAAACTGGGAAAGGTTTCCAAGTGAGGATGATTGCCATCAATTGCAGAAAACATTGCACGTCTTCTGTTAAGATTTTGAGTTTCTACAAAACGGCCAAATGATTGGACTCATTAAGCCGATTTTGAGCAATAGCTACATACTCGCTTGCTTCTGGAGGATCCTGTATTAAGGGATGAAACTTATTTAACAGAGCACATGCAATTCTTAAATCATCTTTTAAATGAGTTGCAGCTCTGTTATTAAATACATGCCTGAACAATCTAAAATCTCGTTTTATACGTCCATTTACTATTTCAACCACCCAGCGACACATTGTTACAAATCTAGATTTGTTAGCCTGAAGGGTAGTGAGTTGATGTTCACCATCTAATAATGATTCAGGCATGTAAGCTTTAAAACCAAGATCCTCCATAAATTCAATTACGTCCCGAAACCCCCTATCCAGAATAAAAACATCATCCTGCCGGAAAAATGAACGCAGTTTTCCTTCTTCATTATTTAAATCATGCCTTGTTATTGAAGCATCATTAGTGGTTGCTTTATAGGGACCCATACAATCTATAATATATCCATCACAACACACAACCATAAAAGGTTTAACTAAATTATCAGATTTTTGTAAACTATATGATTCTTTTTGAAAACGATAATTGCTGCTGCTCTGGACAAATATATAAGTTGCGCCACACATAACAATAGCGGGTTTAATATCATTTGGTAAGATTGGATTACCAAACAATCCCTCCGGGATTATTTTATTTCTGCTGGCCACTTGCTCCACATTTTTCTCTCCAAGGTCCTACGAGACATTTGAAAGAGGGAACTTAATCGTTCATTGCTGTCCCCAGTCCTTAACTTGACTATGTAAATACAGAGTGCTAAACGGGGATTTTTGACACTCTGTAATAAGCTTGGTACACATGCCAAGAGTTCATCAAACTGTTCAGCATTCATTCCCAGCCAATAATGGCATAAGAAAGGAGCCATTGCAGAAATATTTTCAAAGTCGAAACAATGGGAAACTGCTCTCTGCATTATATTCAAAATGGCATCAAACTGTACACCAGTAAAATCTTGCAGATTTGATGTTAAATCACTCCAACGCCCATTATTCAAGTGATGTTGACATATTCTACAACATGTGGGAACATAGAATTTATTATATATTAATAACATTTCTCTTATTACTCTGGGTATTAATAAACATTGTTGTTCCCAGCATCCTGAAAACAGACAACTCGATGAAGTGGCTACAGCACGTTTATATACTGATGACTGTATCTTAGGTATAACAGGTCTTGAAGGCTGAACAGGTAATAGACCAGCGGGAAATGGTGGTGGTGCTGGGATCACTGGTACAGACTCTGTTGGTTCTACATCAATTTGTTCAATTGATGACTGATTCCCATCATGTAAATGTTGCCTTTGCACTTCCCTATTAGCTGCTCGCCAACAGGCAGCACAAACTCTTGAAATTCTTGACACCTATAAAAAAAAGATAAGTGAACTTGAATTTAATGAAAAACCATCTACAACTATTTTATGCAATAGAAATATATTTCTTATAATAATAAATCATTTATCTGACAAGATATGGTAAATTATACAGATCTCAAAAATATAACCAACATGACCTGTCGCTTTTATCGGCGTGCAAATATTTATAGGTAGTTGCAGTATTATCCAGAACTCAATCTTTAAAAACTATATATATTATTTATATACCATAGTCATGATTGAGTTAGTTATTATATAATCAATTTCATTAATATACTACATGACAATTGTGCAATGTAAAAAAAAAATGTCAAAGTCATGTTTCAGTTAGTATTGAAATCAATTTAAATAAATTATTATTAATATAACATTTCAATCATGCAATGCAAAAATAGTAATAATGTCACAGTCATGTTTTAATTAGCATTGAAATCAATTTTAATAATTTATTATTGATAATAATATCTTATACCATACCTGATGTGCTGGAGTCCATCTAAGAATAATATTTCTTTCTGGACAGTGTAGTGAAACCCTGTACGATCAACTTCTTAATATGGATTTTCCACAACCAAAACAGACTTGTTGATGGCCATATTGTGGTGCAGGTACTTCTTCGGTGGAGTCACTAGCTTGTAGTAGCATAAAGCATTCGTTGCACACTATTCAATATCTATAACAAGTCAAAAATATTTATTTATTTGAACATGTGAATGAAATTAAAACATTATCTCACGGTTGCGATTGTATAACGATATATTTTTAGTAATATAAGTAAATAATTACTTACAGAATCAGGTGCGATCCATGAGCTTAAAACATTAAGCATTGAAATGGATAGCATGTCCAAAGAATGTACTGGCTGTCGTCGTGGTACTGATATACAACAGTTAATACAACGTCGTTGCATACTGTCTGCGTTTTCTTGTGTAACACCAGATGCCATTGTAAACAAAAATAATTACAATAAACTAAGAGTCCAAATATCTCTGTCAGAGTCACTAAAGGTAACTTAACACTAAATCAACGAGTCCAATGCTCTCTTTCCCAAAAAAACAGTTATTAACGGAGGATTACTCAAGTCAACATTAAAACTATTCTGCCACAATAGACCACTGAAAACACAAATTCAATTCAAAATTGAAAACTGTACCTAAGTAGTTAGTCACTCGGAACAAACAACAAACACGTTGACAACAAGTTGACAGCTACCTACTTCACTTGCCTATGGTATATATTTCGATTTGATTCTATAGGAATCGATTCCTACACAATCGATTAATAAATGTTTTATTTTTCAATGCAAATGCTTAAAATGTTCAAACCATGAGTTAATTTATATATGATCAAGTAATTATATATAACATAACTGATAATTTAAACAAAAATATATTCCCTTTTTTAATCTAAGATGTGAATATGTAGTACACATATAAAAGTTTTTGTATGCGATCTACTGTTTGATGAACAAAATAGTCCGCAGACAAAAAATCCTCTTTTGCGCAGCCCAATTAGTTCCTTTTAGTTTTTAGATGCAATGAAAGAGAGCAATCCCTGGTAGGTACAGTGAGATAGTCACAACACAGGTCTTACAAATGATAACTTTATGAATTTAATGTTATTTATCATGATATAATATTGGTAAAAATGCTCGTATCCATCATACAAACATTTGCCACACCGAAACCAGGCCCTCTGAATAGGCGATTTGGGGAAAATAATCTATCCATCGATCCATACAAAAATCAAACAACTCGCATCGAAGACCTCAAAATAAAAAGTGACTACGAATTAACGAATGATCATTATTTCGTAGTCATTTACGGTGTTTGGTAAAAATGTTTCAGGCTATTTACAATAATTGTTCTATGCTTTCAATTATAATAAACGTTTTATTTTTTCTTTTTGAAGTGAAACTTCTTTACGCACTCTTGACTTGGGGAGTAAGCTAGCGAACGTAAGCGTTAAGAAAAGTGTGATCGGGCGAGGCGAACGGGAGTTGAGTGGGGGATGTAAGCATGAGAAAGCAGTGCGCGTGCACATTTTCTTTCTCTCTTCCTCTCATAGCCAAATACGTTCCGTATATCTAAGCACAGTGCAAGCCTATTGTCTGTATCACAGTGTAGGAGCAAGAGCGCGCGCACGCATTTTCTTTCTCTTTTTCTCTTACAGCTAGTAAATGAAAGAAGTTTCACTTCAGTTGTGTAGTCATAAGCATACTCGTTTTTTTATGTTAAGAATATTTAAATAAAGAAATATAATCGATTTTTTTTCCTACGATAGTATCGACCAGGTGATACAACTTTTATCTATGGTTATTGGTTATTTACTCAGTTTAATAGCCATTTATTTATTATTTTAAATATTCGCATAATATTTACATAATAAACACACATATGAAATGATAATTCAGAAGAAGATTTTTGATACATAAATGCGTCAAGCGCAATCTAGGCGGATTTGCCCATTCTCCTTTTTACTTGCATCAAGGTTTCATTATTATGAAACCTTGATTGTGGTATTCCACAGCATTTTTTTTATAGATTGTTTTTCAATTTAGTTGTTGTATGTGTTTTTGGTTTGTGGGTTTTTTGTAGTTTTATATAATGAGTCATAGTAACTGGACAAACTACCACTCGACTAAAGGCTGCTGAGGATACTGCCAAGGGAAAGAATGAGCATTAAAAGAAAAGAGAGATAGAGAGGATGCAAGGTTGAAAGAGAAGGATTGAGAGAAATCAGGATTATATAGAGGAGGAAGCTAAGATAATTATGAAATAGGATCGGACATAATATAAGTTCCAGCAGAAATAAAAATTGATTTGAAGAATGAGTAATTTTTTATAACACATGCATCAGTTTTTGGAAGGGGTAAGCCTAATACACATTAGCTTCATATTCTGTATTCGATGGCTCGGTAGAATACCTATAAAAAGTCGCCCATGGGTTGCGGTCACATGGTGTCCCCCACGGCTCCAACGGAACAATCGTATGTCGGCTCATGGTTGCCCCTATGGGCCAAACAGAAAATATGAAAAATTAAGGCGGCGCGGCGTTTAACGTTTTAAAGAAAAAGTTCATCGTTTTTTTATCAGTCAAGATAACGTCTGTCGAGTCCGCTAGTAATTTATATTGCGTACTAAATAGTATTTAGGGTCATAGGTAGAAGACACATCAACTAGGAGAGGAATAGACATCATATTAACTCGAGCTTTTCAGTATTCTTTGGTATGGAACTCCCTAATGCAAGCACGCTAAAATCAAAGTCTTTCAAGGCTGCTAAGGATACTGCCAAGAGAAGGAATGGAGCATTAAAAGAAGGAGAGAGAGAAAGGGAGAAGCGAGGTTAAAGGAGAAGGATTGATAGAAAGCAGGATTAAGGAATAAACTAAGATAGTTATATAGGATTAGAAATATTTTAAATTGCAGTAGAAGAAAAATTTAAATGTGAAGAATGAGTCATATTTGAAAACATAACGCATGCATCTGTTTATGGTCAGGCAAGCAAGTCAAATAAGTGGATTATAATTAGCGGTTCGTAGTATCGTAGTAGTAGTCGCTCGTAGCTTAATCTGAGGTATATATTAATTAAACAGCATGGTTTAATAATAATACTGTACATTGACAGGGGACGCCGCTTCTTCTGGGATCACAGCTACGCACTCAGCAACTCCATGCTGCTGGGCCTGGTGGCGGTGTTCGCGGTGCCGTCCATTCTCCGCATCTTGGTCAGCACGCGCCGCTCCAACTCCTCCTATACGGCCTACAAGAGATACCTCTCCACGCATCTTCACACCATGTCATGGTTCGAAAATGAGCTCAAACCTGGAAGCATGTAAGTTTATTTTTATGTTTGTGCAGCAAACGAGCTGACAGTCCACCTGATCGTAAGTGTTCATTGCCGCCCATGGACACTTGCAGCACCAAGGGTAGCACTCATGCGTTGCCGGCTCTCAAGGAAAAAAGAAAATCGCTGAAGGAAGTTCATTCCAGATCTTGCTGGTATGCATAAGATTTTTTAACTCGACCCGCCAGTTCCAATACTATGAATGTTTCTCTCTCTCGTCAGCAACCTCTAAGGGCAGGAAACAGGCTTCATTACTAGAGAACCGTAATCCTCGGGGATGGCTATATTCCGGATTGGAGGTTCTGCTTCTGGAAGTTAGAAGTCCGATTGCATCTGAGACCATCAGCTTATCGCCACTGTGGTGTTATAGCCATTATAAATTGTGACATATAATAACATCCAAATTTTGGGAAATAGAAGTTAACTTTCGGAGGCTTTTGTGAAATAGCTATATAATTTCTTACTAAGGCATATTCACAATTATTGTGTCGGAAATAAAAAATTAAGAAGTCTGCTTTTTACATAAATAAAGCCATAATAGTCAGCACCGATAGAAATTCATCAAATTATTTCCATTGATCAACAGATCCTGGCAATCCTTATACACAGTCCGAACCAGACATATAAAAGCAGGAATGGCGGCTAAGATAAAGGGCTTGGGTGTTGTGTCGCAGCGGGACGTAGCGTTGACGCAGTTTGGATTCTTGGGCTTTGCACTTTTGAAACCAGACAAGTTCGGTGTGAGCCAACTGCAAGAAGGAGATTGGGATGCCTACGTCTACTTTTGGAAAGTGATAGGACATATGATCGGGTTGGAAGACAGGTCAGTATGTAATAAGAACGAACTGTATATACTGTATTATCTACAATAATAGCTATTTTAGCACGCTAAAAGCATGTGCTATTCGATAATTTTGTCTTAAAAATCGATAAACACCGATTGCACGTACGAAAAAGTCTCACGTTCTGCCTGAGCCTGAGCGTGAAAGCGAAAGCGCGGAACAAGCGATAGAGAGGTACGATAATTCATCAATGTTTCTTTATGACGTTATCACGTAAGACTATCGTCCGTAAATCGACCTTACAGACAAACAATTTTTTATTTAAGACTTGGCTAAACATGGCTCACTCTATGACCCTAATGAAGTAAACAGATAGTATATTTTGTTTATTTTTGGCTTTTTAGTGCAGTAAGTAAGTTTTAGTTTTAAGCATTTAACTGGTAGATTTGTCAATCTAAATATTTTTTACTAGAAACAATTCCAGTCGGTCCATCATGAACTCGTGATAAAGTCCAGACGCGAAGATATTGCTGCAAGTGGCCCTAAGTCTGTCTGATGCCTGGGCCGAGTGGTTTTTTTCTAGTAAAGTTTTCTTTACATTTATAATTATTTGTCAATCAGATACAACATATGCCGCAATTCTGCGGAGGAGACGAGGCAGGTGTGCCAGATGCTGCTGGAGCGCGTGTACACGCCCTGTCTCGAGAATGTTCCGGAATACTTCGAGCACGCCGCCAGGGTCATGCTCGACGGTAAGGGTCACTTTACGCCGGAATGGCAGAGGCCGCACATTCTTTCTGAAAGCGCTCATCTATCTATCGGCCCACCTAGCATTTTAAGGTTTTAAGTTGAAGGTCCCTAGCTAAAAATAGATGTCACATTAAGCAAAAAGTTTTTACCTACGCAGTTTTCAATATGATATAATAACCATCTTTTGTGTGTTTTTAAATTATTGGTCAAACGTCTAATATATAAAATTCTCGTGTCACGGTGTGCGTAATTGAACTACTCCGAAACGACTCGACCGATTTATGTGAAATTTTATATGCATATTTAGTCGGTCTGAGAATCAGACAACATCTATTTTTCATCCCCCTCAATGTTAAGGGTCCACCCTTAAATTGTTATTTTATGTTTGGAGAAAATTTTTGGTTTTTATTTTTTTATGATACATCATCATTATCAAAAATACATACAAACCTAAATTTTCACCCATCTACCACCAACCCCTATTTTTTATGGCGGTACGAAGTTCGCTGGGACAGCTAGTTAACATATTTTTATTACAGTCCGTTGAAACTTTTTACACGAACTGCGCCGATAGATGTGTCCAGAAGACCAATTTTAAACTTTATCTACAAACATTAAAGAGTAGTACCGCTCGCGACACCGCGGAACCTTTTCAAGCGATAGTGCCCCCCTAGCATGAGCACCGCGATATTTATTTATTTTAAACTTTATTGACCAAAATATATAACAATGGTACAAAAGGCGGACTTAATGCTTAAAGCATTCTCTCCCAGTCAACCTTTGGGAAAATGAAAAACACGAACGGCGCGGTGTAAAGCTAAATACGAATATATGTACAAATTAACATATATGTTTTTACCTACGAGTATGTACTAGTCTACTAGTGCATCGGTTACAGTAAATCAGTTATTGTAAAATTAATATAGTAAAACAACCACTTTCATAATGAAATATCGATCATATAAATACATACTATAAAAAGAATATAATACAAACATAACACACTAATATTTAAATATATAGATATATGTAATATATCATGATGATTAAAGTGACATTTCATCTTAAACTTTGCAACAGATGAGCGTGAATATTCCTTTTAAATATAAGTTTACTAGGAAATCTTCTGATGGAGTGGAAGAGGTCATTCCACAGTCGTATGGCTTGAAGAGTAAAGAAGTTGGTCATATAGCCTGAATGAGAAAGAGGAACATAGAGAGCTAATGAATCACAAGAGCGGAGAGGACGGTCGTGGCTATCACAGAGATACTGAAACTTGCATTTCAAGTACTCTGGAGAATGAGGGTTGGAAAAAATGGTAAAAAGAGTGTGATATGATATAAAGTAGTGATGTAACGAATATCAGTTTTTAATGTTCGCGAACGCGAATGCGAATATCTGGTATCGACATTCGCGAATGCGAATATCTGGTACCGACATTCACGAATGCGAATATTTAGTTTTTGTTCAAAATTGGCACCAATTGTCTATGGCATGGTGGCAGTCTCGTTCGAATTGCCGAGTTGATATAAACTCATCCGACTGAAGTGTCATTCCGCTCGCGCCGGTCTTTTCGTAAACAAAACAAGTGAATTTTGAAGTTAGAGTTTGAATAGTGATTTATTAACATGAGTAAATCAAGTTGCAGTGGAATATAGACTTTGTTTTGGTTTGTTCACATTGCGTTATTTATTTTGTTTTTTAATTTCTAATAAAAAAAAATTGTTAAGCTTCATTGCCCAAAGTAAAGAAAATTAATAAATAATACCATATGCTAAAGTCAAGACTAATAATGTGATTACGAGGTGAAGTAAATTTTTCTTCGATTAAAAAACATAAGAAATGAATGGATTTTGATTTTATGAACATCCTATTATCTTCAAGTTCCATAATTTCCATATTCGCATTCGCAAAGATTTTGCGAATGCGAATATGGAAAAATATGCGAATATTCGTTACATCACTAATATGTCGCTCTTTTTTATTACGCTCAATTGTCAAATTACTATGGAGTTTGACAGTTAAAATTGTAGTGCTCATTCTACGGGGACTGCAAGAGCACCGCGATATGATGTATAACGCGCTTTTGTCGCGCTCAATTGTCTTATTACTATGGAGTTAGACGCGATTAAAAACGTTATATAATGTAAATTGTGGTGCTCATATTTCGGGGGCTGGTCTTTATAAGTAGGTATGTAGATAAGGTTTAAAATTATATCACACCTCTTTCAGGGAGAAAGTGCTCGCTGCCATTCCGTTATACATTGACCAGAGTGGATTATCAAACTGCGTCAGTCTTATCATAAAGCGTTTGTTACAATAAAAAAAAATCTTATTACTGATTATTTCTTTTTTAATATGTATTCTCATAATTCAGATCATACCAATCTTTTGTATAGTTTCTTAAGGTTTAGTAGTCACAAGGTGCTCTTTAAGTAGGCAGGTACCTACAGGATTTATTACCTGTTCACGAGCGCTTTTATTATTTTATTCCACCTTTTTCTAGTGATTGGTGTTTATGTTTACTTAATGTTTTATGCGCTTATGATAATATGTACTGTTTACTTTAGCTATAAAATAATATCAGTGCATGAACATGAACACAAAAGAACCAATAATAAATTATCATTTCTATTGTAGAAATTTTTAATAGAACACGACATGTAATGAATCAGACAAACCATGTGACACTTGCCTGTGTCGAGCGTAACAAATTTTGATCTTTATGTCCAACACATTAAGAGTGGACGCGAGCTGAGAGACATTTGAGAAATAGGTATTTAAATAAAAAATGATTGCTGCCACGCATTGGTAAAGTGAGAATAGGGACAACAGCAGTTAATGCCGAAAATTTAGTATAAGAATTGTAAAATTGGAGGTTTGGCGCTCGACAATTTCCATCTCCAAATCGAGGACTCAGTTATGCGATCTACTTAAATAGACGTCTTTAGTGCTGAAATTTTTTTGTTTATTTTTGGCCATTTTCGAGGACTTTTAGTTTTTTGAAACTCAAGTTATCGAAAAGGGGAAAACATAGGAGCATTGAAAATTATATTTTATGTATGAAAATTAATTATTTAGTGATTAAAGTCAAGGAAGAATCAGTAGAGAACGTTTGTATGGGAAAAACATTACCCGCCTCCCCCTCTTAAGGTTATTAAAATTCAAAAGAAATTATTGTATCACCTAGTTACTTCGATTTTCGAAGCTATATTAGCATAGCTATCTACATATTAGATTATTATATTATTTATTAGTACCCCTAGCCCTAACCAATATCGAATTCAAATAAGTAGATTAAATTCTTCCAAACAAAACATTTTAAAATTTGACGCGTATCGAGATCGAATTCGATAATGGTTCGTGCTTAGAATAGGTACTGTTGCTTTAAACATTGCAAGTCCTGTAACCATTATGGTGTGTAAGTTTTACAAGGCAGTAGCATATTAACAGGGTTCCGATTGCCACAGTCAGTACCTCTTAGTCAAACGTTGGATTAGTCACCCAAATACTTCATCACCAGCCTATTGATATTCCCACTACTAGGGCATGAGCCTTTTTAATGGATGGAATAGGGAGATTGGCCATGAACCATCTCATACAGGGTTACCATGTAGGAATTACAAAAGTCCTGACATATCGAAGTCCGGACGTTTTAGTCACAAAATGGTACCATTACTCCCATAGTTAAATCAATATGTACTTTTATTATTCATATTCCAATGATACCAACCCATTGACGGGCGGAAACCTCACGAGACGACATCCGGTCATGTCCGGACTATTGATAGGATGGATGATAACCCTAATCTCATAGTACTCATTTTCGCTGCAGGCATGTGGTCGGTGAATCCAACCGTGGACGTGGATGCTATGTTGTATTTCACACGGTATCTGGCCGATGTACCCGGATACGTGTACACAGAAACTGACAGAATAACATTCCAGAGGAAACTCGCGAAACAGATTGATGGCAAACCGTTGAATACAGGTAATATTTACAAGCTTTTATTTAACTTGCACTGTTCTTATGTACAAACATCAAAAAAGTTTGAGATCACTTTGGAAAATTTATTGTTTTTTGTGTTCAGAAGACTTTTTTGTAATTTCTTTTTCTGATAAGATTCTAAATTTAAAAATTAGAATGAGAACGTAAAACATCTATGTATGTAACTTCATCATATCATTTTCCGACCATTTCTTGTTATATTCATAGCTACTGTAGCTTTAGTTATCTATTGGAAATATAGCCTTAGAAACTGAGTGGACCTAGAAAGAAATTGAAACATGCTGAAAAAGGGTCTTTTATTATTATTAATTTTAAATTGCTTTTTTATGTGAATATAGACGACGGATAAGGGAAATAGTCTTAAAAGTACCACCGAGAAATCGAATGTGCCGAAGTCGTAATTGTTCCAGCGCGATCAAATTAAAAAAAATGCCTTAGAAAGGTTAAGGGAAAATATTAATTTGCTGAAAAGTCTGGCAATTCTTCCTATAAGTGGCTCACCAGAGAGCAAATATTTACTTATTCTAGGGGGGGTAGAGCGTATGTTTGGTAACGCTTTCCAAAATTTTAGGCTGCGACCGCGCCTGTAATTGGTTTTTTTGTATTTTCATAATGTTTTTCGTAGGTGTGGATTCTTCGTTGCTGATGTGCAAGCCGGCACTAGAAGACCTCCCGTCACTGCTTCCCCGCCTCCACTACTTGCAAGATTACAACAGCTTGGAAACCACGCCGGCATACAACAGGCTTTTCTACAAATCAAAATTAAAACTAGCCTTTGCTTTCGTCCTATCAGTCTTATACACCACGTATCTCGGACGAATTTATTTTAACTTGAATTACTTGTACAGCCTCCTCCTTATGAAATATTTCCCATATTTGGCCTTTATCAGATTCGGTGTGAAGGAATCATTCGTGAATATATTCATTGAAGACCCCACTGATGACACTCGGTTGATACCAAATTCTGAATATTACAAAAAGAAATTACCCAGTGAGGAGTCATGGTATAACAAATTGCTTATGACTCTTTGGTGAAAATATGGGCACTGATTTCTTTCAATAACCTTGTGCCGAGATAATAAAAATAAGTATAACTTATAATTAAGACAGCATAATAAAGTTGACCATAGTTCACCTTTTAATATTGTTAGACTGTAATTTTGTGACGGGTACTTTATAATACTTTTATAATATGACTTACCCATTGGTACCAATTATTACTTAATGATTTTGTTGTTGTTACGGATACTTAGATTTAAGACAGCGAAATGCTTTTACTTATTATTTCGTTTTTAAGTAAGAAATTAAATCCTAAGTCTGATTACAATTGCTCAAGTCTGAACAAAAATTATACATATATTATTATTATAAGTAATAAGAAAATATGTACCTATGTAAACAAATTTATTAGATTAGAAATATATTTAATGTTATTATGTACCTTTTATACATATCAATGGAATTAAAATATTCGTATGCACTGATTATGAGGCAAAGACAATGCACGCAAGATTTATGGCCGTACTCAGATACGTCTAATGACATTTTTAAGGAACATGTCTTATTCTAATTTCATCACAAAGAAAGAGACAGCACTAAATTCAACCGCACAGTTATTTATGTTTCTGAATGTGGCTAATAGATTTTAAATTCGTTATTAATTTTAAGGGTTGATTTTAGAATCTCGTGTTAGCGGAAACGGCATCTTGTATCCTAGGTTCCGCTTCGACTAGAAGGCATTTCAATACATAATAAACAGAATTGAAGTTTTTGTACTGAAAGTTTACATATTTTTGTAGCATTACGATAAAATATATTATTAGTCGTTGTAATGGCAAAAATGGGGTAGGATTTTGTTCTGAAGGAAGAAATACTTTTGTAGTTTTAATTGTACAATTAAAATCCATTTTACAATATCACCCCCACTCTGGGTTGTTTCTGATGTCAAGGTTGTTTAATGTCATCCAGTGTGGCGATACTGCGAGTAAAGATTTACACCTTTGCAATGAGACGACACTGAATGGTTTGATAAAATTGTATTTATTGATTATTGTAAATATTGTAATTAAGGAAATATATTATATTATATGCATTTGTAATAAATATAACAAGAAATCATGAACTAATAATAATATAATTGTTAAAAAATTGAATGTATTAATTATATTTATATTGGTTACGGATATAAAAAAAGTGGTATTTTCTATAAGTGGGTAATTTTTGCTCCAAATTTATAGTGATAATAGTTTTTTTTTACTCTAAACTTACTATTTTGAATAAATTAAATTGGGGATGAATAAAGTGATTTTTTTTTCAGTCATTATCAGAGGTTCACGTAATATAGGTGTTTGGATCGTTTAGCAGTAAGTACTTGCCTAAATAGCTAGTCTAAAGACGCTATTAAATGGCGTTAACATAATTAACATACATACATGACGCAAGCATAACTATATTTTAAATCACTACATAGTATAAAGCAAAGTCGCATCCCGCTGTCTGTCCCTATGTATGCTTAGATCTTTAAAACTACTCAACGGATTTTGATGTGGTTTCTTTTAATAGATAGAATGATTCAAGAGAAAGGTTTATATATATAATACGTTCATTATATAGTAGAAAAACACTTATAATTTAGAATTTTATAATGTAAGGTCGTAAATAGGGACACGAAAAAAGTATCGATACTTTGTGGTATCGAGTACTTTTCCTTTCGATACCGATACTTTTGTACTCGATACTTTGTATTCGATACTTTTACTAAATGAGTACATTTTGGCAAGTATCGATACCTTTAAAAATTTGGATAAACGCCTCATATTGATGGCAAAGCCATCTAGTTGAATCAAAGCAAGCCTTCTAAAACATTCCATTGCGTTGATATAATTGAAAACACAAGCAATCTAGTGTGTCCTGAGACGAATAGATGGCGCCATAGAATAGGGAAGATGCATATATAATATTTATGAACGTTTTATGATTAAAATGTTAAAAAAATATAAAAGAAATGTCACTGCAGCGTTATTATTTTACATAATGTTGTTTTTTAACAATTATTACGAACTAAAAATACTTGAAACAGAACGTATTTTAAAACACCAATCAGCGTTTAGTGACGTCACTCCTGTTATGACAACTTCTTTGAGGTTATGGTTGTTAAAGTAAATAGTATTTTATGGGAATATTAATTGCGTTTTTTATATAAAATAAAAATGGAAGTTGCGTTTATCAAAGCAGACTCCAGGAATTTACCAAGAGTTAGTGTTAACATGGTTATAACTTTTTTTGTCCAAAGTGCAGAGTTTTTAAGTGTAGAAATGAAAGGGACTAAATTACTACGGTCTGTAAAAATCGTAGTTGTTAAACTTCGTATTTTATTCAGCGGCTTCTACAAATCTTACGGCGATAATGCAATCGACTATGTCCAAATTAAAAGAGATGGAGAATTATGTACAGTAAAAGGTCGAGTTCTCCAGAGCATAAAGTACGTAAAGAAGGTTATCGTGTTACAGTTATTTTAAATGAAACGCAAAGCTTGGTTCAGTCCTGCCAATGTGAAGATTGTGCAACATATTTTAAAGTTTATCTAATTTTCGACGTCATTCTCCAACTGTAAAATTAAAAATATGTTATAGAAAGGTTTTGTATTAGGTAGGTTACAAATGCATTTTTACGTACAAGCAGATTAATTAACCATATAACAAGTATATTCGCCGACTTACGTCAAAGTGATCTTCACAGCATCGAATAATGGTCTTTGGAGAATAATTGTTATTTCTCTTCGCAGCTTGAAACCAGTTTTTTTTTCAGGTTTGGGTCAGAAGTTCCAGTCAAAAAAAAATTATTTGGAAACTTTGTTGAAGTAGATTGGCACAAAACATCACGTCAACGAGTCAACACGACTTTTTTTCGGAATATTAGTGGTATTGTTATAAAAAATATTTCGAAAGTCGAAAAAATATGCAAAAGTATGGAAATTTAAAGCCAGCGACGAACAAGTACGACCAGTGACAGACAGGAGTGACGTCATCGCAACCATAGGTTCGTTTTCGCGCGAAAATTTAAAGTGTCAATTTAAAACCGCATTTTTTCCGATATATCACAAAGTTTTAATTTTTTAATATATCTGTGGTTTATTCTACATGGAATTCTTTAAAATGAAAACAAAAATATTACATCTTCCCTATTAGGACAATAAGTAACTGACACATTCAAATTCTTTCCAATCTGTGACTGTGTTTATTTTGCGCTTTGTTGTTTCAAAATTATTTATTTAGCGACCACTATAATACGAACTATGATTGATCGTTAATTGAGCTTTTCGCTTGACCGTATTTGATTTATTTAATTGTAACACTATTATTCTGTCTGTGCTGTGTATACCTATTTGAAACATAATTATTAGAGAAATGCCGCGTAGTAAGACTGAACTATGGCAATATTTTGTCAAGATTGACAACAACGATGCAAAATGCAAGATTTGTTTCAAAACCATAAAATCGTCAGGGAATACGTCAAACATGAATAAAAATTTAAAGAAACATCCTACAGCGACGAGGTATATACCTATCTCTCTTGATCTTGTTATATACCTACACTTACGAATTCTACGAGCGTGGTTCGCAAGGCTGGTATATATAATAGTAAAAAAAAATTAACAGTATTTGAATACTAGCTTCTGCTCGCGACTTATTTAAGTTATAGCCTATATGTTATTCTGATGTATGAGCTATATTATAGTAAAGTTTCATTAAAATCCATTTAGTAGTATAAGCACGTTAAAGGACAATGTTAAAATTGGCCTAAGAACCAACACCAATTTGGCATTTATGATAATTCTTAATATATTTTTTGGGATAATTATCAGTATTTAGATTGTGACGGACACTTCCAGTTAAGTAAGCTAAATTAAAAAGTTGAAAAATAATCTGAGACAATAAATACCATTTTAAGTGTATAATCTGTGACAACGCTGCAAACAAAACACTCTTTCTTCCTAATGCCGGCACTTCACTTGGCTATTCGTATTTGCTATTTTAAAACATGACATCAGTCTGTCCTTTTCATTCCTTATTAAGCATGACAAGGAGAGTATAATATACAGCAAAGTGCATTCTCGTTTCGGATTACCTGTTGCGTGGCGTTTATTTGCGATTGTTTTTCCTTTAATTTAACTATTTTCGGCTATCTAATATGCTATCGATGTTACCAAAGAGCAGAGACCTTATTACCAAGTGCTAGTGAACCTTGCCACAACATCCTGAGAGGATCATACTGCCAAAGTTATTCAAGAACACCTGATACACATTCACGCTGCATATTTACAATATTTTCAATATACATGTGATATACAAATAAATACCATATACAATATGATACAACTATGTGAAAAATAGTCAATAAATAAGAAGCAAAACTACAGTTTTTATTTTATTCATAATTCCTACCTATCCAAGGTTTTCTTAATAAACTCTTTAAAATCGCACCGAATAAAATGAATTAGTTATAATATTAATACACTTCATACTAAGTTCATAGGTTGACTTATGTTTCATTGAATATTAAACATAACCTCAAAAAACATTTAGTTTTCCTAATAATTTAAGTTCTCAGAAGTGTCTGTCAATAATCTTTGTTTTTACAGTCATTTACTTACGATTTTGAACCTAGAAAATCATATTTCATGATTGTTGGTTCTTAGGCTAACTATGTATGGACGCTGAACAATGTCCTCTGATTGCTTTTCTTTCAATTTTAAATGCCCGCCCTGGTAATTATACGGAACGCCACATTCTGCTGCTTTTGGAGCCGTACTTTCTGTGTCTGGGAACAAAGGGAGTACCATGCCGGCGCGGCATAAGTACGGACCGGCCGGATGTAAGTCTTATAAATACTCACCTTTGTTCCCAGGGGCAGGTTAGATGTTAGAATGGGGCGGAGCGCTGTCTCTGCGGCTGTTGATTATGGACTCCTCTGCGTGGGCGGTCATCCTAATGTTCTTATCTATTATGACCCCCAGGTATTTTGTTGAACTGGCCCACTCGATTGGATGCCCGTCAAGTATGAGTTTGGGCGGAGGGCGCTTGTTGGTGGAGCAGATGGCGGCAGTCTTACCCACGTTGACTGACACTCTCCACTGCTCCAACCATTGGGGGAGCTTGTTGAGCTGCCTCTGCATCCTCATCGCGGCTGCCTTCGGCCATGCAGCGGAGGTAAAGAAGGCACTGTCATCGGCAAATAGGGCGAGGTGGACTCTGCTCTCCCACTGTTTCAGGTCCACATTAATTGAAGGGAGGTCGTCCGTATATGAACTGTAGAGGGGGGGCGAAAGAACGCTGTCCTGTGGGACCCCTGCCGCGATAGGGTGGTAAAGTGAAATGAAATGTCATTTATTCAGTCTAGACTGTTACAAGCACTTGTGAAGGTCAAGAAGCTACGCCATCGGTTCGCAAACCTACGGCGGGAGACCTTGTACTGAGAAGAACCGGCAAGAAACTCAGCAAGGGCTGCTTTTTTCTCCCTGTATTGATATGTATACAGAGTCGTCAAGTTGAAAAATGACTTCAGAGATACTTCTGAAGTCACCTTCCATTACATTAATTAGGATATAGATATATAAAGTTACAATAATAATTTTATAATTAGTATATAGGAAGCGGCACTAGATAGGTACCATATTATTGTTACAAAAACTGACTCATACCCATCAAATAACAAATTACAAGAAACACTATGTCCATGCATTACGATCATTTAGATAATCATTAACTTTATAATAGCCCTTATTCATAAATTCATAAGAGAATTCTTGATCTGAGATTTAAATTTGGTTAGTGGAAGCTCAATCAGATCTTGGGGAACTTTGTTAAACAATGCAATACTACATCCCAGAAATGAACCTCTTGATTTTTGGAGTCTGAAACATGGTGACTGCTCCCTCTACACTCACGTGGAAAGCTCGGTCTTGGAGGTAGCAGGCTATTAACTCGGACAGGGCCGGATGCACGTCAGACTTGGCCAGCTTGAAAATCAGACCGGGGTGCCATACCCGGTCGAAAGCCTTCTCTATATCCAGGAACACCGCCACGGTGCACTGTCCCCTGTTCTGGGCTTCGGCCATGTGGTGCAGTAGTCTGGTAAGCTGAAGGACAGTGGAGTGGTCGCTGCGGAATCCGAACTGCTCCTCTCGCGGCTTGAAATGGGGCTGCAGTCGGCGTAATAACAAGCGCTCAAATAGCTTCCCCACGTGATCTAGTAGAGTAATGGGACGGTAATTGCCCGGGCGCCTGCGGTCTTTCCCAGGTTTTGGGATCATGATAACTTTCCCCGTTTTCCAGGCGCTTGGGAAATAGCTTGTTAAATAGCCGCATTAAAGATTTGGACCCAAGCTGCAACGCCTCTACGCGGCAGCGCGGCTAGGGCGGTCGATGGAAGGCTATCCAGGCCTGGTGCCTTCTTTGGGTTGAGTCTGACAGCTGTCTTGTGAACTTCGGATGGGGAGATGAAGCTGTCTCCTGGTAGTTGGGGATGGTCCGCTCTAAGGAACGCCCTTGCGTCTTCCTCCACCTTTTTATGATGATCTGCGGCTTCTTAAGAGGCAGGATGTGGGGTGAACTGTGCCTGGAGGTGTTCCCCAAAGATATTTGCGCGGTCCAGGGCTGCGTAGCGCCTTCTGTTCTCTCTATCGATTAGTGGGCATGCTGGCTGGGCTGATCTGGTGAGCCCTCTGAGGAGTCCATATAGTCTGGGTCTGGAGAGGAGACTCATGGAATGCTACTGCATTCCATGAGTCTCCCCTCCATTCATGGACTCCGGACGCGACTTCGGCTGTTATTTTGTTCAGCAGCATTTTTGTGTGTGGACAGCGGGAGGTGGCCCAGAGCTTCTTAATTCTCTTTTTCTCGTCCAATTTCTGTCGCAGGGAGAGGAGGAGCGGATCCCGTCGCTGGGTGCTAATCCGGCTGGTGTGTTTCTCCCTGGCGGCTCTCATGGTCTGAACGAGGTGCTCTATGTTGGCATCTATTTCGAGTGGGCTCCTGAGTGGGTGGGGCAATTTGTAGCCACTCAGCTCCTTACTGCAAGCCGCCCAGTCAGTCTTACTCTTGGGTAGGGTCGGCGGAACAGCGTTGGGGTCTGTGCTGATGCAGATTAGGATTGGTAGGTGCTGAGTGCTCGTACTGTACAAAACCTCTACACTTATTGGAGTACGGATATTCTTGTGCAGAGCAATATCGATAGTGTCTGGGTTCCTCTGGGGGTCGGCTGGTATGTGGGTTGCATCAGGCGGCCCCACTACCTCGATGTTACGACTCTCCACCAGGTTAAGTAGTTTGCGGCCCTCACTATTGGTCTTAGACGAGCCCCAGGCGCTGTGCTTACAATTTAGGTCCCCCGCTAGAATTGTGGGCACCTCGTCATTGAAAAGAATGTCCAGGTCCGTTGCGTGAACTTGTGTGTTGGGGGGCTTGTAGGCTGCGTATATCTTTAACTCGTTGTCGCCGGCCTTGGTGCTGACTCCCGATTGTTCTTATGGACGTGTACGAGGCCCATGGAAGCTCTTCATGGACTAAATCCCTCCTGACGAGAGCCGCCATGCCCCTAAAGGGGATCCCTTCGGGGGTGGATTCGTCCCGTCGATATGTGTGATAGTTAGGTATTTTAAGTTTATTTTTCTTGAAACCCTCCTTGGGTTTCACCACGGAGGATAATATGGGCGTCTTGCTGGGTTGACATAAGTCGGAGCTCGTCCAGGTGCCTGCGAATTCCTCCTGGGTTCCAGTAGATGATTCTCAATGTCTTGTTGTGGCCCCCTGGAGCAGCCAGGTCAGGGCTCCTATTATCGCCTGGGTGGGATACATTCCTCTGGCGATATCCTCCATCAGACGATTGAGAATGGAAATTACTGTCAACATTGGCAGTTGTGGAAGGGTGGCTTGTGGTGGAGGTTGGTGTCCTCTGGGTGGATGAGCGTGGGCGGATTCCGTCTGGACTCTTCGTTGTGGTGGAGGAGGAGGGGGTTGGAACGCCGGTCTGGGGATAGGCCTGGCTGTCTGGACCACTTGGGGTCGAAATGGGGTTTGATGAGGAGGTGGGCCTCTGGGCCTCGAGTGCGGAGGTTGGGCTACCGTCATTGGTTGGGGAGGGGGAGGGGGAGGTCCCGTCCGTTGGGGTGCGGCTCTCAGTGGGCGAAATGCAGCTGAAGGGGCAGGGGTGGACTGTGGGCCTCCCCCTTGGTGAAAACCCGACTGGGTAGGGGGGACGGCTGGGTGGGCGATTGGAGGGGCCTCTAGCTCTTCGATTTGGGCGGCCGCTTGTGGCCTCCTTTTGCCTCTTCCGCGTCTTCTCCTTCTTGGGACAGGGATATTCCTGTCTGTCGCGGGGTTGGCCGGTGGAGCCAGGGTAGGTCCTGGCTGGGACTCTGGAAGGTAACCACATTAGCTGGTTGGATTTGTTGGAAAGGCTGGTGTTGGTTTCTTCCTCCAGGGATGGGTGGCTGAACTCTCTGGTTCAATCTGCGAGCCATTTGTAGGAAAACTTTGCACCTCCTGTCGTTCGCGGCATGGCTTTTGCCGCAGTTGGCGCACGTGGCAGCTTGTTCTGAAGTGCGCGGGCAGTCTGCAGCTGCATGGTCACCAGCACAGCGTAAACATTTTTGGGGCTGTGGCAGTTGGCCGAGCTGTGGCCGAACGCTTTGGTGGCATTCCGAGGAATGATCACCTTATCGGACTGGGAGGTAGAAGTGAAAACATAAATTAGGTGGGTAGGAGGAAAAAATGAAAGAAAGAGATAGCGAATGGGTGGGAGAAGGTAGTTTTGAAAAAAGTGGAATGGAGGGTGGGTACGAAAACACTATGGGGAAACACTTGTTGTTTTTAACACTAAAAAACACAAGTGATTCGACGATCACACGAACAAAAACACTTAGGCGTCTATATCGCAAGGGAAAACACAGATTTTGATTGGTGGTCGTAAGATCTCACACGCGAACGCGGAGGAGGGTATTTCGGTTCTCACTCGGCACAGTGGGGCAGGCGGGCTCAACGACGAGCGGAGTCACGCGACCTACCACGACGGCGACACGAGGAGAACTGATGCCCGCCGTGGATCATACAAACCAGTTTATATGCACTAACGCAGACGGCGGCGCGGGGCGGCTAGCTCAGTCCGCGCCACGCACTTTATAGTGATGGACTATTCACTAGAACGAACGTCCTGAACTGAATGCCTCTACCCGTCGTGTGCTTTGTGTACGCGGCGAGGGCAGCCGCAGACATCGACGGGCAGACGCGGTTTTTATTGCTTCGCGGACAAAATGCCCGCCCCGCCCCGTCGTCTGCAAAGCGCCTAAAAAGGTCTACAAAAAAGTCCGCGATGGTATATGCCTATCTCTTAGGGATAACCCACAATAACCGTTTTTTAATTACTTATTACGAGAATATAATGGCTTATTTACGAAAAAGCGATTTTAAGCAATACAGGATTAATCCTTATCCAATTAAGTACCTTAAATAAATTGTGCATGTAATATAAATCAATATGGCCCTTTACAGCATGTAATTTATAAATGAATATTTACGAAGATATTACAGATTTAAAATGCTGGTATATACCGGTTCGGGCGGTACTGGCCGAGGGGCCGGCGGCGGCAAGTGCCTATAGTAATTAGGTATTTAAAGAAAGTCATTGTGTTTAATAGAAGCTTGAGAACAAAAACTATACCTAGTCTAAACTACAGCTCTACACCGAAGCGGCGCGAGGGCGGGCCACTAGTACTTTATACAACACTAAAGAAGTCCTACTCTTTATAGAGGTCGCCACTATCGGCGTGAACGACGTTTCGCGTTTTGGTGTGTGTGACTTGAGAGCATTGAGCAAGTAGTCACACTCGTCAATAATTTGTTCTTTATTGTTAGTTTCAATTCTGCAGAACTATCATATCATATTGGTTTTGCTATGGTCCGATGGCATCTTTATTTACCCCAGAAATAAAAAGCAAACATATCTTTCAAATACTTTATGAAACACTAAAGAAGTCTTGCGCTTTTAACCTCGTCCTTTTGGCGACGTTGATCTGTAGCAAGTTATCAGTGAGGTTATTGGTAGCGCCATCTGTAGTTTTAGAAGTTGAGGGCTTAGAGGTTGTCACTTTTGGCGTAGACGGCGTTTGCGCGCGTTTGGGCGTGTTGTGTGAGAGAATGCCCATGTCGTTTGGTGTTAGTTTCAGCCGAGGTGATAATAAATGCTTGGTCGCAAGTCTTCGTGCAGCAGGCGACATACTAGCCAGCCTTTCGGTGTTGTTTCTGAAACTGCAATAAAAGCGGTGTGAGTTAAACAGTTGGTCATAGGGGATGATTTTAATCTCCCCACTGCTGTAGCACAGATCTTCCCTATGAATCGCTGGCGTTTGAGTGGCCAGTCCTAATGACTATTGTCAGTGATTTTAGTGGGTTGGGTCCTTTTCATTTCACCAACCCCTTGCGTTGGATGAAATGAGCCGGAATAAGTCTCAAATATCCTCGTTGCAGCGAGAAAGGCGTCGCGCCTTTCCACAGACAAAAAAGGGCTTCCCAACGGATAGAATAGGGGCACTGGGCCACGACCCACCACCCGGGTCCAGTATGACGGGTATGACGAATTTTATTAAGATAAGCGGCTACCCGCGACTTTGTCTGCGTTTACTTTAGTTTTTTGAAAATCCCACAGGAACCTAACATTTATCCGGGATAAAAAGTATCCTATGTCTCAATCGAGGTCATGAACTATATAGAAGAGCGGGCAGGAGAGGACAAGTGCGCGTCCTGGCTGCGCCCATCCCATGACCCTGCCCGCTGGGATCCCTAGCTGTCCGGCACGGCGCATTGTGCCGTAGGTAGCGTACTCAGCGCGGCTAGGCCGGGAGGCTGTGGGTGCGGAGACGCGGCAGAATCCCTAAACGGGGCTCCCGCGGTTTTGCACGTAGCAGCTTAGAGGGTATTAGCAAGGATTTTAGCGGATATTATGCCGTAAAGCGTCCGTAAGAGTTACGGGGTCCTCAGTGGGCAGCCACTGCGGGGGCCCGTAGGGTTTGCGGGAGCCAGGTGTGAGGTCCGTTCGGCGGTGTGCCTCTCATAGGCGCCGTCGTTTGTAAATAAAGGTTTTGTCTGCGTCACAAAAAAAAGGTCATGAACTATATGCGTACTAAGATTCATCCAAACCAGATAGGTAGTTTTTGCGTGAAAGCGTAACGAACAAACTAAAGTCCCATTCGCATTATGATACTAGTTAGGATTTGCCGCTCCAACAAGGTTACACTCACAGTGGCGTGCGCGGCGTGAGGCGCGGCGTGGTAGGGCGGTGCCGTCGCGCGGCGCGCTCGGCCAGTTGCAGCGCCAACCGCTCGCGGGCACCTCCCTCCAGCATACGGTACGCAGCCCCCGCGCCCACGCTGCGAAAAACTCTAAATTAAACTTTTTTCTAAACTCAGTACCCTTTGTCTTCCAGTTGGGGAAATAGGCTATTTGAGCAGTATGAAATATAATTAAGATTTATTTGCTTTTGTAAAGAAGATAATGGTGTCGATTCTAGCATGATTCTCTAAACCTAAACTTAAATTTGACAGCAGTATATCCTTGTCGTTCTCTATACAGAATGAAAAGGAGAGACTGATGTTAAATTTAGTTTTAAGTTTAGAGAATCACGCCAGAATTGGCATCAATGTCTTAAATCTAGATAAAATTCCCAGTACCATAAAGTAATAATTCTTTGGCATCTGCATTTAATATAAATATTCTACTATTCTGAGAGATAAAACAATAACTGTTTTCCAAAATCATTAAATAGAAATGTTTTTTTTTGTCTATTGTCACGAGGCTGAAAAGCGCTTTGGCGATGACTAAAGTGACGTCACTCGCTAGTAAACTTCCGGTCAAAGTAATATTATATTGTATAGTTTGACATATTATATTGTATAATGACAGCCGAGTGACGTCACTTACCCGTGAGACGCCATAATGTGTATAGAAACATTAACGCGGCAACTTTTTAATTTAGTTTTTTTAAAACTTGTCAAATATTTACCCTCTAACAAAAACCCTTGTTTCGAATTACCTGAATGTAGAATTCATGCTGGTTTCTTTCCGATGGGAAAAACAACATTTAAAACATATATATTTTTGCATATCTTGTCAAACATCTGAATTAATTGTGATTTTTTTAACGAGAATAAGTTATTCATAGTGGAGTAGGAGTTGAGTTGGAAGCTGTGCTCCAGAGTTAAACGCCGTATTTGTCGATCGGATTCAGGATGCATTTGTATAAAAGCTGTTTGTTTTGTCTTATGTAAATCTTATAATGTGTCTTGTGTTTTGTTACGAAACTTGTCGAATACTATAACTAGCTTCTGATTTGAAAAAAAAAAGTAAACGCCATTTTAAATTTTTTAGTTATTTGACCGATTACTTTGTTGGAAAACGGCACAAATTCCCAGATATCGATTTTCAAAGGTTCCATTAATAGAATAAGAAAAAAATAGCCATCTTGAACTCTTTAATTCGACTAATTTCTTAAAATGTTGAAGAATTTTTTAATTAGACAATTTTGATTGTAAACTAGTCAATTCATTCGAATATTTGATCACTAATGGGTGCCCGGGACTTCGTCTGCGTGGAAAATTTGTTTTACCATACAAACTTCCGCCCTCCTTTTCACCCCATTAGAGGATGATTTATGGGATAAAAACTACCCTTTGTCCTACCCCGGGACTCAAACTATCTGTATACCAAATTTCATCTAAATCGGTTCAGCGTTAATCTTGAAGAGGTAACAGACAGACACACTTTCGCATTTATTATGATAGTATGTATGAATGGATTAATTAAAGAACCCAAATTAACGTATCAATAAATAAAAGCAGTGGCGTAGCATAGGTCACTAGCACCCGGTGCGGATTCCAAATTTGCCGCCCTCTTATTTTTGCAATCCATTATAAAAAAATTGAGGCATGGTAAAAAGAATACTTTTATTGAATAACACTAACCTATGTATGGGTATTTGGTAACAACAACAAAAAAATGACGAAAAAAAACTGAAAGAAATTAACTTTTTTTTATATTTTATTTTTTTTTTCTCTATCTGCCACCTCCGCAGCGCCGCCCCCGGCAAAGTGCCGCCGGGTGCGGACCGCACCCCCCGCCCCCCCCCATGCTACGCCACTGAATAAAAGCCTATTAATTTACAAAAATTAAGAATGACAAGCCTAATGGAGGCCATACACATTAGGTTTTGCATGATAGTTTTAGCCGTGCATGCATAACCGACATGCATAACCGAGTTTCATATTGAACATACACGTTAGGGTTTGCATGTACAGTTTTGCCATTACTCTCAGTTGAGCTACGTGACGGTATGTGTAGAACGCCTATTAAGTACTGTGAATGGAATATTTTTTTTAATCACATCCTTCGTAGCTGTGGGCACTAATTCCTTGACCTTAGTTATCAATCTCTGGTATTCTTTGCACTTTACGCCAAAGACAAGGTTCCGACTTATAACTTTCTATAAATTCTTCTAATGTTGCATTGCGCTTGCGACTAGCCATTTTCGAAACGACGCGATGGTGCTCGGACCTTCCGCCGTCGCAACAATTAAAAACTGAAAACTGTGACAGGCAAGCTCGCCAGACGCCACACACGCTCGGTTATGTTCGCGCATGCATAACCGAGCGGCATAAAATATCAATTTTGATATTTGTTCGGTTGCATGTACATGCACCGATAACTGTACAGTTTTATCACATACACGCTAGGGTTTGCATGTCGGTTATGCAATATGCATGTACATGCGTAGGTATTTATCTCAACAAAATGGCCTAGTTGCGGTACTGCTTTAGCTAATATTATATACTGAGAAGCCATGTTAGGCCACCCCTGCACGCTGGTCTCTTCCTGTTAGGGGAATTAATACACGCCGTCCACGATACTTTTTAATTTGGAACTCACCCTGGTGTCTTTCCATTTCGAAACATTTGAATTTGGAACTCATGCTAGTGTCTTCTCATCTACAAAAATTTGAAATTGGAACTCACGTTGGTGTTTTCCCGTTTCAAAACATTTGAATTTGGAACTCACGCTGGCAGCGGCGTGTCTCCTCCGTCGAGCCTGAAGGGCGTTCCCTCGATGTGGCCCCAGGTCATGAGCGGAGACTGGTCTGGTCCGACACCGGGTCGAGGAGATGGAGTCGCCAGATACTCGTACTGGGTGCCCTTTTCACCCACGCCGCTTATGCTCACGCCGTCCACGCCTATCTTGCCCGTTATACTTGCATCCTGTACAGAATGGTGTTACATCATTAATTCATCATCATCAGCAGCCTATTAATTTCCCCACAGCTGAGGCACAGGCCTTCCCTATGGATGTAATAGGAAAATTGGGCTATGACTCACCACTCGGGCCAAGTGCGGATTAGTGAGTGCTAACGACTGCAGATGCAGCCGGGACCAACGGCTTAACGTGCCTTCGAAGCAAGAACGAACTCGAGATGGAAATTTTTAGTCACCGATGACCGACCACCGCGAAAGTTGCTTAACTTCAACGATCGCAGCCAAACGCGCTAACCACCTGCGCCATCGAGCTCCTCCATTTGTTAATAAATAGAGTAAAATTAAAACAAAGTGACATACAGAGTGCAATAACAACTTAATGTCTGTAAGTTAAGCGCAAGTCAAAGCGCAGTAAACAGGGATTGGCACTCGACTGAAACCGGCGCGAACATGGCACTCGCTGCCAGTTTCACAAATGAAGATTGAATCGCACTATTCTTGTGGCACGTGTGACGCAGGGCTTGACACACGCGAATATATTGTTAAACGTTGTGGTGCAGTAACTCCGGTTTAGACAAGGACTGCTGACTCGCCATCAATTAACAATTTCCTTATTTAATCACATACACAAACTTCGAGCATTAACCAACCTGTGTCCTCGCGATGGCAGTGATGGCCTCCTTATTCTTGACATGGTCAAAGGGCTCGGCTTTCAGCCTCGTGTTGTGGTGGAGTAACTCCGGTTTAGGGGTCGGTTTTTGACTCTCCGCACCGTCAGGGACGTACATTATGTAGTTCTTTGCCTTGTAACGCCATGTGTCCAACTAAAAAAAACATCATAAATTAACGTCTTTGAGCTTAGTGAATTTTACGCTAACTGCCTGCTCTATGATCGCATGTCTATTCTATTCTATTTTTTGTAAAGGCTGTCTGTTGTCTCCTTAGACAATTCTGCCAATGTCAGGGTTGAGTGCTACAGATGATCAGTTTTTTTTTTGCAGTTTTACGCATCTTCCACTATTGGCCGGTTGAGTGACCTAAAAGGGTTATATAAAAAGGTTATAGACGACACAATCCATACGTGTGTATGCATCCAATCTGTGTTATATCCATACGTCAACTTATACAGATAACATTAACACATTTGTACAAATGAATACGTTATGCCATTGCAGTAAGGTTCAATGTCAATTGTATACGAGAGAAAGAGTGGGTTTGGTTACGGTGCGAGAGAGACATACACGAACAAGTGACGCGCGGGACGCACACAGTTATTGGAGAGAGATTGTGTTCTATATATTGTAATGAAATAAATTTGCAATAGGATAGTAAACGCCAAGATAGTTGTGTAATTTTATTACTTTAAAGGGTCTAGTACCCATTGGACCCTCCTAATTGGACCTTACCTACAAAAAAGTGCCCGTTCGACCTCCTATCAAGAACATGGTGCCCATTGGACCCTCAAAGACGTACTTAAGTCACACAATGAGAGCTACTGGAGCTCTTAACTATTTGGCTAATTCTTATGGAACGGTAAAGTACAGTAGTATAGTAAAGTAACATTGTAAAAGACATAAAAACACAAAGGTTATAAATCTAAGTATTTAATCAACATATTTATAAAATTCAAAACACTCATCATCAGTAACAAACCAATATAAATATTTACATAAAATATAATAATCAAATCACAGATTTTTTACTTTACTTTTAAAGCCAATAGAAATTATTTTTTATCAAATAGCTTAACTAAATTATAAATATGGTTTGTTATATCACACAGATAAAGCAAAATTATTATATATTCTAAAAATTGATAAAATAAATAAAAGCACAAAGGTTATAAATGTAAGTATTTAAAATCAACATATTTATAAAATTCGAAACATCAATCATCAGCAACAAACCATATAATATAATAATCAAATCACAGATTTTGTTATTTTACTTTTACAAAGTTTTTTTTATCAGATAATAATTTAATTTTTCATACAGTTTTTATATCACTCAGATTAACTACCGAAGCACAATTATTATGTATTCTAAATATTCATAAAATAAAATACCAATGTTTTTATATATAATAAAATACCAAATTTCTAATCATATTTTTACAATTAACCAGAAATTGCTTATTACAAAAACATACTTTAACTAAGGGATATGGTTCAAAAGCGGTAGTCGGTTTCCGGCAAGGACGAAATATATATAATTTGAAAGTTTGTATAACATGAATAGATACTTTGATTTTTTTATTCATTACCGATTATTTTAAAATCGTGTTTAATAATTAAATAACTTTGTAAGTAAGATAGGGTTCTTAGTAACGTCATATTTTTAGTGCGTGGTGGCTTATAAAGTCAACTCAATCACTATGGCAAATGTCAATCAGTCCAGTCATGGATTATTATCAGAATTATTATCACTGCTTTTGTTACACATTGAACATAATATATTTGATGCTTGGCAACAAAAAATAGATAAATAAACTTGCCATTTGCAAATCAATTATTAGATAGATTTATGTTATCTTTATATATATAATTCTTCTGTGAGTGTGTATGTCACTGAACTTCTCTTAAACGACTGGACCGATTTTGATGAAATTTTTTGTGTGTGTTCAAGGGGATCTGAGAATGGTTTAGATTCACAAAGACGTGTAGACAGGACAACGTCTGTCGGGTCCGCTAGTTTTATTATAAAAAACCGGGATAAAATAAAATTCTAGTTTTTTGTCAAACGATTCACAATTAAGTGCGCTGCATCTCATAAAAACTTGGAGTCTGCCGAAAGACCCACTACCAACCTCCATAAAAAATTTAACAGTCTTCTTTTGTAAAACATTATAAATTACCAAATTAAATATTTAAGGCGCATATGTGAGTAATTTTAAAGTAATGGCCTACGGTTGTTAGATTATTTTCTAGCTGCAACAGGTCATAAATCGGAACGAGACAGCAATATTTCTCTCTCTCTCCCACATCGGCGCCATCCTTTTGTTTAAGCGCAGAAAGCCCAAGCAATCGCTTGGGCTTGGAATCTAGAACCTTCCTTTCACCAGGTGCTTAAGAGGAGTATAGCTGCAGATAAAAACACTCAATCTCCCTCAGAATTTCAGTCTTAGATCAAAAGATGATGTCTTTGCAAAATCCACCGTCATGTTGCTTAGATTGTCTAGATCCAAGCTGTTTTAAGGAACTTGGAATCAATCGAACTTTGTTCGATTTGAAAGGTCTTGTGGATTTGGTGTTGCGCTGTAAGGGTATTTATTGGTCAGTGTACGATCGCCCTATTGAGTGAAAACTTTTTACATTAATGATCATTAATGTAATTAAATTTAAAATTAATGTAATTAATGATCATTCCTTTAAATCTAAAGCACAAACATATAAAATGATCTTTAAAGAAAAAAAGGTTTACAATATTTACGAAAATAAAAAGATAATGAAGTATTATCATTGTCACTTAGTTTGCACCCTTATAACCCATAGAATAAAAATACATGTCAGTAGTGCAATATTTGGTTTTGGCTCCTTGTCAATACGAATAAAATAAAAATAAACATTATACAAATTAAATTTTGATTACTTTTGATTCACATTTTATTTTCTAAATATCTCCCTTATATCTTATTGTACGAGTACCTTACTAAAAAATTCAAATGTTTTAAAAATTAGCTTTTCTTAAAGGTTTCTATCATCTTTCTGCGTCTAATATTTATAGAACAATAGACGAAAAACAGTTTTTTTTATTTTTCCTTAAAACTTACATTTTTGTAGTTATCTTTTTATTCCCCGGGGACGGCGAAATATCGTTAATTCGAAGAAAAAAAGTTACCTGATTTCTTTATAATTTGTTTAGGACTACTTACTGGTTGGAGTCAGTACTTATACAGTATTTAGTTAGTGGCTTTATAATACCTACTATTAATTTTATTTTTGTCTGCAATTTTCTACATGACTGTACTGTGCTTAACAAAACTGTTAATAAGGTCCAACTGGCAGTAGGGTATAATCTTGAAGGTCCAATGGGCACTTAAAAAGAGGTCCAATGGGCACATTGAATATAAAATTTTTAAGGAGGTCCAATGGGCACCAAAAAAGAGGTCCAATGGGCACATTGAATATAAAATGTTTTAAGAAGGTCTAATGGACACCAAAAAAGAGGTCCAATGGGCACTTTTTGCTTTTGGGTCGAATCTTGAGGGTCCAATGGGTGGAGGGTCAAACAACTGAACACTTTGTGATTGCGTGGCGTTGTAATCAAAGAGCTGTCGAAACAGGACTATTTTAAAATTACGCACATTAGGCATGTGTGCGTAATTTTTCTTCTGAAATTTTTTGAGCGCAATTCTGAGTCTACTTGTTTCTATACATACATCAATGAAAGATATGCATGATTTCAACATTTTTTGCAAAAACATGCAACTATGACTGAAAAGGGGTTAAATATTCAAATTCAATAATAATATGCATTCACATATAATCTGACCTTTGGTCATGAGTATGCATACCTCTTGTGGTCTCTGTGTCTGATCTGCTTGTTGCTCAATGGAGGGAAGCTCTATTGCAGCTTCAACCAAGGCAAGTGATGTCATTTCCGATTGCAATTGTGATGCAAGTTTTGTAGCACGCTTTTTGTCTTCAAGTGCTATAACACGCTCATAGCTGGCATTGTCCTCACTTGTGTGATTAGATAGGAATGAATCTGTAATAATGACAAATGTAAGTTTATAGACATACAACTAAAAATAGTTATATTTTTTTGCGAGGACTATTGTTAAATCATCTAGCAGAAACATGTAGTAGCTTTCTTTGACATTATAAAAAGTACAAGCCTATCAGATTATCAGTCAACAGAAGTACAAACCTAGAGTATGTTTATCTGTAATATCTTTTGATTTCTCATTTTCTGTATTATGCTCTTTATTAGACCTCTGTCCTCTTACAGTAGGTGCTGATGGCGAATAGGGACGGTCTACATTTGGTGTATCAAAAGTGGCGGGAGAGTTATCTGTAACAAAAATAAGTTATGATATGCTTAACCTATGTTTATGCTATAGTATTGTGCTAATGTCTAAGTTATGGAGTTTAAATGCATCTTTTGGCAAACTATAATAAAATATAAAAATAGGTATTTAACAACAAAAGTCATCTTACATGGCTCTGTAGGAGGACGACTTCCACTGTACTTTCTTGTGATTTCTGCAAGTCTACTGTAATCTTTGTTTTCTGTTGCTTCTAAAAACTCATTTTGAGCATTTAACTTCTCAAGGTCAGGAAAAAAATCTCTTTGAATAATTTTTGCAATACCCTAAAAATAAAATAGAATATTAGCAGGTTATCATTATATAATTACTCAAACATTATGGTTGTATAATTTGTAAAATATGATTAAAATTTAATAAATACATCATCACCAGCTTTTTCAAATGGTACAACTAGTGTTCTCTATGAAATGAATATGAATAGAATTTGGAAAATGGTTTCATATCTCATCAACTGGGCACAATGCAGATTGGTGAGTACTAATATCCCTTTATTCTCATTTGTTTGATCATTAGTTTGATCGTCGAACTAGTGAGAACAATAAAATCTCAGTAGTTGGACAATCGAACTAATGAGATAAAAAAATCTCACTAGTTCAACGATCGAACTAATGAATCAAACATGAGAATAAAGGCTTATAACTCCATGGTGCATCATGAGATAATACATTTAAAGTCACCCACCCTATGTAATAAAAATTGTTACTTGTTTCTAAATAATGCATAAAATAAGGCCTTAAAGTGTTGTAATGTGATATCCATATAACTGATTGTATTGCTTCCAACCTGATCTGATTACTTCCATTTAATTTCTTAAAAACTTAACTGTATGCACTCAAGGTCTTAAATTTATGTATTTTTCGATAAAAATAAATAAAGGGAAATAAATAAATATTCCTGATAATAACACAAGTATCAAGGAAAACAGTCTACTATCAAATAAAACAAAATCTATGATGGGTTGTAAGGATTGCTTGACTTCCAACAACCAAAGTTGCTCCCCCTTGTGTTAACCGCTGCATCATTAACCCTGTCTTCTTACAGATATTCTTGTTGGGACATATTATATTTTTTGAGTTTAAGTAATTCTATTAACCATCAGTTATATATGAGTGTTGGTGGCTACAACCACCACTTTTATACATTTTTTTTCAGTAGCAATAGAGCCACTGAACCTTAACTGTGTTATCTTCTTTTCCCAAACCTTTTAAATACGAACTTTGAGTAGAGCAGAAACATTTCTACACTTTCATTTCCAATCACGCTACGTCGCTGGTTACCAGTGCTCTTTAATTTGGCTCTTTACGCGACGTCACATGAAGTGTCCGAAGAGTTTAGTTTGAAGAGTATTGCGTGGGCCACCAGCAGGAAACTCCAATTTTAGTTTTGCCAATTAAAGTGTTAAAACTCAGTCACAAGAGAAAGGCAGCTTTTACTAACTAGAGTAATCTTAATCCATGTAATATAGCTACTCTGGCCAGTAATAGTAAAGTCCTTAATAGCTAACAAGAATATATTATACCTAATTTTGCTAATATCCTCTAACAGTATATAATTCAAGAACCCTATTATTTAAAAGTTAAATGCTATATACAAAAAACTTCTAACATTATCCTTGCACTGTCGTCAAACAACCTACATTATACCTAGATCACTTTCATGGTAACAAATATAAAAATAAATAAATCACAATATCTAGTAACAACACAGCAATTATTCAATTTTGATAATTTCTAAACAATTTATAAATAAGACGCTTACTTCAACATATTCGTCCTCATCTAAGACTTGTGTTTTCTTTGAACATATTTTCTTTACAGGCACTTTGGGAACTTTGAAAACATTGCTCTCAGTTTGCAATAATTTCATGTTTTGTAATGCAGCCTCTCCAGGCCTACATGATTTACTGTGGTCAGACATAGTAAATAAAAGAACTTAAGCGTTCATAGTAATTATTAGTTAATACAAATGTTATATATTATTTTTAAAAGTGAAAATCTGTTTTTCAGAAAGGTATTTTCTAACTTTTTCAGTTCACGAAAATAGTGGACACTGTGGACAAAAATTTCTATCATGCATGACAAAATGTCAATGTCAATTAAACATACGTACGTCAATTATCATTATACTTTTTTTTTTATTTTATGACCTGGTAACAAAGACCTTTAGGTCATAACTTATTTGGATATCATTATACCATCCAAAACAGATTTAAAATGAAATTTACTATAGTAGGGATGTCGATCTGAGAACGATTAATGAATTAAACTGAATCGCACTTTGTGAATAGAGGTAGTTTTCCAATTACAGAGCATAATGCGACTCAGTGGCGCACAATGCCGAATTATGCTGATGCTTAATTGGAACGTGAATTAGTTTTCAAATGCACCAGCAGAATGCGCTAAGTTCAGTGTTGAAAAAAAAAGTCAATGTTTGTACCTTCATCCATAATTATATTTATTTATAGAAATATAAGAAAAGCACTTGTTAATTTTCTGTCACTGAGTTGGTACGATTGCACGCATCACACGAAAACATTACTTTTGAGTGCACTCGATTGAGCGAAGCGTTGCTGTAGTTGAAACATTCAACGTTAAGCATTATGCCGCATAATGCGCTCTAGTGCTGTAATTGGAAAACTACCAGAGTTTTCCTCCTAAAAAAGCGACATTAGATTTTTTTTCTGTTTGGTAAAATACTTCAGATCACTATAATTTGTTTCTGTTCTTCTTATAATATGTTTTATTGTGTGTGAAATAAATAATATGTAAACTATTGAAAACCGTGTCCTAGCGTACACCAAATCGAATTCGAGGTTGTTAATCATGCTATTAAATTTAAATAGTGAGTAAATAGTGCCATAAAGAATCTTAGGAAATAATGGTATCGATTCTGGCATGACTCTCTAAACTTAAAACTAAGTTTAAGATCAGTCTCCTGTTCGTTCTGTATAGAGAATGACAAGGATACACTGTTGCCAAATTAAAGTTTAGGTTTAAAGGATCATGCCAGAATCGATACCATTAACTGTTTTCATGGTGTACACTGGCGTGACGATCAAGGTAGCATACACCAGACCATTCTCGGAAACAGCTTATTATTATGCAACCAAATTTGCACAAAAAATAGTGCTCTAATAGTGCCCACACTATGCAAAATTTCATAATAATCATAAGGGAACAAAGATATATAACAAGACTTACAAATAACCTTTGGAACTGGTGTCATGGTAGCGTACCCCAAATAAAGAGAAAGCGAATCTCTCTTTTCAACATATAAATAGTGCGAGAAATTCTGCCTCTTGTAATATAAAAAAACTACATGAATTTGCAGCAGAATAATAAAAATACTGGTGTTTACTTCTAGGAACAGATGTATTGATATATATTCACGATTTTAAGGCCCAATTTTGGAGAAATTCTCAAATGCTGAAATATATTCCTAACAAAAAACATTGCAACATTCAATATGCTTATTGGATGGTAATTTTATTACTTAAACGAAGATAATACATTAATATAACACAACCTTAAAAACTACTATACTGATGTCGATTCTGACATGATTCTCTAAAGCCAAACTTAATTTTGACAACAGTGCATCCTTGTCATTCTCAATACAGAATGAAAAGGAGAGACTGATGTTAAATTTAGTTTTAAGTTTAGAGAATTACGCTAGAATCGACACCATTGTATTATTTTATTATAGATATAGATACCTATTATAATGTAAATAAATTCATGGGTTTCACTTTCAAGTATCCGTCATGCTAGCGTACACCGCATTGAATTCGAGGTTTTACTTATCCTATTAAGACGTGCCTTAAAAAATCATCTTTAGTTTAGGAAATAATAGTGTCGATTCTGGCATGATTATCTTAACCTAAACTAGAAATAAAAAAATAATCTATATTTACATAGTAAATTAGAACTCATTCACACAGAAAAAATGATCATCTTTTACTGAGACGTCTCAACAAAAAATAACAAACAAACAGATGTATTCATATTTTAGATCATCTTCCTTTTTGATGTCGGTTACAAAATGAATTCAGAAATCGATCTCTTTGAAATAAAATTTTCGTGAATACACTGGTGCCAATAGGCTAGTTGACCCTTTTTGGAAAAAGGTTTTAAATGGTAAACAAATGTTCTATTAGACCGAAAAAAAATGTACTGTATTTTTTTTTAAACCTAGAAAGCTACAAATCTTTAATTTTATAGACTTTTCATGGACATACAAAAACGCTGTCGGCCATTTTAGTCTATAGATTATCTATGCTATGACGTGAACTGTGGTAAACAAAAACTCGTAAACACGTAGAAAATTACTTTTAACTGAGTTTATAATAAAAAAAAACATGATTTCTAATAAATACCACGAAAAATAAAGTAATAATCATTACTGTATTGTACGAGAATATAAAAACACATCCTTGAAGACTCCAGGAAAGTTGTGGATTAAAGTGCCGAAAGAAATTAACCTACGCAACTTTATTACACTTATTCATATGTTGTATCAGTTTTATGTTTATTACTACAGTTACTTACTGTACACTTATTCAGTGACTGTACATCTCAAATGATAAAGTCTATTTTCTAAGTCCTTTACACACTACCCATTTTGCTGAATATATGGATAAAAAAGACTGGATCTTCATCGCTTTTACATGTATAACTCTGTCTCACATACTGGACTGGATCGAGGAAGATGGATAGTGGGTAGAGAACTTTACATTCTGTGGCTGTGTGCTGTACTCTGTGTTATGCTGATCTTAGTCTGTGGCATAGAGAAAGGTAAATATACGTAGTATCTCTAACTAGTCTGTGAGGTAAATATACCAAAAGGGTCTGTGGGGTGGATTTGTTTGTGAAACTTGATAGTGTTTTGCGACTTACTTGTTCACGGATAACTAAAGTAATCATGCTAAAAATTAATGGATAATCATTTAAAAAGCGAATAACACCTCGTGATATATAATAATTTTGAGTTTAATTTAAGCAGAAGTGTATCAATGTCGCTTAAATAGGAAGAAAACGCACAACAAACATGGGTTTGGACTTTGACGTATTTGAGTTTTGCAAAAAATTGCGGCAAAACCGGCCTCCGCCGTATTTGTGCCCCTTAGAAAAATGTGATAAGGTTTACAAAAGTTTATGTGGGTTGCAGTACCATTTAGTTAATTATGACCATGATAACCCCACTCCAGCAACACCAGCTGTTGCTAATAATCGTAAGAAAAGCGGAAGATGTCGGGCTCCTGTACCTACCGGTGATATCGCTCTACAGAGCCCACCAAAAGAAGCCCTTACATTTGCTGAAGCCCAAAAACTAGTTCAATTTGAAATAGATGGGAAAATAAGCAGGATTCCTATTGATCAGCCCTTGCCTATTATGTCTTTGGAAGAGTGGGAAAAGAAGAACTCTGAACTTGAAAAGCCTTTACCATTCATAGAGCCTACACCAGAGCCACATGTTAAGTTACCTGAAGCAAGTTTCAAGGTAGTTTTATATTACTACAAACATTTTATTGTTCAAGCAAACATTTTATACAACACATATTTATTTAATGTTTTTAGCTTATCCCTGATTACAATGAGAGAGTTTGTGATGCACCACCTCGTCCAAATGCTTACATAAGGTTTATAGAGAAGTCTGCTGAGGAATTGGATGGTGAAGTGGAGTATGATGTTGATGAGGAAGATACTGCATGGTTGTCAATTGTAAACAAAATGAGAGCAAAACAAGGATTGCCTGCCGTATCTGTTGATACATTAGAGCTTCTAATGGATAGACTTGAGAAGGAATCTTATTTCCAAGTAAGTACAGCATATTATAGTTCTGATAAATTGTTAGATAATCTTGAAGGATAATTATAATTTTACATTCAATCTATTAAAAAAAATACTTTATGGTTCACTACAAATTACATATTTAAGACATCAATGTAAACTAAATAGAAAAAATATTTTTCATGTAAAACAACTTCATTTTTAAGAACTACTTTTTGCAACTCCCTTTTATTTTATAGTTAGGAAAGAGATTATCTTATATAATTATTAAAAGTTTTTATTTAACTTGCAATGTATGTTTGTTCGCATGTAACTTCTTTTTCTTTAATCCTCCACAACATACATTTTTTTACATTCAATTTTACCCCATTGCACTTGCTTTAGATTAGATGAAGATTATGGAATGAGTGAAAGTAAACATTAAGTCCCCCCAAACCTTAACAATATTTTGTCAAACAATTTTTCTTCTTTTTAGGCAACACAAACTGGTCAGCAGACAGCAGCAGCAGTTGATGAAGATGCTGTTTGTTGCATCTGCATGGATGGTGAATGTCAAAATACCAATGTGATTTTGTTCTGCGACATGTGCAATCTAGCAGTGCACCAGGACTGCTATGGTGTAAGTTGACTCAGAGCCATTAACCATGTAATTTAATAAAAACATGGTATCAAATAGAATTAGTGTCATGGAGATATACTTTCAAATTTATTATATAAAACTGTTCTCAATTTCTCAATTATACTTTCAAAACACCAGTTTTTTGACCAGAACTTGTCATTCATATTGTTTTAATAAAACAGTAACTAACATGAAACAGTAATAATTATGTTTACTTTTTTGTTAGGTTCCATATATACCGGAAGGTCAATGGCTTTGCCGGCGCTGTTTGCAGTCACCTTCCAGACTCCTCAATTGTGTCCTTTGCCCTAATACTGGAGGTAATTAATCCCATTTTATGAATATTCCAGCTAACTGTTTCTGATAATTCACAAGTTATTAATTACAAATGTATTTCGTTAAGTATAGTTAAGATAAAATCTATATCGTATTTTAATATTTCTTGGAATATAGGTGCATTCAAACAAACAGATCAAGGGACATGGGCGCATGTAGTCTGTGCACTCTGGATACCAGAAGTCCGTTTTGCAAACACTGTTTTTTTGGAGCCTATTGGTAAGTCAGTTATTTTATTGTGTATATTAAAATAAACAATTTCATACTAAATTTTAAAACCCCTTTAAATATTTAAGTAGGTTTTTTAGTTTCTTTCTCAAGTTGATTTTTTACAGGCAGTTGCATACATTTATTAGTTTGATTTTGCAGACTCCATAGAGATGATTCCAGCTGCACGTTGGAAACTGTCTTGCATGGTTTGCAAACAACGCGGTGCTGGTGCCTGCATCCAATGCCACAAGTCCAACTGCTATGCTGCTTTCCATGTCACTTGTGCACAGCAAGCTGGGTATGTATTATGATAGATAGATAAATTCTTTATTGCTTACATACAAAAGAATATAAAAAAATTGGGCAAAGGCGGCCTTATTGCTTTAAACTATTTTTAACTGACTTCAAAAAGGAGAAGGTTCATGTGATTATTGTTTACTTGGATGATGTAATAATAATAATAATATAATAATCATTTTCACTAAAATGGATGAAATATTTTTTTTAACAAATAATAAAACCGACTGCAACATTGAAAATGGAACTATAAAGTAAAATCTATCTTGTCCCCGTCAGACTTCCAGATCTTGAACCAGATATATGTTTTTTTATATTTAAGTTCCATTTTTCGATTTTTAGTCTGTTTTATTTTTTTGTTGAATATTTATTTATAAATAATGCAATGGTATTGAATAATATCCATACTCCCTGTATATTTAAAAGAGGTAAAGACTAAAAACAATAGAGCGATAAAAAACTTTATTTGCATTTTGATTGGTTTCTAATCCGGCTCGAAGGACCAAAAAAGACCTTGGTACTTAATTCCATTATATGTAATTGAATTTCGGGGTAATTTGTAGGGGAGGGGGAGGGGGGGGGGGGGCTCCCCCCGACCCCCCCCCCCCCCGCCATAAATGATTTTTGGCGGAAATGCAGTTTTTTTTTTTTACCTAACCTAAAAATTCATAAAATCTGTTATATGTAGTGGAATTTCAGGGGGATAGGTATTAGGGAAGACCCCTCAGAGGGAAGGGTAACCCCCCCCCCCCGGCGTTTTTTTACAGAAATGATAATTATAAAAAATTAGAGGAGTTTTAAAGGTAAATCTGTACTTCCAGCGCCTAGAGGTGATATTTGATTTTTCTGTAGAAAAAGTCTATTCACAAATTTTTCTTTCTGGCGCTTCGCCGGCCGCTGCCGCGGCACGCTCGCTTCGCTCGCTCGGCTCGCGCGTTAAGGTCACAACACTAACCTAACCTAACCTAGTGTGAAGTATCACCACTTGGGCCTTAGATATACAGTTTAGCCGTTTAAATAAAACAAGTTTAAACACAAACACTGACTGACAGATCTCATTAATGGCAGTAAATTGTCACATTTTGACAATAGTACCAACATAATAAACTTATATTTACCATAGACAACGAGAAACATGTTATTTTTGCATAAAAAAATGGCAGCACTGATCATGAAAATTGCGAAAAAAAAAAAAGTTGTAAAAATTGACTCATAACCTACAAAAATATTAATTTTCAATAATTTTTTTCTCGAGTTCTATTCGTTTCCGCCAAAAAAGATTTCGTGTACGTATTTTTAATAGTTAATACTTTGCGTGACAAAAATTTCAGCTTGCAACTCAATTACATATAATGGAAAGGTGAGCCAAGACCTTTTTAGGATAGCATTGATAAAATGAACCTGATAGATTAAAAAATTACCCTTGTATAAGTAATACCATGATAATTGATCTTAGGATATGCGGCGAGAATGATTGCAAAATCTAATTTTGTTCGTGTGAAAAGAAATTATATGCATACAAGAAAATAATTAAGCATCAAGTGGCCCTATATAGGATCGAATGGAATGGCTTCTTTCAAATTTTTAAAACTTGTAAAGGTATTTAATTGACACTGTGGGTTACCCACAATGGGAGATGGCTCTGTCTTGCAGCCTAAGGCTAGAGAAAATTAGACACGACCGTCAGGGCCGCGGTAGCATAATGGTCAGTGCATTCGCCCGGATAGCGAAGGGTGCGGCTTTTAGTCCCGTCTGCTGCCTGGTCCGCGTGGATCTTTTTCTAGTAATATTTTTTTTAGATTTAAACATCTAGCAGTTAAATGCGTAAAAAATTCAAAAAAAATCAAAATTCAATATCGTTTATTCAGTCTAGGCTGTTACAAGCGCTTGTGAATGTCGAAAAGCTACGCCATCGGTTCGCAAATCTACGGCGGGAGACCTTGTACTGAGAAGAACCGGCAAGAAACTCAGCAAGGGCTGCTTTTTTCTCCCTGTTTTATTTCATATAGTGTCGTCCAATTGAAAGTTGACATCAAACTTGCAAACATGTGTTAAGGTCAACTTCCATCACATAATGTCAAAAATAAATAACATAACATTGGTATGTTAGGTTATACATGAAGATGGAAGCGGCGGGCGCGGGTAGAGATCCCAGTCAACCGGTGCAGGTCGCCAAAATGGCATACTGTGATGCTCACACTCCTGCTCACGTCCTGCAGGTATATTCAAACAATTTCCTCCTTATTACAAGACATAGGCTAAAGTTAAACCTGGTCTAAAACTGATGCTTTCACTTTTTTTTGCTAAAAATAAGACAAATACGTTATTAGGTTTGTGCTTACCAAATTATTAAATATTTTCATAGGAAAGGCGTGCGTTGGATTCCGAGGGAGATTCAAAGTCTACAGATTTGACAGCTATTAGACAGAAAGGCAGGGAGAAAATAATACAGGTGAATAGGATACCGAAAGTTTTGCACCATCATCAAAATTTTTAGAATATTCAGAAATTTCAATCTTAGTATTGTAGAAAAGAAAAAGAAATATACAGGGCGTCCCACGGCTTCCTCACACGGAGGGAAAGTATATTAAATATTGAAGATAGGATATTTCACTGAAAGAAAACATCGTTTTATTTTTAATAATAATAAGAAATGCATTCACAGATTTTTTTAAAATCGCCGGCTACACCTGGGAATCAAACTCGTGAAATTTCGAAAAAAAAAACTGACTGGTTTCTGTAGCGCATATCAAAACGTCCTAATTTTTTTTTTATTTTGATACGCCATGGTAAGGTAAGTAAATTGCAAATAAACGAAAAGGAAACTCACAAAAAACAAAAGAACAGACGCTTGAAAATTTGTGTTCTATTTACAAATTATTATTTTTATAAATTTCAGCCAATCACATTGTAACTGTGAGTTCAAAAAGAAATGCAAACGTACTACAGTTAGTATATCCTATCTTCAATATTTAATATACTTTCCCTCCATGCGAGGTAGCCGTGGGACGCCCTGCATAACAAAAACTATTTAATATTCTATTACGTATATATGTATGTGTTGCTTATCAAAGTAATTTCAAAAACTGTAAAAAATAGCTTCCATAAAAAATATATTAAAAATATTTCTTTATATTCGACCATAACTAATAAAGATGACTCTATAAATAGGCCCGGCGAGTCCTAGCTATGAAACGAACCTGGTCCCCTGTAGTCCTAGTGCCCACTCTACCCGCCGAGCGAGTGTCTGAAGTGGCCCAACTAGCCCCGGGCCCACCTGCGGCCCGGGCCCATCTTGTGAAGAAACTGTTAGCTTACTGGACCCTCAAGCGGCACAGCAGGAACGGTGTGCCTTTGCTGAGGCGACTGCAGAGTCTGACCAGCCATCATGGTGAGTTCAGAGGCCCAAGCATAAGTTTTTGCCATCTCCATAACAAAAAGAAACTAAAGAAAAAATATAAAAAAAAACCCATCGTCAAAGTTTCTATGAAAACTAAACAGCGCCCCTATCGGACGTAAGAACAAACTAGCTTTTTCCATACAAAATTTGACTATTACGATACTTTACAGAGCTGTCAAAAAGTCGTGCGGGCCTCGGTTGCAGATAACACTATAAATATAAAAAAATTACTAAGTACCTCTGTATTGATTGTTTGCTTTAAATAAACAAAATGATTCATATGGACAGGCGGCGAGAACAGACTTACTATATAGAGCGCGAAAACACACGCGATATGACACCAATAGGCCAAAAAAGTCATCTGTCAGAAATTATTGAATAGGATAAATACAATATAATATACAAAATCATATTTTGGTTATAGGAACCCGAGGAATACAGGATGGCACCGTGAACGTAAGAGAGCTGTGTAACCAACTCAAATATTGGCAAAGAATACGTCAAGATTTAGAGAGGGCAAGGTAAATCACTTCATTTTAAAAACTTAATTATTTTTTGCTCTTTGCTATTATTATATAGACTATCCCCTTTATTAATAAATGAAGAATAAGCTTGGATTAGTTACTCTAAGTTTTGTGTCTATTCATTGAGTGATATGACGCGTCTAGATTAATCTTCTTACTTACAAATGTTCAATTTTAATGTCACTTTCAGTCACGTTTTGTCTTTTTCTACTATTACAATGAAAAAGTGGCTAACAAATATAACTATTTCTTCTTTCAAATGTTTAATACTTGTAAAGGTATTCATTTGATATTGTGGTTTACCTACAACTCGAAGAATGAATGAAAAAGAAAAGATGTTTGTGTGATGAATACGAGCATTTGTACTCCAGTCATGGATTTTTTATATGTATTTCTATATAAATGTACAGTATATGTATTCTATGCGTAACCCTAGCATCCCATAACACAAGCCTTACAGTGCTTACTATGGGGCTAGGCTAATAGGTGTGAGTATAGGAAATATTAAATTATTATTATATATTATTTTGTTCATTGAATCAGGCTCCTCTGCGAATTGGTCCGCAAACGCGAGCGCCTCAAGGCGGAGTACACTCGAGTGTGGGAGCGCTGTGTGATGCATTCACTGCGGCCCGAGCGAGCCGCCCTGCACAAACTGTTGCGGATGCTGCGCGCCAGAGATAACAGCGACATATTTACCGAGCCTGTCGATCTCAACGAGGTATCATATATATCAACTAGCGGCCGCCCGCGACTTCCTACGCGTGGAGTTAGTTATTTGCACATACTTTTTGAACCCACAAGGGGGTTTATTTCAAAAGATACATTATTAGTACACCTCCACACCATCTATAGAGTATACATGTTAAATATCAAGTCTCTTACTTCAAAAACAAGATTTTCATACAAACTTCTAACCCCCGTATTACCCCCTTAGTGGTGGAGTTTCATGAAATTTATGTTGCCTATATGTTGACCCGACTTCTTAATAATATTCGTGCCAAATTTGAAGTAAATCCATGCAGTACTTTTTGAATTTATCCCGGACATACATACAGACAAACAGACAAAAATTCTAAAAACTATATTTTTGGATTCGGTATCGATTGTAGATCACACCCAAGTATTCTTTTAAAAAAATATTCAATTTACAGTTTTGACTTTCCTATCATAACCTCTTTTATTTGCACCCCAAGCACGAACAACTAGTGAGAAAGTATTCATACCGCCAACGTCAAAAGTTTTTATGTAACTCTTTTTTTTATTAACTAATAATACTTTTATTTAAACCTAAGGTGTAACACATTATTTTTGTTTAACGTAGGAAATGTCCGATAGCAAAGCAATGAATTCGTGTACGGTGAAAACGGTATGTGGTAAGATGACGTCACACGATTATAGCGCGCTCGCGCGAAATATTTAGAACAGACGGAATCTAAAGTTGCCATAACTTCAACATAACTCGCTTGAGTTATATGAAACAAAAACCGCTATATTTCTCAACATTTGGGCTATACGGCCACAAAGTTTCAAGTCATTTAGTTGACCTACTGACATTCTCAATTTAATAACTAAAAGGCAAACCCAAAATTAATTCATTCAAAGGTGGTTTTTGATGTGTAACATCTTTCCTCTCGCTTTCCTGAAATTTGTGAGAGTGATTTCGTGAAATGGGACGGAAGTGTGTAACAGGAAGTCGCGAAAGCGTGCGCTATTTGATTTGATTTAAGAACAATGTTCAAATGGCTTATTCCTATTGTAGTAGGTTTTATTTCTTTTTTTTACTAATATAAGGTGAGGTTTTCAAATGTTACACATCATACGCGACTACTGTAAGGCTCGCTCGTTTTTTTTAGTAGATTCACGTTAATTTGCTGCGTTTCTTTTACCAGGTGCCAGACTACAGTTCAGTAGTGAAACACCCGATGGATCTGAGCACTATGGGAAAGAAACTGGACCGCGGCGCGTACCGCACCGTCGACGACGTGGAGGCGGACTTCACCCTCATGATAGACAACTGTCTCACATACAACAACAAGGACACAGTGTTCTACAAGTGAGTGCTAATCATCTTTTATCCATTTATAAGATAAGTTGTGTGTATAATAAACGGCATCCGTTACATACTGATCTATCAACGCACAGCTCAAACCACTGAACCATTAATACTTATTAAAGTACGGTCGCCGGGCAGAAAGAATTTCCTACAATGACCCCACGCTACCCATCCTTATCGATCGCGTGCAATTATATTGCTGTCTCGCTCGCACACGTACCGTGTGTAGTACTGTGTGCAAGCGTGATAGCAACATGGGTAGCGTGGGGTCATTGTACGAAATTATTTCTGTCCGGCAACCGTACTATAGATATAATTAACACAGTAATTTTTTGCAAATTCATTTAATTTGTCAACCAGTTCCCTGATGGCTTTTTGGCTTCTTAGTTACACTTTTATTTTGCTTTTTTGTATTTGTGTAAATTTGTTATAAAGTTTATAATACTAAATAAATACATTTTTATCACATCTATTCGAAGAGAGCTAGTTTGTTCACAGGGACCAGAATAGCGTTTTAATCCCTAGGGACAAGAAGTGACTTGGATCAGGAGTGTGGATATTGTTAGCAAAGATTCCAATCACCAAAGATCAATTGATCTCTTTGGTGGAGAAAAAAGTTATTGAAAAAATCAGATGCACGAATTGCATTCTGTTTTCGTTAATAATGGATTACACAAATTCAGATTTATTTGGATTTAAAAAAAATAGTACGTACTATATAACTACTTACTTATTTTCTCATAGATGGTGATAAAAATTAGTGTCCACCTCGCGAGCAACTCTATTTTGAAGCTAGAGCGACGTACTTTGAATAAGGATTCAAAGTACGTCGCTCATAGGAGAGAGTTTTTCAAATTCACGGGGAGCGAAGGCGCTCAACTAACGCTAACTTTAGCATGTCGCATAACATTTTTATTTGTTATAGAAAAATCCCGATCTCATTAACAAACATCGGTGGTTCAGTGGTAGAAAGCTCGCCAGCTAAGCAGACGGCCCGGGTTTAATTCCCAGCCGAGAAAGGACTGTTTTTCTTTATTAATGGTTTTAAAAGCTTCACTTGCATCGTGGTTTCATAAAATTGCACCATTTTTTCTCTGGTTTAGAGCGGGAATAAAGATGCGCGAGCAATGTCTGCCGATATTCCGTCAAGCGCGTCGCGATGTCCGCGCCGCCGACATGCCCGAGCTGGCCGGCGACGGCGATGTACTGGCCGACTCCAGTCCTGAACGGGAGCAGGAGCGGCCGCAAGAGTGGGAGCGGGCGCGGAGCAGCCGCCGCAGCCGCCCGCGGCACTCCAGCAGCGACAGCGAGCCCCGCGCCGGTGAGTACAGTACCCTAGCGTGACGTACTAGCCGACTCCAGTCCTGAACAGGAGTGGGTACGGACGCGGAGCAGCCGCCGCAACCGCCCGCGACACTCCAGCAGCGACAGCGAGCCCCGCGCCGGTGAGTACAGTACCCTAGCGTGACGTACTAGCCGACTCCAGTCCTGAACAGGAGGGGGTCCGGACGCGGAGCAGCCGCCGCAACCGCCCGCGACACTCCAGCAGCGACAGCGAGCCCGCGCCGGTGAGTACAGTACCCTAGCGTGACGTACTAGCCGACTCCAGTCCTGAACAGGAGGGGGTCCGGACGCGGAGCAGCCGCCGCAGCCGCCCGCGACACTCCAGCAGCGACAGCGAGCCCCGCGCTGGTGAGTACAGTACCCTAGCGTGACGTACTAGCCGACTCCAGTCCTGAACAGGAGTGGGTCCGGACGCGGAGCAGCCGCCGCAACCGCCCGCGACACTCCAGCAGCGACAGCGAGCCCCGCGCCGGTGAGTACAGTACCCTAGCGTGACGTACTAGCCGACTCCAGTCCTGAACAGGAGTGGGTCCGGACGCGGAGCAGCCGCCGCAACCGCCCGCGACACTCCAGCAGCGACAGCGAGCCCCGCGCCGGTGAGTACAGTACCCTAGCGTGACGTACTAGCCGACTCCAGTCCTGAACAGGAGTGGGTCCGGACGCGGAGCAGCCGCCGCAACCGCCCGCGACACTCCAGCAGCGACAGCGAGCCCCGCGCCGGTGAGTACAGTACCCTAGCGTGACGTACTAGCCGACTCCAGTCCTGAACAGGAGTGGGTCCGGACGCGGAGCAGCCGCCGCAACCGCCCGCGACACTCCAGCAGCGACAGCGAGCCCCGCGCCGGTGAGTACAGTACCCTAGCGTGACGTACTAGCCGACTCTAGTCCTGAACAGGAGTGGGTCCGGACGCGGAGCAGCCGCCGCAGCCGCCCGCGACACTCCAGCAGCGACAGCGAGCCCCGCGCTGGTGAGTACAGTACCCTAGCGTGACGTACTAGCCGACTCCAGTCCTGAACAGGAGTGGGTCCGGACGCGGAGCAGCCGCCGCAGCCGCCCGCGACACTACAGCAGCGACAGCGAGCCCCGCGCCGGTGAGTACAGATCACAGAGCAAAATGGTGGATGTAAAAAAAAATGTGTAATAATTTCTTCGATTAATTAATATTAAATTTTGATACAGATACCCGCAGTGAGCGTGGCGTATCAGTTGCTCGCAGCGAAAGGCGGCATCAGAGTCCCAGAGACACCGACGAAGACAACAATACGGTGAGTAGTTTTGTTATTGTTTGTTTTATTTCACAACCACTTCATATATTTGTATACACTCCGGCAAACTTCTTAAACAACGACCATAGACAAGGAAGCCTGCGCATTAGCAATTTTACATACAAAAACATCTACTGAGCAAGTTTATTTGTCTGTGGTTTTGATCAAGAAGTTTGCCGCTACCTAAATGCATATGCACATTGAACACTACACGATGATCAACCAATGAATTCATCAAAATAATTGCTCTTGAATTGTAGAGTGTGATGTTAGATTCTCCTCCACTGCCCTCTTTTAAGCTCACTCAGAGCACCGGGGAAACAATGAAAGAAAACCAAAAGAATTAAGATAATGTTATAAGTATATTTTATCAACTTTAGATACCAAAGCAGATGAATTCAGTAGTTTTAAGTTATTGCTTATATAAATCACCAAGCTGACATGAAATGTTATAACTATGTTTTACTAATTATAAATATCTAAGCTGAATACAGTAGTTTAAAGTTAAAGTTTATATAAACCAACAAGTTGACATGAAATGTTTCAACTATGTTTTACTGATTAAATATCTAAGCTGAATACAGTAGTTTAAAGTTAAAGTTTATATAAATCAACAAGTTGACAGGAAATGTTTCAACTATGTTTTACTGACTAAATATCTAAGCTGAATACAGTAGTTCAAAGTTAAAGTTTATATAAATCAACAAGTCGACATGAAATGTTATAATTATATGAATATCAGACATTCATGACACTCTACCATGTACTTACATGAGTTCTCAACTATATCTAATATATTTTATCCACTCTGCAATGGACTGCCCATTAAGGGGACCACATAGACTAGACTGAATAAGCTATTTAGTGGATTTCAGAGGTTCTACGGCTCGTTTGATCGATATTGGTGACAATCTTAGTTAATTCCAGTTCTCAGTGAGATAACCAGTTATATAGATATATGTATATATATGGAAATGGGTAGGTCGGGGTCCAACCTCGCCTTGTGGTTCTTCTCCACGCTCACCCGGGGTTAGTAATGAAAATACCTTGTTTAGGATAGGTTTAGCAGTGTATGATCTGTCCGCTGTTAAGGCCGGGTTACATAAAACCGGAGAGCGGCTGGCAAATAAACTCCCGCGTCCCTTCTGGTCCGTGTACAGAGAAAGAGTCTCCTTGTTATTCCTCCAGTATTTCTTGAGGGGAGCCTGAAGCCAAGCCTGAAGTTCACATTGAGAAAAAATGATCAGATATGGGGAAAATACATAGATTACCACATCTGCATCACTGGCGGGTAGGGTAGAGTGAGGGATATTCACGGTCAATGTTTACACTTTAAAATTTGAATCACTACATGACTGGGGCCCATCCCACCGGGCTGAAGGAAATCAATTTCATGTTCACTAACTTGACAAGAATGATTAGGTATATTTGATGACAGTAATCACCATATTGTGCATAATGCAGTTCAATTAGTGCTAGGAGAATAAATATGAGGTCAGATGATAGCTTACCGTTCGAAATATGAAACTATCCGTCAGTATTTTGTTTCCTATCACAAGTTGCTGCCTTATTGCAACGCCTTGCGAAGCTTCGTGTTCGTCCCCCTACGATACAGAATATCAACAGAAAGGTTATTTTTCATAGCCACAACTTGCAAAATAAGTAGGAAAAAGAGTTACTCCAATATACCTGCGAAACTCAGTTCGGTTAGCGACTCCGCGCTATTTCCGCCAATATCCTTCAGGATATAAACTTTTCGGATCTATTTCACGACTCCGACGACTATAATATGCCTTATAATATACTTTGGGCAGAAGAAACGATGAAAAGATAACTGTACCACAAACAGATTGTGAAATTTTAAATGTTGTTTTGACAATTGCTCATAGATGATAGACGGGTCGTCTACTCCCAAATATGTGTCTATGATTTGTTTCTCTCTCCAACTGAAGGCAAAAGCCACAGTCAAACAGACAGCCGCCGCATTCGAGACGAACCGAAGAATAAACTCAAAACTATATAACTACGCTCGCCGTAAGCTGAGGAAAAGGGAATACCTACCCAAATCAGCGAGGAAATTCAATTTCGAGTAAAATTCAAAACGATTAAAAACAGCGCCCGATAAGGAGGACTCAAATCGATATGGGAAAAACTATTCAAAATTCAACAACTGTCAAACTCCATCCATTCATCCACGCGCCCCCACAGAGATTCACTGCCTGATTACTTTTTTTTTTTTTTTTTTTTATAAGTCTCAAGGCGAATATTTTAGTCGAATAGAAAAATCGACTATTCCCTCAATGCTACCAACCCAATCAATGAAGTTTGACAGCTATGCCGACGTAAGCGGTTCGCTATCATAGACAAAACAGCTGTCCTACGTGTGTCAGTGTCACGCCCTGTTTAAAAATAAACACTACAAGAGATATGCACACATCAAGTTACCACAAATAGTACAGTCAATCTGTCGAAAAAAATATCGTTTCAGTGAAAAAAAAACCTAAAGAGTAAGTCTTGTTTTTTCTGTTGCCAAATGACGTCAGTAAGCCACCTTGGCGATGGGCATGTTCAACTCGTAGGCGTTTTTTGAAAAACTCAAAAAAAACCGTCAAAAATTTTTTGAAACGCATTTTTCTTGTTTTGTATGCATTTTAGAAACTTTTTTTTTTTACCATAATTGTAGAGGGCGTTGAGTGCTACAATTTATGTCATTGTTGCAATCTCGTACAACAAAAATGCGCATTGTAGGTGGCGCTAAAGTCTCAAAAAAGTGTTTTTTCACTTTTTCACCCTGAAAATATCATTTTAATGGAAAACTTTAAATCGCAAAGTTGTTTCGTACATAATTACCAACAACTTTTGTATAAACAATTTTTTTGTATTACTTACCGTTTTCAAGTTATAAATACCTGCGTATGAAAAATCCAATAGAACGGTTTTGGGCAGTTCACGTACACATTTGCAGTGCACATTTCAATGTACGTTTTACTATTTTTTATTTTTTTTCATGATTGAAAAACAAAAAAAAAATAAAAAAAAATAGTTTTATTTTTATTTTTTTTCATGATTGAAAAAAAAAAATAGTAAAAACGTACATTGAAATGTGTACTTAAACTGTCCAAAACCGCTCTATTGGATTTTTCATACCTGCGCAATTTATAACTTGAAAACGGTAAGTAATACAAAAAAAATGTTTATACAAAAGTTGTTGGGAATTATGTACGAAACAACTTTGCCATTTAAAGTTTTCCATTAAAATGATATTTTCAGGGTGAAAAAGTGAAAAAACCCTTTTTTTGAGACTTTAGCGCCACCTACAATGCGCATTTTTGTTGTACGAGATTGCAACATTGACATAAATTGTAGTACTCAACGCCCTCTACAATTATGATCAAAAAAAAAGTTTCTAAAATGCATACAAAACAAGAAAAATGCGTTTCAAAAAATTTTTGACGGTTTTTTTGAGTTTTTCAAAAAACGCCTACGAGTTGAACATGCCCATCGCCAAGGTGGCTTACTGACGTCATTTGGCAATAGAAAAAACAAGACTTACCCTTTAGGTTTTTTTTTCACCACTCAACCTACAGATTGACTGTACTAAAACTTTAAATAGAAGTTTATTAAATGTTAAAGTAAAAAATCAAGGTTTTTAAGGAAACAAATTTTAAACATTATTTTTTATCAAATAAACATTATCAAAATTTTAAGTATTTTGTAACAAAAAATGGATTTTAAACTCAATGTATCTCGACTGTAAACGCACCCAACAAATGCTGTCGTTCAACGAGTCACGGTCTTTTGCTTACTATACATATACATATATTGCAGTATATTTTTAACACCGAAAAATAAAAAATACTTTCCCAGCAATTTTTTCTCTTTGAGTTTCTTATTTTGATGTATAGAATGCGTGGGCTTTGCAGTATATTTTTAACACCAAAAAATTTAAAATACTTTCCCAGCAATATTTTTTCTCTAAGTGTCTTATTTTGATGTATAGAATGCCTGGGCTTCGGCTGTGCCGAGGGCTTTACACACTGTATTTACAACGTGGTTTTTTGCTACGCGTTGTGCTGCATTTGGTTTAAACCAGCCTAAGAGCTAGAACTCACTTGCAATTGGATGCAGTGCGATAGTTGTGCTTACCTCAAGAAAGTATACATATGTATTTGCGCCCCCATTCGCACGTGCCACTGGCGTGGGGGCCACTTGCGATAGTTGCAAAACGATTTATCTGCAAGTTTTTTAGTTGCAGGGCTCCGCAATCTTAGTGCAACGTGATAGTTGCACAGAGTCGAGTTCTTTTCTATGTTAGGAGATGATGAGTATTTGCCCATATATGACGACCTCCGTAGCCGAGTGGTTTGTACGCCGGGTTTCATGGTGTCGCCGATTCGAGAGGTCGAATCCCGCGGTGGGGGCAGATGTTTGTGTGATGAAAACGTGCATTTGTACTCATATAAATATGCTTATATATGTACAGTATATGTATTCTATCCGTTACTTACTTACTTTGGGACTAGGCTTTTGGTTTGGTGTCAGTGTTATAAATATTTATTTATTTTATTTATATTTTCCAGCGTTCTAGTTCCCCGGCGGGCGAGAGAGTAGTGACTACTGTAGGCAGACGTGGCAGGGGGCGTGGCAGGGGAAGAGGGCGGGGGCGGGGCCGGCCCCCACACCTCGCCAGGGTTAGGCAAGGTGAGTAAAACTACCCATACTACACATATCAAAAGTGTCTAGGGATCAAGCATTTTTATGCGGATTTCTTGAGATTGAGATGTGGCTTTGTAATAAATTTATGATTTTATAAATTTATATGGATCCTTTTTGGTGCATTTCATAATTTGAATCAGGAACTGTGAATCAAATTCGAGTAAAAGATGAAAATCAGCTGTCAATATTTTCCCTATAAAAACATACAACGCATTGAAGACATTATTAGTGCTACTGTTTCCCTACTACTGATTAAAACCAACGTTATTATGGAGCGGCGACGTCATTTAAGCAGGGAAGAAATGCTCAGAGCCGTGGGAATGATAGAAGCTGGTTCCCGGCAACGTACTGTGGCTTTAGCTCTGAATACAAGTCAGAGTGTTATCAGTCGACTTTGGACACGATACCGAAGCACTGGTACCGTGGCTGAGCGCCATGGAGGACGGTATCGCTGCACCACACGGAGACAAGACCGATACATTCAAATCTTAACTCGAAGAGCTCCAACAATAACCGCCATGATGTTAGCCGTGAGGCTTCATCACTCTTCAGGGAACTTAATTAGCGACCAAACAGTCAGAAACCGCTTGCATGAAGTGAACCTTCATTCCCGAAGACCGCTACGGGTACCACCTATAGCAATGCACAATCGTAGGATTCGATATCAATGGGCTCTTGAACACAGAAATTGGGCAGAAGAACAATGGCGTTTCGTGTGCTTTTCTGATGAGTCTCGTTTTGGTATGAGACCGGATACAAGACGTATACGACACTGGAGAACCCCTGGACGCCAACAGCGATTAAAATCCTGCCAGGAAGTCCATCCTTATAGTGGTGGAACCATCATGGTATGGGCGGGTATTTGGATCGGCGGAAGAACTGAGTTGATTTGGATCAGAGGCAACCTCAACGCTCAAATTTATGCTGAGACGATTGTATCAGACGTCATCGTTCCTCTACAAGTGCAAATCGGTCCCTTATTTCAGTTAATGCATGATAATGCACGACCGCACACCGCAAGAGTTGTAAGACAGACTCTCGCCGCAGCTAACATCAATGTCCTGCCCTGGCCTGCTCAGTCGCCAGACTTGAACCCGATTGAGCATGCATGGGATATGCTACAGAGAAGAGCTCTGCCGAATATGGAGGGTATCCAGTCGCAAGAAGACCTTTTTTTGTTGTTGCAACGAACATGGGCGGCCATTCCACAGCTTGATTTGGATGAACTCATTTTGAGTATGCCAAACCGATGTTCTTGTGTTGTTAGTGTTCGCGGTAGAAATACGGATTATTAATTGTTTAAGTTACCCAATAAAATTTTAGAGAAAACTGTTATTTCAGTCTTTTTTTCGAACTTTTGTGTTAGTGGTTCAAATGTCAAAAATCCCTTTATTAGGAAAATGGCAAATTTCTTTATTAATGCAAAGGTGACTTGGTTTATCGTTACTGTGACAAACGAAAACACTTTATTTGATGAATCCTTAAAGAAAATTTTAATTAATATCAATCAGGAGAAAAGTTATTGCAAAAATATATGTTGATCCCTAGACACTTTTGATGTGTGTACATTAATAAACGAAAAAAGCTTGGATTAGTTATTCTATATGTCGTTTTGTTTCTGTTAATTGAATTAAAAATGGCCTTACAGTGATATAAACAAAACACGGCGTAACTAGTCAAACCGTATTTCTCGTTTATTAATAAGGGGTTATATATATGTGTACGTATATTTTATCTCGTGTCACAGTATTTGTTATCGAACTCCTCCAAAACGGCTTCACCGATTTTCATGTTTTCTTTGTGTATATTTGTTAGGACTGCGAATAGGCCGTAGGCTATTTTTTATACCCTTAGCGTGGTACTCTCCAGTTTTTTTTATGTTAAACCTTCTACCACCAACCCCAATTTTTATAGCGGTACGAAGTTCGCTGGGGGCTGAACCTAATAAAACTAAGGCTGGAAACCTTATTTGTACGGGACGCCGGGCTGTCGCAGTAGCGGACAGTTACCGACTCGTACTGCGGGGTGGAGGAAGTTACACGCAGGAGTCTTGACTGTAGTGGACTGTAGTTTCGGTGAATAAAACCCCTGGTGTTCGGTATTGAAGAAATCGGTGGGCGCTGATAATGGATGGCCGGTGAGAGGAGGCTTCAGTTCCAGAGTGAACCGCTTGTTGTTTCTTCGTGTTCCTTAGGGTAGGAGCGCCTGTCGCTGAATGCATGTCGGAGCCTGTACCGACTCGAATTTTATATGCTAGGACTGAGCTGGCCAGCGATCCATTACCTCACCCCCGCTATACTTTATTTTTCGTTTATTCAAAAAATACATGGGTGCGAGATTAAAACTATATGTACATACATCAGGCATACAAATAGGCATATTTTTAACGCATTTGCGCGTCCGTAAGCATGATATTTTAGGTGTGGCGCGCAAAAAATAGGTCTCCGCGATATTTATACGTTCCCCCTCCATAGGGCTTCGCCCTGCCACAGGGCTCCGCTGCCCCACCCACGCGCTCCGAGTGCGCCGGGTGGGGAGCGCAACATGTCTTAGGAAACCGTTCTATACAAACAGATTTCGTCTCCTACACGGTACATTTCTATATTTATTGATGTGATGCCTATTTATTTATGCAGTCCTATGCATTATCTACCTAATACAATAAGTTTCTAATAAGAATAATAACAAATAACAGCTCTACGGCCCTATAAAGATTACAAATTTAAAAGTCTTGAAAAACCTACTTACATTCACTTAATGCCTAACTATCATATATCATTTTATAGAGAAAGTAAAAATACACAAAATAACATCTTTATCATTACAATTATACCTAAACTATTAATACGATTTACACAAAACTTTGATATATTACTCTTATTTCCTAATAAGATATAAAACAAATCAATTGAAACATAAAAACATACTATTTACGAATGCTTACAATTCAGGTAAAATCCTATAAGATGTTAGAAAAGGACAGCCTATCGTCTCTGTCCCTCCTATCGGTCGGAACTATCAATATTCTAGTTAGTTTCCCTGCGCCACCGCTTGGCGTCGTGGCGATCGACTAGACAAATTCTTATAAGATTTGGTGAGAAAGAGACGGAATATCGCTCTGAACTATCAATTTTACAATCGTTTACTGTGGGCAAAGCTATCTATTATTGCGATATCCGACTCATTCTAATAAGACAACAATGGAATAATATTTTTAATGTACATATCCGTTACATGTGAAATTACAGACATATTTTACAAATCAATCTCGTATCGACGTAAGTTTATTTCTTCTCGCTTCGGGCGTCGCGTACATTATTTATTATATTATAATTTTAGTTTAGTTTTTATACAAATATATCTGAAAACCAGAAACTCCGACATCGGGCTCAGAAACGGCCGCAGCGCCGCCGCCGAGAAAAAGCGTAGAACGGACGCACAAACTGACTACGCCTGAGAAATCACCTGCAAAACTCGTGGAAACCGGTCCAGGTAAGTGAATTTGCTTATTCTTCTATAACCGCTTTCCGTATCTATATACCACGCAACGAATTTAGGTTTATAGGTATATTAAAAGCAAGCAAACATAAATGTAATAAACTGTTGTTTTAACAAACATGATAGAAATTATTTATCATCATAAGCTTATTAATGTCCCCACTGCTGAGGTATATGTCTTCCATATAATACGAAATGGCTATTTATAATGCAAGCCTATTGCGACGGCGGACATAAGCAGGGCCAACCGTTTAAATGTGCTTTCCGAAGCACGGAGAAGCTTAAGATGATAAATTTTAACCTATCCTATAAAGCCTATAACCGGTCTTTGTGAAACTAACTTTTAGCGCAACTGCACATTGAGCCACTAGACGCCGCCACAAGCTGTGGTCGAGTTTTTTGATACATGTTAAATAAGTACTAGCGGACGTCCGCGACTTTGTCTGCATTAACTTTAGGTTTTGGATAATCCTTCAGGAACCTCACATTTTTTCGGTATAAAAAGTAACTTATGTCTCAATCCAGGTCATAAACTACATGCGTACCAAATTTCATTCAAATCCATTCATTACTTTTTGTATGAGTAATGCCGGCATTCCACTTGGCCATTTGGATCTGCTATTTGTATACTTGACAACAGTTTGTCCTTGTCATGCTTTTTAAGGAATGAAAAGAACATATTAATGTCAAGTTTTAAATAACAAACACGAATAGCCAAGTGAAGTGCCGGCATAACAAACATACAAACGTCCACAGTTATACATATAAATAAAATTGGAGTGTCTGTTTGTAAAATTTAAATAACCGCTTTTTATTACATGCATATGAATAAATAAATAAATAAATATTTCCAACACTCACACCAATTAGCCTAGCCCCAAAGTAAGCAATGTAAGGCTTGTGTTATGGGATGCTAGGGTAACGGATAGAATACATATCTGTACATTTAAAAGTATGTTAATATAAATATTTTTAGTAGTTTTAGTTTTGTATGTATTTCGATATAGAAATACATTTCTATATCGAAATACATACAAAACATCCATGACTGGAGTACAAATGCTCGTATTCATCACACAAACACCTGCCCCCAATGGGATTCGAACCCGGGACCTCTCGAGTGGCGACACCATAAAACGCGGCGTACAAACCACTCGGCCACGGAGGTCGTCATATACGATACATACACCAAAATATCATTTTTTACAATTTTTGTCTGTCTGTCTGTTTGTTCCGGATAATCTCTGTAATGGCTGAACCGATTTTGACGGGACTTTTATTGGCGGTAACCGATATAATAAGGAATACCTTAGGCTACTTTTATTTTAGAAAATAAAACTAAAATTTCGACGCGGCCATCAGGGCCGCGATAGCATAATTGGTCAGTGCATTCGCCCGGATAGCGAAGGGTGCGGGTTCGTGTCCCGTCTGCTGCCTGGTCCGCGTGGATATTTTTCTAGTTATATTTTCTTTTTAAATTAAAGTTTTAATTTAGTCTTTTTACTCAATTACACAACATAAATAAAAACATCCATTTATTATGCATTCTATAAACATTAGTAAATAACTAAAACTTGTGAAATACCCTATTTTATGTCGATGGTTTTGAATTCGTCGACGATAATAATTAAAACAATGAAAATAACAGTGTTACCATTACAAAAATGCGTTCGACCCCAAGCAATCTCTCGACGGAATTCAGCCAAAAGTGGCGGCAGCCACGAAGCCACTAGTGACCGTCAGTAGCGGCTGCGATCGGTGGCTGCTTCTAATGGCTCAATGTGCGTTTGCTCTTAATTTCCATTCCATGTTCATAACATATTATGTTTATGGTCAGGTTTGAGTTTTTCGGGAGGACTGAAAAAACCTACTCTGCTATTACCGCCATCATTGGGTGCGGCACCGCCAAAGAGCTTCGGATCCGATGGTATGTTCCCCTAAATTGTTTCTATACAATTTCTTTCATTCGCTAATAAGTATTTTGAGCATTTTTATTTAATTATTTTATTAAAGTTACTGTACATATGAAATATTGTTCTTACACAGAAATGAACACGATTAAATAAGATTATGTGTGGGCCAAAACATAAAGCTTCTTCAAAATAAAAACAAAAATTTTCAAAATAAGGGAAAAAAAAAGTTTCAAAAATTGGCAAGTGCCAGTCGGGCCGCGCACGATGGGTTCCGTATCTTTACAACATTAGACACAATATTAAAATGTCGAGGAAAAATCGGCAGTAAATCACGACTGTTGTATGGGAGCCCCCTTAATATATTTTTTTCAAGTAATTATTTATTTTTAAAGCCTATATAGATGGACACTAAATATTCTGTGAATGTCTCATATTAATTAAATGTTTTATATTAATAACTATTAATATAAAGAAAAAATCATGTTTGTTGTATGGGTGCCCCAATTAAATATTTATTTATTCAGTTTTTAGTGTTTGTTGTTATAGTGGCAATAGAAATACATCATCTGTGAAAATTTTAACTGTCTGGCAATGACGCTTCATAAGATACAGCGTGGTGACTGATCGACTGACAGCGGCGTCTTAATAATAAATTCCCGTTTTATCCTTTGGGTACGGAACCCTAACTATTAACAAAATACTACTTGATAGACCTTTAAGTACAGTACTTCCATATCATGAATGTCCATACGAATACACCTTTATTAGATAAATGATATCGAAAACAAAATATTTAACTTCTTTCACATGAGATAATGTACATACTAGCAAAGAGCATGGAGCCAGTACTGAAAGATAGAATTATTGTTCGCTGATGTAGCTTGGTATTACCTATCCCGTCTTATCATAAGGTGACTGTTGATAATAGGGATGATTATGGGGTAAAGTAAGCGAAATTGTATTTAGTCCTTCGGTTAGATTTTAAAAAAATAATGGACACTTATTTTTTTTTCAATCAACCAAATAATCACTAAGATAAAGCTCGTCAAAGTTTGCGAGTGGAGGCTCGTGTCGACACTGTTTAGTAAAATTTTGTACGGTAACGTGACGTCACGCGACATTTCACATCAATATATCTCTATAATGTTTTGGTTATGTGAAAAAATAAAAAGTACATGTCCAATACTTTTTATTAATCTACTGGGTAGATGAAGAATAAAAGTTAATCACCATCCCTATTAAAACATATGAATGCTCGTAAGTATTGAGATCCTATTATTTTGTTTAGCATCTCTGCCGACGCTATCGGCCAGTTTAGGTCGGCCGAGCTTGGAAAGTTCGCCAAAGAAGAAGGGGCGTGGTCGCCCAAGGAAGAACGATAAAGACAAGTCCACTTCATCACCAGATCTGTTCAGGTTAGTTGCTGTGAGTGTTGTGCTTTGATAATTTAAAATGTGCTTTTGTTGGAGAATAATAAAAATTTATGCTACTAGTGGGTGCCCGCGACTTCGTCTGTGTAGAAGTATTATTCTCCTATATAAACTTCCACCCTCCATTTCACTACCTTGAAGGATGATTTGTAAAAAACACTAGCCTATGTTCTTCCCCGGGACTCAAACTATCTCTATACCCAGACGCAAGTACCCATGGCCCCGCGATCGATAGGGGGCCCCCTCAGATCAAATACAAAATCCCTAGTTCCTGTTAAATCACCAAACGGAAGCCATGGGGGGGGGGGGGGGGCATTATCCTAATATGCCCAGGGCCTCCAATAGGTCAAAGACGGCACTGTCTATACCAAATTTCATTCAAATCGTTTCAATAGTTGAAGCGTGAAAAAAATGGTATTGAATGCCGGTTGAACTAGCTAACTAATTGTTATCTTTATTTGGCAATAAGTATGATATATACGACCAGTTCGTGCAATGGCACAATGGCAGCGCTTCTACTTTCTGATTTGTATGCTCTTAAGTTCGATTCTCTGTAAGAGCATTAATTTGTGTGATGATTAAAAAAATTGGTAGTCATGGTTGACCATTTAATATAAAAATTCTATTTGGTTTCCATAGTACAAGCTCTGCTTAGTTTGGGACCTATTTATATAACAGCGGTTTATTAGGGATATTTTCCCGCAGCAAAACGTAGCCTATGTGTTAATCCAGGGTGTCAGCTAACTCCATACCAAATTTTATTAAAATCGCTCCAGCCGTTTAGATAGAAGTAACAAACACACACACTCACAAACTTTCGCCTTTATGATATTAGTGTGATTAAGTACTTATATATTGCCACGTGCTACAGTCCATTGGCGTTGTCGGAAAAGTTGAGTCTACCAAGCTTGGACAGCTCTCCTAAGAAGAAAAGCCGAGGCCGACCGAAGAAGGGCGACAAAGACAAGTCCACTTCGTCTCCAGACAGCTTCAGGTACTCGATGTTGCATCAATTTCAGATGCCTAAGCACGAACTTTGACAGCTCCATATCGTCAACGTCAAATTTTACATGGTAAACGCTAGTTTGTTCTTACGTCCGATAGAGGCGCTGCTTAGTTTTCATGGAAACTTTGATGATGCGATACAAATACGGAGCTTAAATCTAAAGAAAAGTTTTCTAGAAAAAAATACACGCGGACCAGGAAGCAGACGGGAGTCGAACCCGCACCCTTCGCTATCCGGGCGAATGCACTGACCATTATGCTTTTGCGGCCCTGACGGCGGTGTCGAATTTTTCCTAGCCTGCTGCAAGGCAGTGCCATCTCTTCGCATTGTAGGTAACCCACAATATCAAATGAATACTTTTACAAGTATTAAACATTTGAATGAAGAAATAGCAATTATAGTTGTGTTTTTTATTTGCCTGGTCCGCGTGTTTTTTTTTTCTAGTAAACTTTTCTTTAGATTTAAACATGTCAAAATTCATGCTTGGTCCTCAAATAGTAAAGTCAGAGTAAAATATAAAATTTCTTAGCATTATAGTCTTTTGCTTAAGAGACGGCGCTTTAAGCGACCCGAACACGTTGTGGCGGCGAAATCTACATGCCCCTCGTAATGCTGCAGTTACATTTGGTCGTTAGCCCAATATTCGGGTGCACGAAAGACATTACTCGAATTCGGGCATCCGAGGTAATATTTACACTGAAATACGGACTGGAAGACGGTGTCGGTTAAACAAATGGAAATCAACCCGAATACGGGCGTACTCGACTCCGTTTATTAACACTTAGTCGTTCACCCGAATTCCATTGGCACTCGTGTTCGGGCTAACGGCCAAGTTTAATAGCGCCATAAGCACAGCGGTGACAGTCCCTGTACGTGAGAGTTCCAGCGTCAGTGACCTTGAGCCGGAGCGTGTATACGCTAGGGTTGAACCGAAATGTAATTTAGACTTGTGCCAATGAATAAATAGAAACATAATATGGTTATAAAAATGTAAACTGGTTCAAGGAATCTGGGGGAGGTAATGAAAGACAGGTTTGATTTATATTAAATTTTTAATCTTTTAATGTAGGTACTATTACCAATTGCTAACGCTTATATATTTTCTGCTTTTTCGATTCGTTTTATAATTCTTATTATTATCTCTAATAATTGCGAAAATTCGTAGCCATATGTACATTTTTTTAGAAAACGTAATGGGAAGGAAAGGAAGCATTGGCATGATATGTCAAAGGTTTTATTAAGTAGGTACGTACTTTTCTGGATCGCTAGGCAACGAGATGAAGCTTTTATCATCATTCTGTTTTTGTTTATTGCCACAGCCATGAACACAACAGTAAAGCCCGCCGGACATAATAATTAAATAATATGTAAGATGATTGCATCGCGTAGTCAGTCCGTGCGTGCAGTGCAGTGCAACAGTGCAACGCTATTATTTTACAACTAGTGGCCCGCCCTCGCTTCGCTTCGGTGTAGAGCTGTAGTGTAGACTAACCGCTATGTCCCTGCAAATTAAATCTGGAATATCTTCAAAAATACTTATTTAAATTACATACTACAAAGGGCTATATTGATCTATATTTAATGCACATTGTATTTAAGGTACTTCATAGGATAAGGATTGATGGTGTATTGCTTAAAATAATTTCGCAAAAAAGCCATTAATTCTCTTAAAAAGTAAAGGATAAAAAATGGTTATTGTGGGTTATCCCTAAGAGATAGACATATTCTATCGCGGACTTTTTTATAAACCTTTTTAAGGTGGACAATACTGTAGTACATTATTTTGATCTATCTCGTAGGGTCCAGCCAGCGTTTGCAATGTAAGCGCAAAAAATGAGTTTATATACGACCTTACATTAAAAACCCCTAAAATTATCAGTGTTTCTCTACTATATTGTGCATGTTTTATACATATAAACCTTCCTCTTGAATCACTCTATCTATTAAAGAAACCGCTTTAAAATCCGTTGCGAAGTTAAAAATAGCTAAGCATACATAGGGACAGACAGCGGAAAGCGACTTTGCTTTATACTATGTAGTGATGATTTGGCTACGGCCATACCCATCGGTCGAGGCAGTTGGCGACTGCCCTCTCCACGCCACACGTGCTTAAATGTCGTTTCTTTTCGCGTAGTGTATATATTCTTTGCCATAAGACTAACTGAGGATAAAATCAATGGCGATGGCGTCAATCAAGTGTCAATCGACGCGTGTTATTGTTTTGTGTGTGATTTTTTGGCGGTTAGAATATTTATAATAAAATGTATTCAGAAAGAATTGGTTCCGGAAAAAAAATAACGGGCCAGTCTCGTGGAATAGGTCACAATGTTTTTAACTATTTCATGCATTATAATAAAAATATGATTTCTTTTATTACAACCCACCCAACCTTATTAAACCAACATCTATAGCTTGGCAAAAAGTCTTATTTATAAACATACTGTGGAGTGAAATTACACTAGTGTAGCTGTGAGCGTGCCAGCTTTAGTTCACTTACCTTTAATGCAGCTTCCTGATCATAATAATAAGAAATGAATATTTTTGATAATCATCAAAAAATGTTTTTTTATATGACGTCCAGGGTGATGCAGGGCGCGGGCGGGGAAGCAAAACTTTCCACTCCGGTACCGGCGTCCTTCTTGCAGTACCGCGGTCCTCCGGGCGAGGTCGGCTCAGACAGCGACCTGGCGCTATCCAGGTACGTTTTAAATGATCATTTTAATGTTATAATCTTACAATATAAGCATAAAGTACCGGCGTCCTTCTTGCAGTACCGCGGTCATCCGGGTGAGGTTGGCTCAGACAGCGACCTGGCGCTATCCAGGTATGTTATAACCGAACATTTTAATGTAACAATCTTACGATATTAGCACAAAGTACCAGCGTCCTTCTTGCAGTACCGCGGTCCCCCGGGCGAGGTCGGCTCATACAGCGACCTGGCGCCATCCAAGTACGTTTTAAATGATCATTTTAATGTTATAATCTTACAATATTAGCACAAAGTACCAGCGTCCTACTTGCAGTACCGTGGTCCCCTGGGCGAGGTTGGCTCAGATAGCGACCTGGCGCTATTCAGGTACGTTGTATATGAACAGTTTAATGTTATAATCTTACAATATTAGCATAAAGTACCGGCGTCCTTCTTGCAGTACCGCGGTCATCCGGATGAGGTCGGCTCAGACAGCGTCCTGGAGCTATCCAGGTATGTTTTTTCAGTGTGTTTTCAGTGAATTTATTTCTAATGTTTCTTTTTTCATAAATTTGTATACTTATGAACACACTTAAAGCCATTGTTTGATGTGTACAAAATGTGTAGATCCTTTCTCGCTACTGCAAGTTACAACGAATATAATAAAATGAGGACTTCGAGCGGATTTGCTCGCTGGTTCTCGGAGGAGCGGGAAAGAAAAGTATTTCTAACCGTCTATACGTAGTCCCTTCGCCGTCGGCACGGGAGCAAAACTCCCTGTTGGAAGCAATAGAGAATTTAATAATTAGTGTATTTCGTATTATATCACGTAGACGGCGCCATTTTCCTCGCTTTTTCGTTCGGTCGTTCGTCATGGCGATTCGAACTGTGCATTTTGTAACTTTAAATTAGTAAAAACAGATATAAGCAGATGGAAATAGATACCGCAAGTGTATGTTCTTCGCGTGCCAAAAACCTGCCAATCGGGAGACCAAAGGTCTTCCTGTTTTCATACAATTTGAAGTACATGCGTCGTCTTAAATCTATGACTGTGATAAAAACCGTGATAAACGATTTCAACTCAACTTGAACAAACTTTCAACAAGAACAAACAAGGTCAAAAAAATGTTTAATTAGCAGTGCTTTTGGAACTAGGCTTGAAATTAAAGTCTATTCACGGAAATGAGTTAGTATAGCGAATTCCTTATAACAAATCATACAAATGGCAAAGACGAAAACCTTTTTTTAGGTCAGTGGGTGTTTACAGTACCATAGAGACTGCGTGAGTAAAAATAACGTGTGAACCGCAAAACTCACAACTCGAAATCTAGTTCGTAGGACGCGATGCCTTGATTTTTACTCGCCTTAGTGTAAAACTATCAAGTAAGGCCGTATGTACCGTATGCTGAAAGTGCATGCTTTATGTGGAGGATATAATGTTCTCTAATGCTATTACAAATTCTTACTCGTGTTTTCTTTAAGAGTATACATTACGGCTAGGAACTAAATAAATATCATTATTATCATGCAGATCTTCAAGCAGCAGCTCAGTGTGGTCGCAGTCCTGTTCCTCCTGCACCCACTATGACGACAACGGCTCCGATCACTCCTGTTCATTGAGCACCAGCGATGCGTATGTATAGTTATAGTAAATCTAAAGAACTTTACTAGAAAAAGTCCACCCGGTTCAGGAAGCAGACGGGACTCCAACCCTAGTATTTCTTAGGCTGCAAGCCAGCGCCATCTCTTCGCATTGTAGATAGCCCGAAATGTCAAAGGTAATACCTTCACAAGTATTAAACATTTGAAAGAAGAAATTGTAGTTTTAAGTTACAGGTCGCGGCACGTAAGGGATTGTCCATTAATCACGTGAGGTTCGAAGGGGGGGGGGGGATCATAAGGGGAGTGGGGGGTGTAGTAATATATCACGTGTATTGCCGTGGATAGTACTTAAAAAATGTTCATATACATATTAGTACAAAAAAGTTTTACGGTTTCTGACATTATATTTATGTTTGTCAAAAACAACCTGCAACCCTTCTGTCTACCTTTAATGACGTGATGTTTTTTTGCCATTTTTTAAAGCCAAGCCCCTTTGTAGGTACTAATAATGTATTTTTAGTACCTACAAAGAATCTTATTTTTTTATATTTATAAAATACGGGTATAAGTATCATCTAACTTTATTATGGAAAATTAAAGACTACAATAATAACGTTTAATGAACGGCCCCTAACTGTAGCGCTGATACGATAGCTGCGCATGGGTACGACTGGAGAGCTAATCGGCACCTCGTTTTCCCCTAAGACATCTTAATCTTTACTTCTGCGCAATAGCGGTCAGCGCTAGAGTTTCGTGCCTCGACTTATAACCTGGACCGTGTGGATTTCTTTCTAGTCAAAATTTCTTCTTTACCTTTAAACATCTAGCAGTTAAAACTATGTAATATGTTAACAATATCAATCATTACCATGTACATGGTAACAATGTCGTTAATAGCTATAATGTTAGTGACTATGAAACTTTAAAACAAAATATCAATAATTACTCATTAGTCTATGAATGAACTTAAAGCTGGCGCACTTGCCTTTCCTATTAACCGAATCATGATAAGAACGGGCCATATGAAGCATAATCGACTGCGATCGCCGGTTTTTCAAACAAAACAGCAGGATAATATAAAAAAAAAGTACGCATTGACGTGGCTAACGCAACACCCTGGCGACCAATTGACTCGAAACCGGGACGGTCGCCAGAGTTGTATGTATTTAAGAGTAGCGGCCGCCCACGACTTCGTCCGCGTTAACTTTCTTTTTCCATAATAAAAGATTTTTACTAAAATAAAAGTAGCCTAAGTTACTCCTTATTACATCAGTTACCTGCTAATTAAAGTCCCGTCAAAATCGGTCCAGCCATTTCAGAGATTAGCTGGAACAAACAGACAGACAAAAATTGTAAAAAATAATATTTTGGTGTATGTACCGTATATATATTTATATGCATGTAGTAAAAAAGTGGTTATTTCAATATTACAAACAGACACTCCAATTTTATTTATATGTATAGATAGGTTAGCGGTTATTACAGAAAGGGCCATTCCACCACCAATCACCTTTTGCAGCCCACCGCCCCGTTTTAAGATAGGGGTATGTTGTATTTTAAAGTATAGCATTGACCCATAATCCCCCTTAGCTACGGCCCTGCTCAAAACGCGTTTGGTCGACGGCAAAAACAATATAACCACGACTACGCCCATACAAGATCAACAAAACAGTGTTAAAAATATTGTTTTGGCTACAGAAATATTTTCCTACTTTTTTGAAGTATGACTCCGTCTGAAGTACTAATGTGCTTCGTATCAATAGGAGTGATAACGGGGTAAAGTACACGAAATTCTATTAAGTCTGTCAGTAAAAAATAATAGACAAGTATTTTTTCGTTTGTCTATCAACCAAAAAATGACAAATAAAGCGCATCAAAGTTTGTAAGGGGGGCTCGTGACGTCACTTCTAAATAAAAATTGTACCAAGAAGTGATGTCGTACGACATTTCAAATCAATATAGGTATCTTTTTAATGTTTTGTTTACGTGAATAAAGAAAATCTTGTTTTTTCAAACACATATTAACATATATTTTCTACTGCATGCCATTCTGGTATTAATAAATATGCAAATAACCGGTTCAGGCACAGGCTCTACGTTCGGTTCAGGTTCAGGAACAGAAAAAATACGAGTTCCATACTTTTTGATAATCTACCTGATAAATGAAAAGAAAAAAAAAATGTCGTCATCCCTATTCTAATTTAAATTCTTACCGGTCCTTTGTACACTTTAACACCCGCAACTTCATCTTCTTTATCTTCCACTTTGAGTAAGATTGATTTAGCTAATAATCCTAAAGAAAATATTACAAAAAAAAATCCACGCGGACCAGGCAGCAGATGGGACTTGAACCCGCCCTTCGCTATCCGGGCGAATGCACTGACCAATTATGCTACCGCGGCCCTGATGGCCGTGTCGAATTCTTTCTAGCCTTTCTTAAGCTGCAAGGTAGAGCCATCTCTTCGCATTGACGGTAACCCACAATTTCATTTGCGGCTTCAAGTCCCGTCTGCTGTCTGGTCCGCGTGGAATTTTTCTAGTAATATTTTCTTTAGATTTAAACATCGAGCAGTTAAATGCTTAAAAAAACGAGCGAGCCTTACAGTAGTCGCGTATAATGAGTAACATTTGAAACCTCACCTTATATTAGTAAAAAAAGAAATAAGCCATTTGAACGCTATGTTCAAAAATCAAATCAAATAGCGCGCGCTTCCCAAACTTCCTGTTACACACTTCCGTCCCATTTCACGAAATCACTCCTACAAATTGCAGGAAAGCGGGAGGAAAGATGTTACACATCATTAAAATTATTAGTTAATAATTGTTTTATCAGGTCCAGTAATGGGCCCCTGGACGGAGACGGCCCGGATCGTCGCCAACGACGCGCTCCTCTCACCGACGCGTCTGATACCGAGCCCACTACACCGGTCAAGGTAAGAATATCACACACGCTACAAATAATTACCTAGGGGTTTATGTTAAGAAATCAGACATTATATTGCGTTTCATGTGGTAAACAAGGTCTAACATTATTATAAGGTACAAACACACGAATTCTGTTAGGACATAACAATGTTGAACTTATAGCTAAAATTTAAACATTAACAATTTTCAAATAAATTTTAACTATATAGAATTATGAATAATAATAATCACGTCCAGGAATCTTTAATATTTGAAATTATTTAATAGTAGTAACAAGGTAATCATGTTTAACGTGCCTTCCGAAGAACGTAAGAGCTTTAGATAGTAAAACATAATCTAGAGCGCAGGGTCGGATTTAGAGGTGTAGGGGGCCCGGGGCAACGAAGAAGTGGAGGCTTCTAATCTGGGCTGGATCACTTAAGGTACAATTCCGAGAATTCCAATACAGTGTCTCCAGTCTGCACTCAGTGATGTGCGTACCCCCCGAGAGGCCACAGTGGAAAACGTAGGTTTGTTTATAAAAACATACCGTTAATAATATGTTTTATTTAATAAAATAAAAAATAAAGTGGTACCAATTATTAAAATATTGTATTTATCGATAATGTACTTCTTTTAGATCTAGTTTATCCTTTTTTTGCACTTTGTAACTTTTTCAGTACCTAATTTGACACTTAAATTTTAGTATTTTTATTCTCATTATATATTTATACATTATAATTAGTTTATTAACAATTATTAAGAATAAAGTTCACAATTAAAATAACACTCAAGCGATCCTATAGCATATACTCTTCTCCTTTCGAGTGTCCTAAAAATGTTAATGTGGTTACCATTCACGTAATCATAACTGAGAATTAAATAAAGCAGGATATTTATTTGCATCACCTTTTTTATTTTATAATGAATTGGGAGTTGGTTCGAAATATTTCCCATGAATTCGTTTATGAGCGTTTCGACCGAGGGCCCACTTACTAGAGCCTACTATTCTGTACTGGTAGAATATATTAACTTAGTGGCAGTAGAGTAAATTTTTAAAACGTAAGAACTGAGAGCCCACCAACTGATTAGTTTTTCATTATTCGTAGTTACTCAACCTAGCTCAAATTTTTGTACGAAGACCTACAAATCACCTTCTAAATATTTCATCTAAATTATTTAAATTGGCCAGATACAGTACGTAGTAATATGAAAATTGAGGCGTTTCGTCTGAGAGCCCACATTCGGGGAGTGGTATCGTTTGACTTACAACTGCTACCAATGTATCCTTTTGGCTACAGCTGCAGTTTGCTCACGGAATGGCACCTTTACGACTACGATTTGCAACCGCTTTGGTGGCAATTCGAAATTTGATATCATTTTCTGTCGTGTGGAGGCCCCTGGGCCACAGACCCTTTGTCTTCCATAAAGACTGGTTTAAAGTAATTTTGGATTATGTAACTTTAGGGTCGCGGCACTCGGTCGTCTTCATCCAAGACACCGGTGAAGAGCGCAGTCTCCGACGTGCACGTGCAGCTCGAACCACTGCAGCTAGTCTGGGCCAAATGCCGGTCAGTATACAATCACAAGATCGAAGACAAATGACAAAGGTTAAGATACCGGTCCAGAAAACCGCTAATGAAAATAAGGGCTTTGGACTCCACTGACTAAGTAATCTTTGTAATTTGAGATGTTGTGTAAAATTATCAAGTGATTTACTATAGTTTCGGACACATCTATCGTGATCTAAAAATGTGAACTTAATGGTGGCTGTGAAGTAAGAAAAGTTACGGCGCTGTAAATAAATTTAGTCGCACACTACAAACTAACCTTAGTCTGCAACATTTATATAGATTTTTGTCATTAGAAAAATTCAATTACCATAGCCTAGGAATTTTATTCAATCTCTAATAAACCTTCTACAAAAAGTATTCTGTCTTTCAGAGGGTACCCTTGGTATCCAGCCCTGATCATAGATCCGAAGATTCCCAAAGGGTTTGTTTACAACGGGGTACCACTGCCAGTGCCGCCGCAAGACGTTCTCAATCTCAAGAAAAACCACTCGCACGAACCAATCCTTTACCTGGTGTTGTTCTTCGATGTGAAGCGAACTTGGCAGTGGCTCCCGCCAAACAAATTGGAAGTATTAGGGGTTGATAAGAGTGTGGATCAAGCTAAACTGGTCGAGTCGAGGAAACCCACTGAAAGAAAGGCAGTCAAGAAGGCCTACAATGACGCCATGCAGTTCAGGAAGCAAGTGGACGGAGAAGACAAATGACAAAGGTTTAGATACCGGTCCAGAAGACCGCGTAACAGAACATTCAGCTTTGGCAACTTTTCACTAATGAACATAAGGGCTTTGGACTCGACTGACTCCAGCGATTAAATAATCTTTCTATTTAGACATGTTGTGTAAAATTATCAACTGATTAACTAATTAAATCTAAAACAAATATTAGAAAAAATTCCACGCGGTCCAGGCATCAGGCGGGAATTTATTTCTAGTAAAATTTTCTTTAGATTTTAATATCTAGCAGTTATGTTAGAAAAAAATGAACTTATAATCGTTAGTGTTGTGATATAGTTAAATATGAAATAAATTGTATATAACATGGCTTGCAAAATTCTGTTAAAAAAACTGAGGATAACTACATTAAACTTAGAGCATAATTAGTGTAACTTACTGTCTGAAATGTTTATAAAATAGATACGCTGCCGGATCCCGATCTGCTTATTACAAAATTTTTTTATTAATTACATATTAAATTAAGTTTATATCAAATTGGCGTTTATCACTAAGATTATAATATGACACAAATAAGCAATAAATACTATAGTATCTTAAAATGTCTCTGAGTGTTGCCATAAATGTGTCATAAACATATAATTATATTTGTAACTTTTTACTGTCTTTATATAATGAAAAGATTTTTATAAATTGTATATATATACTACTTTTCAGGTAGCTCTATCTAAAAAAACAATGATAAGATTGTACTTGAATAGATGTTTAAATAAGCAGTGTTATGAAATTATAAATGTCATTTGATTAATGTATAAAATATGTAAGTCTATAAAATTGAAATTATAACCATATTGAAGATAGTTGAAGTGAATGAAGCCTTCATGTTCTATACCATTAAGTAGTTTTCTTCAGTGAAAGGTATAATAATTTTTCCTTAATTAATACAGTTGAATTGTTGATTAATAAAAAGTTCCTTTACTGTGGTACCATCAGTCTAAATCAATCACTTTCTAAACACAACCATGTAGGTCTTATGCTTTTTTTTATATAAATGCTGCCCTAATGATCACTTTCCCAGGTGGGAAAAATACTAGAAAACTGTTGCTAATTTTAAGATAATTGTGTTAAAATCTTTTGTTTTTATAAATAAAAATAGTAACAATAATGAACTTGGTACTTTATTTTTCTCCTAAAAATTAATTAACAATGATCATTTTCTACTTTATTATTTAATAAAATGAAACAATGTGATTGCTACAATTTTATATTAATCATTAACTTAATAAATAAACCATGATTTACTCATAATGCTTGTCCCAAAGATAAAGTTTTCCTGGAGTTGGTCGCACATTAGCAGCTTGCTTAGGAGCACTGGAACAGATAAAACTAATCTAAGTATTATTTAAATAATAAGTGCTAAACATTATAAATTTGCTAATTGTTACTACTACAAATGACATTGATGCATGTGATACACTACACAGTACACCAAGTACCTACACAGCTAGTTTATTTTATTACTTAAAAAAACTTTAAATATCCCACTTTCTGTCAATCATTTACTTTCATAGTAAAAGGAGCTTCTTTAGCTAATATTACAGCTGTGAATTTGCAAGGAGAACTAAGTATGAAATCGAGTTACTACATATCTCTTTCAGTACCCCTTTCACTAAGTAGGTGGCTTAAATACTCTAAATTAGTTTTAAGTTTTAGTTTCAACTTCTCTAAATATCTTAAAATATACATATTTATAACAACCAAGTTCTATACTTAATCAGTTTTATATGTAAAAGTGATAATGATGTACATGACTGGCACCTTCTTTGTGGAAGGCTGGTGCATGGTGTGCATGCATTGCTCTACTCGTGTGTTATTTTGTTAGCCTTCTGGAAGATAAGAACTTCCCTTTGTCATCACATGAGTTAGAGCAGTTAACCGCCGTTGTTCATTCTATACAATTACAAACCCTCCTATTAGAATAACAAATATTGAGAAGTGTTGGGATCACCTCACCCTTTGTCAGAACTAGCTTCGAGCAAAACTTTGGTAACATCAGCTGGAGGGATCACTTCACGGCGCCCATCTCTTGTGTAATAATAATTATGTGCATGTCTGTAACACATTAATCTTTTTAGTTATATCTAAAAGGTTGTAATTTAAAATATTGAATTGTAATAGAAGCCTATATACTTGTGGGATGATCCATCAGGTATTTCTGGCGGTGGCTGTGTCCTTGCCGACAAGAGGGGTGCAAAACGCAAAGCATTTGTATGTTTTCTCTAAAAGTGGTAAAATATTATTAAAAACTTATGTTTTGAGAGGTTACATAATGATGATACATTGCAAAATTTATCTTACACCTAATAAAAAGTCTCTGAATTTTTGTATGAATCCTGAGACATCACGAAGTGGTACGGCTTTTCTGCTCATTTTAATTTTCTCCTTTCAAATAAATTAATATTTTTTATGGAAATTTTATTTACCCAACAAATGTCAAAGTCAGAATTAAAATTGTCTATGGTCAAATATTGTTAGTTTTTTCAATCTATTCTAATTAAAGCAAAGGATTTCAAGTCCATATATATTCCATGTATATTATTTTGTCTTGCTAAAAGCAACGAATTACAAAGTACTGCCGTCTAAAAGCACGCATCATGCTGAGTACTTAAACCTATGGAGATGCCATAGGATTCGATATGAACAATCTGTTATACAAATATGATTGATATCGACATTGTACTCATAAACTTGTAGCCATCTCATTTTAACTAACCTACAATACTCCACGCGAAAAGAGACAACATTATATTTGCCTGAACTAATAACGGCAATATTACAAAGTGAAATCGTTGAAATGCCTATTTGAGGCCGGTCGCCATTTTGAGTTCCTATTGTGACCAGGAACATAGGTTGTCAACGTCTGTTGTATTTACAGTGTTTTAAGCCAAAAGTGTTTTAATTTGTGACTTTATCGTTTTCAATAATACTTTATAAAGTGAAAAAAGTACAAGGAACGAACCAAGGAAGGTGCCTAATTGCAGTGTTGTAGGTTGCGGTTTAAAAAAGGCAAAATTCGACCAAAAATATCGTTCACCGGTACATATTATTATTATGCGAAATACCAAACAATACAATAAATGTTTAGTTTGCCTTTCTTACACATAGTTTTCGAATAATTCATGCAGAATTTATCATTTACTACGTATTTCTGTGGGTGTTCATAGTGTATTTTATCAATGTTTAAAACAGTTTCTTTGCCGAGTCTCCCTTCAAGGCATTTTTCATATCGGTGTTTTTATTTCAACAGTGTTAATTGTAGGGCAATAGGACAAATTAAAATGCTGAAATATTATGTACCTCTTGAATTATATTATTCGCTATTGTATCATACAAGGGGCAGCCTTGGGTCAGAAGTTAAGGCGCCATTTTCGTTTCCTAGTAACTTTAGGTATAGAGTCTACGCGGAAAGAGAATGGGCGTGGCGAAAAACAGAACTAACATTTTTATTTGGCAATCAAACCCAGCAATCTGTAAAACGTCAAAGTTTTGTATTGATACGGATTTGTTTGTTGTTGTGATTTCTTGCGATTTTTTGTATTTAATCATGTCTAAAAGGGGTAAAACCTTATAAATACGGTAGAAACTGTAGTGCTACAGCGCCCTCCAATCTAAATCCCATTCTCTTTCCGCACAGACTCTACAGGTTTTTTTTTGTAGGTATGCCATCTCCATGGTTTTCAGTACTCAGAGGCATCATGCGGTCCGCGTTCCGTCCGTCCGTTCCAGGCCCGGGTACTAAATTGCTCAGTCTCTGTAGCATGAGCACTACAATTTACAGTATGTAATGTTTTTTATCGCGTCTAACTGTCAAACTTGGCTGCTAGCACAGAGGGTAGGTATGCTAATCGCCTACCTATATGGAGTCTTTCGGGGTACGTCTAGTCTAACTCGTCTGGGCGCTCTCGCTTTTGAGCGCAGATACAGCCCAGTACTGCCCATAGCTCTTACGTTAATCAAGCATAAATATTATTCATTTACGAATTACTAGCTGCCGCCCGCGACTTCATCCGCATCAACTTTATATTTTTGATAATCTCTCAGGTACCTACCTAATTTTTTTCGGCACAAAAAGTATTCTGTCTTAGTCTAGGTAATAAATTTTATATGTGTGCAATATTTATCCAAATCTGTTTTTGCGCGATTGAGTAACACACATTTTTTCACATTTCAAATAAATAAGTAAGTTAGTTAAGTAATAAGTTTCAGTAAAAATACAGGGGTTCTTATTTCCTAGTTAATTTCGGCACCTACCTTTTTTGAATACTATATCATAGATCTTTAACAACATAGGTACCTCCTAAACTCGTCCTAGTCTTACTTTGAGTATCTATATAAACTTACAGTAGACTAATGCAAAGATTTGAATCGTCTGTACGATTTTCACTTTACTGCTAAAGCCGAACTCGGTTCCGCTCGGTTACACTTTGAAATTCTTAACGGACGATAACTTCGTAATTGTTTTGTTGGAATATTTATAAAAATTTCACCTAATGCGGTGAGTCTATTTTACCATTTAAAATTTTACAGAGGAAAACAATGTCAGCGATGTCTCTCCGCATTTGTAAGGGCAAAAAGTGTCATTTTTTACATCTGGTTTCATAATAAGGAAGGTCATCATTAGCCTATTAATGTCCCCACTGCTGGGGCAAGGGCCTTCCCTATGGATGGAATAGGGAGATTGGGCCATGACCCACCACGCGGGCCCAGTGCAGATTGGCAGGTCCTAACTACTGCAGATGCAGCCGGGACCAACGGCTTAACGTGCCTTCCGAAGCACGGAGGAAATCGAGATAGAAGATTTTTGGTCACCCATCCAATGACCGACCACTGCGAAAGTTGCTTAACTTCAACGATAGCAGCCGAACGCGCTAACCACTTACGCCATCGAGGTCCTCGAATTAGGAAGGTATTGTTTACATATAATTAGCATCGAAGAAACTTCCGTTGAAGTTGAATGCCCTCAATTCTGTTAATATAAACGTTATATGAAGGATTCCATATTTTTGATGCGTATTCAAGAATGCGAATGAACAGTAGAGTACTTTAATAGGTTTGATACTACTAAAATTGACACAAGATCTTATAACGCATCCAAGTGCCTTCGATGCCTGTCCTACAATATATTCAATATATCGATAAAATATTATTTTGGAATCAATAATTACACCTAAGTCTCGCACTTTATTGGTGTATGCAAGAATCTGGTTCTGTAAATTGTATCAAATTTAAAACACACTTAGAAACATTTAAATCTAACTTGTTACGAGCTCAATAATCGCAAATTTTATCCAGATCCTTTTGTAAGAGATGGCAATCACCAGGTATATTTGCCTTAAGATTTTCGTATCGTCAGCGTATAATAGAAATATAGCAAACAGGAGGGGACCAACAAGGGGCCCACAGGGACAAAAGGGTGTACCACCTGAGAGCACTGTTATCCAGTCTGAGATAAAACCATTAATAGGCTACAGCCTGAGAACGATTCTCGGTACACGATGAAAACCATCGGAATTAGTTTCCATGGATTCCGGCGCAGTAAAGCTTCTGTTTCATAATGCAATGATCATTCCTATCAAAACACTTACTAAAATCTGTAAAGATCATGTCCATCTGGGTCCCAAAGTCCATACACGACGTTACTTAATTATTAGAGAGAAGGAAATTGGAGATGGTAGATCGACCCTTCAGAAATCCATGCGGTTCAGGAGTAAACCAATTGGATAAAGCAGTATGATTGTGTAAATTCTCTCAATTTTTTTTGCGAATATACAGAGAAAAGTTTTATTAGCATCTCTTCGCATTGTAGGTATCCCACAATGTCAAATGAATACTTTTTCAAGTATTAAACATTTGAGAGAGAAGAAATAGCAATTGTAGTTATGTTTTTATTTATTTTTAAGCATTTAACTGCTAGATGTTTAAATCTAAAGAAAAGTTTTACTAGAAAAAAAACCTTCTTATATTTCTTCTTGGACCCAAGGACGCTCATAACCTTCCTCCAACCTCTGTTGGATTCTTCGTCCTTGGGCTCTCCCAAGGACGAAGAAAAAGCATCTTAAAGACGAAATTCGAGCCGCCATCAAAAAACTGAAGCGCGGAAAAGCCACAGGAAGGGATGCTATACCGATTGAAACTATCAAAGCATCGGAAGAGTATGGCTAGAAGTGTTTCATACCCTGTGTAACAAAGTCTGGGAAACAGGAACTTGGCCCCAAGAATGGACTCACACTGTCTTTGTGCCTCTACACAAAAAGGGCTCGACTAAAATATGCAGTAACTACCACCTCATTGTTCTTATCTCACATGCAAGCAAAATATTACTGCATATTTTGAACGAGAGATTGAAAGTGTACCTATCCAGAGAGATTGCCCCGGAACAAGCTGGCTTCGTAAAAGGAAAAGGAACCCGTGAACAGATCCTTACTGTGCGCCAAATCATTAAAAACGCTAGGGAGTTCAATAAGCCGAGATGTAGGTTACATCTGCTTTGTGGACTTCTCAAAAGCATTCGATTCGGTGAGGTGGCCAGTACTTTGGGCGACTCTCCTGGACATGGGAACACCAAAACACCTTATTCACCTTTTGAGAAGACTATACGAAGACGGAACAGCCTCAGTCAGAGCAGACGACATTTTATCGGATCATTTTCATCCCAGTGCCGGAGTCCGACAAGATTGTATTGTGTCTCCGATACTGTTTAACACCTACACAGAACTCATTATGAGAATAGTACTCGAGAATTGGTCAGACGGAGTCAGTATTGGAGGCTATAAGACTTGCAATCTGAGGTATGCGGATGACACCACAGTGTTTGCAACAAGCGCCAGTAACATGGAATCTCTGCTAAGCAAAATGGAGCAAGTTAGTCGTGATTTTGGCCCGAAAATAAATCTCAGTGAAACCAAGATTATGATTGTCGATCGTGCTAATAACAACTCGCCGGAAATTACTAAAATCGCGAACTGCGATGTCGTTCAGTCGTACATCTACTTTGGAGCATTGATTTCGGGCAACGATGGATGTGCAGATGATGTCAAGCGGCGCATGGCAATCACGAGGTCAGCTATGGACAAACTTCAAAAAATATGGAGAAACAGGAACATCACAAAAGCCACGAAAACACGACTCGTCAGGGCATTAGTGTTTCCCATATTCCTCTATGGTGCTGAGACGTGGACCTTTCGAGAGAGTGAGAAAAAGAAGATAGACGCTCTAGAAATGTGGTGCTGGAGGAAAATGCTTGGCATACAGTGGACACAATTCTGAACCAATGCATCCATCCTCCAAGAACTGTCCATCAAACAACGTCTGTCTTCCATCGTACAAGGTCGTATTCTAACTTCCTTTGGCCACATCTCACGCCGAGAAGATGCGTCAGTGGAACGAATGGTGGTGCAGGGCAAAGTCGAGGGCGTAAGGGCGCGCGGCAGATCACCAATGCGCTGGACTGACCAGATAAAAGCGGCACTGAACGGTCCACTTCACGAGTGCACGAGAAAGGCCGCAGTGCGGGACGAATGGCGGCGTATTGTGAAGCGCGCCACCAACCCTGATGTGACGACCACGACCACTCTGTCAAGAGTGTAGCGCCGAAGAAAGAAGTTTATAACAATAACAGTATAACAATTGTAAATGAATACCTACCCATTGAAATAATATTTAATTACATATATAATACCATATCTATAGGTGTATACCTTCTACATTCTATATCTATGATTCTACATAGATACTAGTGCAATACTCTCTTTTTCTGACAAAACCAAATCAAAAAAGTATGATGACAAAATATTACCATTACCTAACGGCGCGGCACCTCATTTGCTTCAGTCTAAAATGTTTACTAAATTTTAAAAAAACAATGATCCCTGCGAAGGCAAATTTATTGTTGAAATCATATTTCGTGAGTACCAGTTATGTAGGTTTACAAAACTTGTTAATTTTGTTGTTGAGATATTGGTTTCTTTTAATGCAATTATTCCATTCACAGTTTAAGTTCATGATACTGAGGACATTCAAAACATTAATTCTGCCGAAAGTAATAATATTGGATGAGAGGTAAATATTTTAACAATTTAACGCTCCTGCGTTGTCTACCTATCACTACCTCAGTCGAGTGGTCCAATTCGAGCTGGAAATCTGCTATGCTCTTAAATGTATTTGGGTCGTATGGCTCAATAAATAGGGTTTAAAGTTGCTATTTGCTTGTAATATGTGGGGGCCGAGTGCACGGGGTTGGCGTCTGCCATATGCATGCACACCTCGAGCCAAGCAACCATAATGTGCTTTCTGCTTGAGTTATTAAAGTTTAAGCCTACATCCAATTATTTTTTGTCTATTGTCAAAACTGATTTCAGCATATTTAAATAGTAGATTGTCGCCATCGAGATTCTCATAATTACTTATTAACTGATATTGGTTACAGGAACTATAAAATCAAAATATGGGCGATGTTGAGACCGTCGTCTGATGAGCAGCAGGGAAGAGTTACTTCGGCTGGTGATCCCATGATATCGCAGATAGCGAATCAGCGATATAGGTAATGTTTTTCTATTTTATATGTACCCACTCACGTAAGTTATAATAGGGTAACTTGATAGACTATATACCCATTAGAGGCACCTTATGGTTTTATTACATCAGAAGCTTGTGCCTGCGAATTCATTTGCTATAAAGTAATTTTTTTGAGAATTCCACAGGACATTACCATCCATCCAACATTTTACCCAACCAAATTTCATCCAAATCCGTTCAGCCATTTATGCGTGACTGAGTAACAAACAAACCTTTTTAACCATTCATAGTATTAGTAGGAGGTAGGATGGTATGGTTGCCACGTCCATCGTCAGAACTCAAAAAAGTAGGAGTAAAGAATTTTTAATATTTTCTCTAGTAAATTTGTCTTTAGATCTATTTATATCTCGTTTTAAGGAAAAGGTGACCTTGATGCTGGCATTCACTAAACCTTAAAAACAAATTTGTCTATAGTGTCTCCTTATCATGCTATATACCGAATGAAAACTGTCGTGTTCTGTTGTGAAATTTAGTTATAGGTTTAGAGAATCATGTCAAGTCTCTAAATAAACATGTTTTACATTTCCAGGCGGGAAATATTTGAGAAATGTTGTAAAGCAGCGAGATATGACGCCTTCAAGTGGATTAGAGTCGGCTTGTAGAATCTCATCAGCCTTGAATTGACACAAAATAAAATTACAATATGCTCAAACGCGAATCTTTGGATGTCAAAATGTTGCTAAGTTAAAGTCCTCTAAATGAAATGCTGAGAATTTTGACTGCTCGTTTTAAACTCGTTGGGTTTAACACTTTTTTATAGAAATATTAAATAGCATAATTTTTATGATAAACTTATTTACTTACCTTTATAGTACTGCTTCTTAAAATTATTATTTATTGAATAAAAAAGCTATGTACGACAACTATTGTATATATTTTAATTATTAATAATAATAAAACAGTAACATCACATATTAATTAATTTACATTAGAAATAACGTTAATACCTAAAATAACATTTTGGTAAAATCAGACACATTATTATTATTATTAATTGATAATCAGCTAATTATTCTAATAATTAACATAAAGGCAACAAAATGCATCAGGTTACTACAATGTTTTTAAACGATTTTATGCTTTGTTGTTAAACAACTTAACGTCCAAATTCTATTTGGACATACCTGACAGTGCACGTAACCTGAAGTCCGTTATAAAAAATATCAGTTCCTATGGAACTCCAAAAAATTAAACTACGTATTAGTATTCTATGGTAACACATTTCGTTTTGAGATATTCATTAAGTGCTTCTTGACCTGGAACAAAAAAACAAGATTATTGTTATAATTTTATTTTTTTAAGCATGTAACTGATCTATGTTTGAATCTAAAGAAAATATTACTAGAAAAAAAATCCACGCGGGCCAGGCAGCAGACGGGACTCGAACCAGCACCCTTCGTTATCCGGGCGAATGCACTGGCGCTGCCTTGCAGCTTAAGAAAGCCTTAAAAGAATTCGACACGGCCATCAGGGTCGCGGTAGCATAATTGGTCGGGGTCGAGTTCGGGGCCCGGGGTTCTAGCCGGGCCCCCCCAAGCCCCTATGTAAATCCGCTTCTGGCCTCGGGCCGAGGCCCTCTTGTGTCTGGGGTAAATACGCTTCTGACTACGCAAGGTTTGTCTGTGGTTTTGCAAGTCACTCACCCAAATCTTTCCCGAAGCCGGACTGCTTGCATCCCCCAAAGGGCGCGGCGACGTCGGTCTTGTTGTACGTGTTAATGAACACAGTGCCAGCCTCCACTCGCTCGGCGAACTGTAGAGCGCGAGACACGTCGCGCGTGAACACGCCGCTCGCCAGCCCGTACTCGGTGTTGTTCGCGCGCCGGATCACGTCGTCCACGTTTCTAAATTGGAAAATTTTGTTTTTTAGTTTGTTTTTTCTTATTTTTTTAAGTTTCTCCCGTTTTAGGGAAGCCAAAGGGAACAATGCCCATACAACCTAGTCTTTAGTTATATTAATCTTCTTTTATTTTTTTTTACATTAGAATGTCGGTGTGACGCATTCTAATGTTTCTTGGAGTGTTTGGCACGAAATGTATCGAGTTGGTTTTTTCGATAAGCTTCTGTGAGGTAGTCAACACTACAATAAAGTTCTCACATCCACTTGACCGGAATAGCGTATATTTTAAAGATTCCACTAATTCTTCAGTTGCGCAGACGGTTGTAACACAAAATCACACCAAAGGACATTGGGCAAAAATGTATGGACGCTGCACCCACGTCCGCCACGGCTTAAACTACATTTGTTTGAAAGTTATTATAGTCGAGATCATCTGTGCCAAAGCGCATCAAATTCCATCCCGGGGGTATTTAGTTATTTTAAGTTAAATATGTACAAGTACTATAACGATGAAACAAGGTAATTAATTTAGTTAGTTAGTTTTACCTTATATAGGGTGCTCAGGAATTATGGGAGTACTTTACAAGGTGCAAGGGTGCCCCCTTATGTTATTCTGCCGTGCTAGAGTGAATCCAAAAAACCCGCCTGGGTTAGTTTTTTTTGAAACATTCTGTTCGTTATAGTAAACTGTCTTCTATGTAAAATGGAGCGACCACAGATTACACAAACTTGTCCACGCTTCGGAGAACACATGATTCCAGTTCATCCATACGAATTGACAAAACCGATAATCGTGTTCCAATATTCAAAGCGTGTTAGATAAAAATCAATCAAGTAGCAGGCAGCGCACAATCACAACGAAGTAAGACGAGTCGACTATTTGCAACTGCAAGTCCTTCATCATCCGTAAACCGTTTTGAAATGTCTCAGTAAGAGCAAACGCAGGATGGTCGGCAGGCTTTGTCGTATATCTGGTTGTATAGTACGATATGGCATATTATTATGATTACTAATAATATAAAATGAAGGTACTATTAAATGAATTTATTCAGCTACTTAAATATGCCCAAGTATCATATCTATTGACTACCAGGATATTTTTTACGATGTCATATCTTTTGACTCCCAGGATATTTATTTTCGGTGTCATAATAAAAAGGCTAGTTTTTCATAGATCTATCGATTCATACTAATTACATTGGTGGCGGAGCTGGGTGCGTTTTGCCCATTGTCCTTTATTTCACAATATCCACTATGAACGAATTAAAGAATAATTAAAATAAGACGCCAACTGCACTCGATGAAATCCCGCCAAAAACCCCCCGAAAAAATCTCAATGTTTTTTTTCGGACTATTTTTTTATAACTATTTTTTTTAACATTTCTTCTAAGTGAAGACGAAGGATAGCAAGAACATACACAGTCAAGTCTTAAGTGTTTTTGTTTTGTTAATTGGCTAATTCCATAGCCTTGTCTTTGAAATTTGTTTTGTATCACATTGCAGGTGTAATGTTCGCTTTTGCACTGAAAGAGAGGAAACAAGTATTTTTTAGGCGACGTCATCGGTCTTATTTTACGTTTTTAATGAACACAGTGCCAGCGCGGTCTTGCCCGCGCGACAGATCATGTCGTCGTCCACGATTTTTTTCTAAATGGCTTCGCACGGCTAGTGCATTTAGCCAATGTCAACTATTAAAATGTTTACAAATACTATAGCACTCGTGGTCAAAGTAATAAATCAAGTCAGTAAGTGCAGTCAAGTCAATCCCCCTTTCCCTATGTTTCAGTAAAAGTGTGGGGATTTACTGGAACCTCGCCATGGACTTCTTGAGGGAACGTCGAAAGACACTTTCCGCTATTTTGTTTCACTTGCCAACACTTGTGCATGTTCCTGAACACTTATTGGTTAATAATCCACCATTATTAGACACTAACATCCGCCACAACACAATTTTAACAAGAAAAACAAAACTGCTCCGTCCCGTCCCGTCGTCGTCCACGTTTCTAAATTTAAAATTATGTTTTCATATTTTATAATATTCATCGTTGAAGGATACTTAATCCATACTGTAGATGTTCAGTGTTTGTTTTGAATAAAAACGCGTTTGTTGTGCTAGCTTTTGCCCGATAGAAGAACAAGAAATAATATTTAATTTATATAATATTTTTTACAAATTTTATGTTTTCACGCCACTAACACGACGCGATAGCGAAACGCATTTCCGTCGGAATAAGCAGAATATTAGCGATATGGAAAGGGGGTCGTTTTCATACCGATTTCGTCATTCAGACATTTCCAATACAAAACTAAAAAGATGTCGATCGGGAAAATATGAATCAATCACTCACTTGCTGCTAAATTTGCTGATGATCATCACAGGTCCGAACGACTCTTCTTTAGCTATGAACATGTCATCGGTGACGTCAGTAAAGATAGTGGGGGTGAAGAAGTATCCCTTGCGGTCGACGCGTTTACCCCCGTATATTAAGCGGGCGCCTTCTTTAACGCCGCGATCGCAGAACTGAAACCAATAAATAAATATTTCCAACTTACACCAATTAGCCTAGCCCCAAAGTAAGCACTATAAGGCTTGTGTTATGGGATGCTAGGGTAGGATTTTAGTTTAAGTTAGGATAGAATACATATACTGTACATATATAAGTATATTTATATAGAAACTAGCTGTCCCAGCGAACTTCGTACCGCCATAAAAAAATAGGGGTTGGTGGTAGAAGGGTGAAAATTTAGGGTTGTATGTATTTTTGTACGATGCACCATAAAAAAATAAAAACAATACATTTTGTCAAAAAAAAAATTAAAATTTAGAGGGATGAATAATAGATGTTGTCCGATTCTCAGACCTACTGAATATATGTATATAAAATTTCACGAAAATCGGTCGAGCCGTTTTGGAGTAGTTCAATTACGCACACCATGACACGAGAATTTTATATATTAGATAGACATATTAAACATCCATGACTGAAGTACAAATGCTCGTATTCATCAAACAAACATCTGCCCCCACCGGGATTCGAACCCGAGAGTCGGCGACACCATGAAACCCGGCGCGGCGTATAAATCACTCGGCCACGGAGGTCGTCTAATCCCAATGGTGGGGATTAGTGATGATGATTATGTCTAAGATATGGTGTTAAAAATTTAGCATCTGCAGATTATCCAGGTTTTTCGTCTTCCCTATAAATAATGCATAAATTGTAGAAATATTGTTGATTTCTTTCTAAATATAATACCGATATTTAATCTTTCGGGAAGTCATTAAAAGGTATGTTTTATTCAAGTGTTTATTAAAAATAGTCAAAGGACAATGTTAAAATTGGCCTAAGAACCAACACCGATTTGGCATTTCTGATAATTCTTAGTATATTTTTTGCGATAATTATCAGTATTTAGATTGTGACGGACACTTCTAGTTAAGTAAGCTAAATTAAATAAATAATTTAAGTTCTCAGAAGTGTCCGTCAATAATCTTTGTTTTTACAGTCATTTACCTGCGATTTCGAACCTAGAAAATAATATTTCATGTTTGTTGGTTCTTAGGCTAACTATGTATGGACGCAGAACAATGTCCTTTAAAAACGATTGCGGACAAATGTACTTGGAAAATAAAAGGTGACGGATTAATGAAAAATAAAACTTTAAAATTATTTCCTTTTTAATAAAATAATTTTGTAGCAAAACCTAATATTGACGATTGACTGGCAACCAATCACCACTATTCTTGTACAGAGAGCCACAAACCAAGTTACAACAGTAAATTTTTCTCAATAGATATCAGCATGAAACTTAAAGTTGGCAGTAGAAATTTTCAATTTTGTATTACATATCTTAGATCAAACCAATACTAAAGGAGCATATTATCTTAAAACTGTTGTAGCATGTAAATGTCATGGCCAATCCGCCAAAGGTGTAAAATGAAGATATTTCTTATAATTTATGTTTTTCAATTATTAATATTTCAATTTTAAGGCTGTTACAATCTTTTGATGTCCCTACGCCATCAGTTAGTAAATCTACGGCGGGAGATCTTGTACTGAGACCTCTTCATATTTCTAACTAGCGGTCGCCAGCGACTTCGTACGCATTTAGTTAGTTAGAAATAAAGGTTCACTGCTCGTTCCCCATAGGTGACAGCGTTATAATATGTAGCCTTTAAGTTGACCCAACTTCTTAATAATATTCGTGCCAAATTTTAAGTAAATCCATGCAGTACTTTTTGGGTTTATCCCGGACATACAAACAGACAAAAATTCTAAAAAACTATATTTTTGGCTTCGGTACAGGTTGTAGATTATACCCCAAGTATTCTTTACAAAAATAAATAATCAATGAACAGTTTTGACATTCCTACCATTTTATTATATGTATAGATTATGATTCTGTTTTTTTTCCAATGTTAGTTTTAAAGTAATATTGAACTTACCTCTATTAATTTCATAAGATGTGCCTCATGGTTTTGTGGTCCGTGCGCGGTGCCACGGTGTAAAGGATCCCCAATCGATATCTTTTTAGTTTCGGTCACGACTCGTCTCACGAATTCGTCGTGTATCGTCTCTTCGACGAATAAACGGCCGGCGGCTATGCAATTCTCGCCCTTATTGAAGAATACTGAAGACATACCCTGAAAACAGTAGTTATGTTAAGCTCTATTCAAACTGTTTCCGGTTTTCTGTAATTGGTTTTGAACATTAAAGTCGATAATCGCTCAAACAGAAAGCATTGGGAGTAAATTCCGACACTACTTGTGAATGTTTTAATCAAAATAAGAGGGGAAAATAATAAAAAAAGAAAAATATTTTCATTGAAAAAGGATAGGTAATTTAATTTTTATTTATAGGTAACACGCAATTTGGCAGCTTTATTTTTTTTAAGAAACAGCAATTTATTGTGCTTTAGTGTGATGTTATAGGCACTAAATTCCTTTACTGGGCGTGCGTTACGACTGTATAATTAAAGAGTTATTGCCTGTCTGCCAATATTTGGCGATAAATTGTTTTCTATTTGAAAAGTAGTAAATTAATTACTGTATATGTACGAATTTTTGACAGCTCCGTAACGTATCGTCATTGTCAAATTTTGTATGTAAAATGCTAGTTTGTTATTACGTCTTATATCGGCTGCTTCGTATTCATAGAAACTTGTATGTCCTATAGGTGTTATTAATTAATTTCAACCTTAATACTATGTCTTAAGAATTTGTTTTGTCTATAGTACTAATGCTTTTATTATAAAGGTATCTACAACTCTTTTTATAATAATTTGGTATGGTGTCATCCTTCCTTCTTCAATAAACCGTTGTACAAGACGAACGTATTTTATTTCTGCAATTCACAAATAATTAAAAGCTATGACGATACAGTATGTTACAGAGCTGTCAAAAGTTCGTGCTTCGTCCGCTGTTTTGTGTTTTACAATTTTAACAACGTACATTTCTAACGGCCTTGTCCATATCGCAGTCTTCGAATATAACGAGGGGTGACTTGCCCCCCAACTCTAATGACACTTTCTTCATGTTAGACGCTGCACACGATGCCATAATTTTTTGACCTATAATTAAATAACATTTCTCACACTCGTATCGATTAACTTAGTTTCAAAATAAGTAAGCACTGTAAGGCTTGTGATATGGGATATAAGGGCAATGGACAGAAATGCATTTTATATTCAATTCATTAATTCCCTTAAACCATGTTTGCCTGTGCCTGTGTTACAGGCCATCAGGCTCCCACCACCTCGAATTGCCAAAAATGGTGAGAAAATGTTATGAATGTTCATAATAATATTAATTGAAACTGGTTAAATAAAAGAGATTGTGTTTGAATGAGAATGTATGTAGTATGAGTGTGTATTTTGTGTGCGTGCTTGCGTGTGTAAAAGTGAGCATGGAGGTTAGAGATAAGGAGAACGATCGCTGTAGAAAATAGTGTCCCAGAAATATGGACAAAATAAGAGAGGCGCTGCGATTGCTAAGTTGTCTCAATAAAGCAGGCTAATTTAAAAAATGACCAATAACACGAAGAAAATTTGTACAATATTCAACTAACTTCATCTATTTGTACTCATAAACAGCTAACTTCACAGATACTACTTACCGACGGCAGCGCGGCTGGTGACTGAAAAATGAACTATAAATCCTACATATTTTCATGGCCAGGCGGGCTAATGCTTTAGTACGTAGCGATCGTTCTCCTTCTCTCTAACCACACGCATGGATGTGAGGATAAAATGATATGTGTAAGATAATAATGAATATAGTCACCTATAGGCGTGCTTCCGGTAAAAGCCAGTTTTCTGACTAACGGATGGTCACAAAGTGCTTGCCCCGCCACAGTTCCGCTTCCGGGCAACACGTTGATCACGCCCGCGGGGATTCCCGCCTTTATTGACAACTCGGCAAATTTCAGAGCGGTCAGCGGACATACCTGCGTGGGGAAATGCAAGTCTCAGTGTTGTGCTTTGTTTGCAAATATCGGAAGGTAATACTTTTTTAATGCTTAATAGGCAAGGCGTCTGACCACAATCTCGCCTGATAGAAAGCGATGATGAGGCCTAACATGGAACAACACGCCTGCCCAGAAGATAATCCACCAAATAGAAAATAAAAAAAAAACACACACATCAATAAGCCCCAAAGTAAGCACTGTAGGTAACTGGTATGGTATAATAAATAATAATGATTATAATCATAAAAAAAATATTAGATAAATAATTATTTATGTAATCTCACCGCAGCAGGTTTGATGACGACAGTGTTGCCAGCCGCGAGACAGGTGGCCATCTTCCACGACAGCATCATGAGCGGGTAGTTCCACGGTGTTATTATACCGCACACGCCGATCGGTTCTCGCTTGGTCAACGTTAGATTTCTAAGGGAAAACACTTAATATTAATTATGAATTAGAATACAGGCAGTCCTCGACTTACGTCCAACAATGTTTAGACACTATTCGTCAAGCATACGTCAATTGTTTCGATTTCCGGCAAAGGAGAATTTACTTGTCGCGAGGTCAATGTCCGTGGAGCCGGCGTCCGTGGGGATGTCTCGGCTTACGTCGCGTATTTCGAGTACCTAACATGCCGTAAGTACGAGGACTGCCTGTATAGTTTATTTTATTTTATAGTAATGTATGATTAAATACGAATCAACTATATGTCTAACTGTATTGTACTCAATTTGGATCTGCGACATGCAGGGGAGTATTTATATTTACCCTAGGCCCAAACCAAGAGGTCTATGGCCCGGGCGGCATGCTGCGAGGCCGGTTGTAATAGCTTGCTAGAAACCTTAAAGGCATTCGTGATTGACCTGTATTTTGATATGATTATTTTATTAATTCTAAGGTGGCGTGCAAATAGTTTAGTTACTCAATCATGCAAAAACTACATGAATATTGGCGCACATATAGTCTATGACCTGCCTCCCTACCATGAGCCCCGCGATATAATATATAGCTCTTTTTTGTCACGCTTAATTGTAAAGTTACTATGGAGTTTGACATTTAGACGCGATATGTATAACGTTTAATGTGGAGCTCATGCTACAGAGACTGGATTGAGAAATACTATACTTTTTATCTCGGAAAACTAAAGTTAACGCGGACGAAGTCGCGGGCGGCCGCTTGTTGTGTATAAAGGTAAAAAAGTAAGTATAACACAATTTGGTGTAGTTCAAAGTGGTGTTTACTTACCTATTAGGTCTAGCGTGGTTAATCGGTATAGTGGTGCCTTGTATCTTATCGCACCATCCAGCGAAGTATCGCCAAGTGTCTATGGACATTCCCACGTGAGTCTTCAGGGCCAGAGTGTATACAGCACCGGAGTCTATGGATTCTATGGTTGCTAACTCCTCCTTGTGTTGCTCCATTAAATCCGCTAACCTATGGAAACATTATTAACTATATAAAATAAGTTTAGCCTACTGATGTTTGAGATGTGGGCCATGGTGGATATACCCCTCGATTAGAGAGCCCTTATAGAGAAGTTCCACCTTACAGAAGTCTTTAGGAAAATAATATGGATGTTTTCAGTTACAGTTTTTGAGGTTTCTCTTACTTTGAGGTCCTATTTTCGAAGTTGCCAGTGGGTCAAATGTTTGTATGAAGAATACACTTTTTTATACATACATTTATTCCACAAAAATATTATTATCTACGTATCATAGTAAAGATATTTCTATCCATTACTCTAGTATCCCAAAACACAAGCCTTATAGTCCTCACTTTGGAGCAAGGCTAATTGAATTAACAAATGAATGAATTATTTCACTCATTTGGTGTGGTTGTAAAAAAATATTTGTTTATAAAGAAACTTTATTTCAACAGATTTTTCTACTTACTTGAATAACAACTGTCCCCTCTCCCTTGCACTAATCTTTGACCATTCGCCTTCTTCGAAGGCCTTCTTAGCAGCTACGACAGCTTTATCTACATCACTAACCGACGCGCATTGCACTTTACAGATCACACTTTCATCACTAGGGTTAACTATGGTCAAGGTTTTACCGCTATCAGTGTTCACGAATTCACCGTTAATAAACAATTGAGTAGGAAATTTAATCTTCATTTTGTTCACTTCCAATTCGAGTCCATCGTAAACTATTTCTTTGGCACCTGACCCGCCTCTTGATTTGAGTACGACTGCTGTGTAGAATTCTTCGAATGTTGTGTTTAAATAAATGTCTTCATTGTAAAGTTCTAGTTGAGCCAAGTCTTTCACTTCTTCTATAAGTCTGACCACGTCCATTGAGCCTGCTCCTGATGCGAAGAAATCTGTGCCTTCCTCGATATCTATTCTCAATATAGCCCTCCATATGTCTCGGACACCGTCGACGAATTGCCTCTCCTCAGGCGTCAGTTCTATTGTGACTTTGTTGTCATTCCTCTTGTAGAAGTTTTGGGCGTTTATCATTTTTCCGTCCACTTTTAACCTTTGAATATTGAGCTGAAAAGAGATAATCTTTTCAGAAATGCGCCAAAATATACTTTAAAAAATAATTTCATTATATATTATTTATTAAAAGTAGCGTTAGAAAAATATAACGGCCCTAGAGACCAACTTACCAAATAACGCTTGTTATGTATGAGTCTGAAGAGGTAAAAAGTAGTTATTAAGCGATACAAAAGCAATGCGTTGAGGCAGTCTTTAAACTTCATAAAACTCTTCTATAATTTAAATTTAATAAGCATTTCATAATACCTTAATCCCATCGTTTGCTGTAATCAGAAGCCCAGCTTCATGTATAACAGCTGGTTTCTCCAAGCCCGGTATGTATACTTTGTCTCCTTCAGCTTCGTACTCCCCCTGCCATAGACTAGAACCGAATAACTTTATCTCTACGGTCGCCTCGCTAGAATCGTCTACGCCATCTCTTGTCTGTGGTTTGATAAATGTGGTAGCTCCCGGTGAAGAATCTAGCCCTCTAATGAAATTGTGTAACTCTACTCCGCCTTTGGAGAAGTCAATCTGTGGGAATACGAATATTTTCTTAACAGTTTTAGGTAATTCTGTTCAACAAACCTACCTATATCTTCTTTAACAATCAAGTAGTCAACTTGTTAGTTCAAACAAGATCTTTTTTAGAATATTGACATTCGTATTTACGTATCCCTAACTATTCAAAACTAACAAATTAAATAATACAGTAATATCATATTGTTCATTTTGTGCTTCATAAAATATAGCTATGATATTTGCGAGTTAGTAATATTTTCTTTAGATATAAAAAAACTAGCAGTTTAGTGACTAAAATAAAACGGTTTTTATTTATTTATAAATAAGATATCATATATTATTACATTGTGCGTTTCTGGTTTGAATAGGGCAGGATCGTAGGTGGCGCCCTCTTCAGTTTGTGCGATTCTTGGTGCGGTTCCATTCGCCACCATGTTTACGGACTCGGCCAAAGCTCTTATACCTGTTTTGAAGCAATGTAATTTATCGCATCATTATAGGAATAAAGCATAAATATTTTGTGCATTTTTGAGACGGAAAACTATTTTGTTCTTCATAAAAAAAGTTATCAAGACTAGCACATGCCAAGTTACCAACACAATTCAAATGTTTGGCCGTAAAGGAAGCTTTGAAATTAAATTAAAATAATTATGTGCACATACGCCCATGTGCCCACGATTTTGTCTGCATAGAAAAAATAGTTTCCCATACAAACTGATGATATCTCTGTTCACGTAAATTCTTTCCCGGAATACTAACATGAAATTTGATCCAATTCAGCGATTTAAGCGTGAAGAGAAGAGGTAACAGATAGACAGATTGGTAAATTATCTTATTTGATAAGAAGCAAGTTCTTTATCTAGAAGTTTTTAAAGAGACATAGGGCAAAGCGGATTTGCCGATCGAATTGGAGTGCCCGGTTGAGGAAGTAACCTCCACCTTATAGAAGACCACAGTAAAATAACTCTAGGTTCTTTTTAGTTGTGTTTCTGTCGGTGAATAAGGTTCCAGGGCTTCACGAGGTAAGGAATAAATATTTATGGTATCGTAATCGTCTATAGGCTATGGTAGCCGCTTACCATCAGGCGGGCCATATGCTTGTTACATTGTGGGTTACCTACAATGCCAAGAGATGGCGCTGCCTTGCAGACTAAGAAATACATATACTAGACGAAATTCGACATGTTCATTAAGGTCCCGGTGGCATAATTGGTCAGTGCATCCGCCCGGATAGCGGAGGATGCGGGTTCGAGTCCCATCTGCTGCTTGGACCGGATGGAATTTTTTCTAGTAAAATTTTCTTTAGATTTATAAAGCCAGCAGTAAAATGTTTAAAAAAGTATAAGAAACTAAAAAAATGTTCCTTAGCTAACAAATCATGCTTTCTACCCGTTTAAAAATAAAAGAATACCCCTCGTACTCACCCTCCGGGTACAAATACTTGTTGTATATGGAGTCCACGGTATCGTCCACAGTGACCGGGAAGCTCTTCTGCAGCAGTATTGGGCCCGTGTCGAGCCCGTCATCCGCCCAGAATATGGACAGGCCGCAAGTGGTGTCGCCCTCTATTAAAGTCCTGGGGAGATGGAATTCCTATTTTATAAAGGTACAGCCACCACGGACAAGGCTGGATTTAAGTCAGGGCAGGCGAAACTGTGGCCCACAATAGAGATAAAAAAAATTGGTTGTCTGTAAAGTCGGTATATGGATGATAATTTTACGTGATACCGTGTCGTTCGCTGTTTTCATCGAGACAGTTTTGTGGGGCGTTTTGTTCCGGTTCGTTTAAACTCAAGCACGCCTCTGTAGCTCTATGGGGCCCTGAGTTAGGCTCAGCGAGGGTTTTATTCGACGGGAGGGAGAAGGGGTCAGGGGAGGAGTCGATGGAATGCCTCTACCTCACCACACACACCGTGGAACGTTTAATTAACTTGTCATGACGTCACACTTTTTCGTGCGTGCAGCCGGTGTTTAACGATTTATAAGACGTTATCACGTCATCAACTAATTTTGATAGCACGAACCAGGGGATTGCAAATCGTAAGTGGCAAATACATCACACGTTAAGGGGGAGGGAGGGGGTCGACGAAGTGTGACATTGTGTGACAAGGGGTGGTGGGAGGGATCCTAAGTTTCGTGACGTCACATTTCAAAATTTAATACCTACTTTTGAACTATTATCTAAAATCTTGAAAATATGTAGATCTCTATCTGTATGGGATTTCATTTGTTTTTGTTTTTTTTTAACGGAACTGCTGTATTAATAATAATTTCTAAATTCAAAATAGCAAAATATGTGACGCCACTCTAGCTAAGGAGGGGGGGGCTCACAAATGAGACCAACTGTGACAAGGACGGGGGAGAGGTAAAAAAAACCCAAATTAGGTGACGTACTTTATGGATGGCCCCTAGGAGCCCCCACTCCTTTGTTGCCTAGGGGCCTCCACACACGCCACACCTCTAAGTCTGAACCTGACCACGGAATACCTACACAAAAAGATGTGTGACGCGTGAAAGCGTTCGAAATAGTGCTCTATTTTTTACTTTATACTATTTTTTCGACGAAGATTTTTTTATACTGTATAAAAGAGATGTGAAACTACTAAATAAAAATATAAAAAAACATGCATATTCCTTATTGCGAAGCTCCTTGACCTTACAGCAGATAATGTTGTAACACGCGATTATGATATTGTTTAATTTAACATCAGCTGATTGGTCATACATAGCCATTTAGCAAGCAGCAGTGATAATACAATTTTATTAATATATATAATACCTACACATATTGTAAGATTGTCTGATTAAAATATGTTTTAAATAATAATAACAAATTTTATTTTTGAGTGATGTAACGTAATATCTTAATGTTGTGGAACAGTTGTATTTTTTGCTCATTATTGATTGTTTATGATGAAAATTATTAGCAATAACACAGTGGATTTTCCACTTGACTTGAAGCACCGTTTCGGGAAGTCACCTTCACCTTACAAAAAACTGTATACAGGTTGGTCCAACAAGTGACGTCAACAATTTTTTATTAGATTCCTCGCACCTGGGGGTGTCCGAAAATACCCCATGTATGTTCTGAGATTTTTCTTAGTTTTCGAGTTATATTTATTTTATTGTTTTAAACTTTCATGGTCACTAACATTATAGCTATTAACGGGATTGTTACCATGTACCTTGTTTTTTATGAGTCTCCGATATTTCGGCACTGTTGCAAGCGCCATGATCACGGAGTAACTGAAGTAATTGCGGGTAGGTGTTATTGGCAGACATATCGGTGTACCCTCTGACGTCGTCTTTTACTGCGCTCGATACCCCTACCATTGGTCACATTCTCACTATTCACTCGCACCTGTTCCCGACACACAATGCTCACAGTATCAGATCGCGGAACGACACTTTTTTAATTTTTGCGGTTTTTACACATACGAACCACTGGATTCCAGACACTTGACAATTTAAACCCATCCTCACGATTGAAATTTTTGTGTTTGGTTATTTCAATCGCTTCCTTGACCAATCTTGGTATGTAGTGGCGTTCTGTCGAGATGATTTGTGGATTACGGAGCTCAATCCAGTGATTGGGACCCGAATCGATTAAATGTTCCGCGATAGCTGTCTTCGGTCTTCTTCCATCCCATATGTGAAATGCATTTTGGTATGGACTCCATTTAAATTTGTGGTAGTTCATATATTGGCCAAACGAAGAGGACAATAGCGTGCCGAATGAAAGAGCACATAAAAGCAGTCGGAAACAATGATACGCAGAAATCAGCTATCGCGGAACATTTAATCGATTCGGGTCCCAATCACTGGATTGAGCTCCATAATCCACAAATCATCTCGACAGAACGCCACTACATACCAAGATTGGTCAGGGAAGCGATTGAAATAACCAAACACAAAAATTTCAATCGTGAGGATGGGTTTAAATTGTCAAGTGTCTGGAATCCAGTGGTTCGTATGTGCAAAAACCGCAAAAATCAAAAAAGTGTCGTTCCGCGATCTGATACTGTGAGCATTGTGTGTCGGGAACAGGTGCGAGTGAATAGTGAGAATGTGACCAACGGTAGGGGTATCGAGCCCAGTAAAAGACGACGTCAGAGGGTACACCGATATGTCTGCCAATAACACCTACCCGCAATTACTTCAGTTACTCCGTGATCATGGCGCTTGCAACAGTGTCGAAATATCGGAGACTCATAAAAAACAAGGTACATGGTAACAATCCCGTTAATAGCTATAATATATTTATTTTGTGTATTTTTTATGATTTCTGCCACCCTTTATAATCAAATATACTGCTTTTAGTGTTCGGATCCTGAAGTAAGTTTTCCGAAACTCTATCCCTCTTATTAATAAATGAAGAATACGCTTGGATTAGTTACTCCATGTTTTTTCTCTGTTTATTGAATGACATAAACAAAACACGGCGTAACTAGTCTAAGGGCGCTTTCAATTTATGCGTTTCTTGATGGCCTGCTGCCGTGCCGAAGCGGTGCGTTTGACGTACAGCGTACGGACGATCCTTTTTTTTTCATACAAATTGAAAGCGCCCTAAGCTTATTTATTGTTTATTAATAAGGGGGTATGGGTGTTGATGAGGACAGCGTAATAGGCAATAGCAGACGAATTGTACTCTCTGGTATCGGTACCGTCTATAGTCTACGGTGACGTAGCTTACAGACTCGCGCTGTTGTCTATACCCTAATCCAATCCCCTACCCCGTGGAGCCCTGGAACCTTACTCACCGACAGATACACATCACCACCAAAAGGTAGTGTAATTTACTGTGATCTTATGTAAGGTGGAGTATTCGTCCCCAGACGGGCGCTCCAATTCGGGCGGGAAATCAGCTTTGTATGCCTATGCTTTTTAGTAATTTCTATTCCTTACGAATAAGGAAAACTATATACCTATTATCTTTCCCACTATGTCAACCAGCTACAAATATTTAGTTAATAAATATAATGAAAACAACATTTACCAGTTAATAGAAGATGCTCCTCTATGCCTTGGCAGTATGCTGGGATGGTAGCAGATACTCTCATACTTCGGGTGTAGTATCACTTCCATTGGGATGAACTGGGTGCAGAATGGTAGCACATTGATGTCGGCATTCACCTAGAAGGAAATGTTTTGGATAAACTTTAATGTATGAAACTCATTCTAACTAATATCATAAATGCGAGAGTGAGTTTGTTCCTTTGCAAAAAATACGCATATAGTTTATCACCTGGATTGAGACAAAGGTTACGTTTTATCCTGGAAAAATATTAGTTTTGTGTGGGATTCTAAAAAAAAGTCGCGTATAAATAGAAGTCGTGGGAAGCCGCTAGTTCTTTTTATAACAATGGGCGGTTAACCAGCATTCCATTTCACCGATATATTTTATGATTAATATAATTGAAAATTAACTTTCTTAAAAAACGTTGCTATCAATGATATAATATTACTTCATTTGGCTTCTTTCAGCCTCTTAAGGTGAGATTTAATGGCCTGCGCATACGACGGACTTTTGTCCGCGTATTATGAAAAATTGTTCGCCGAGATTTGTCACGGATTCAAATCACACGGTGTGCGGGACATTTGTCCCCCGAAAATTTAGTGAGGCACACAATATTCTGAGATATCGTTGTGTTGTAATTTTATTATCATGAAGTTTAAGAAAAAGAGAAAACTTTATTTGTATTGTTGAGATTATTTATTATGCTTTCACTATAATATGGAATAAAACTATGATTCACGTTCTCTCTGAACGATAATTTTATTAAATATATTTTCAAGTGTAAAGCGATGCAAAACATACGAACAACTTATGTTGAATTAATCACTAAAATCAATTAAAACACAAAAAAACAAAAGCTAAGCTCAAAAGACATGAAACTAAGCCACAATAAAAAAAAGATTACATAATTTTAGGTTTTTAATTCCAGACGTCTAATTCTAATTGAGAAGGGTTGTCTACAACCCTTCTCAATTATTTGATAAATCCGTTAAGAATATTTTATTTGCATTTCTAATGATGAAATCAATAGAGGCTAAAGAATTCCTTCAACAAATACTTCGCCATTGTCCTTTCGATCGTGATACTCTTTTTTGGATGAATCATATAAAGGAGTTCTTTTTTCCAATTCTTTACCACAAACATTACTATTGAGAGCGCACCGCGGACTACAGTCCGTCGTGCGTCACTTTGCCGCCTCTTGTCATATATGTTCTATTGTTTATGGCGGTCTCTCGCGTACTTTTGTCCCTCGGGTTCTGCAGTAGTTCGGGGGACCTTTGCCCGCGGAGGACTTAACCGCCGTAAGTGTTCCTCGATGCTGTTGTAAGCGATTAATGACGGCGGACAAGTCCCGGCTATTAAGCTCCCTTGGAATGGTCGCTAGTGGATTCTCACAACAATGACTCGGTACTGTAACTATCATTAGTTTATTCATATAAGAGGCCTTTAAATGAACCTGAGCTCTTGTTATGTTTTTAAGCAGCGGTGATAATACGATCAATGGGTTATCGGCTCCCCGATTCATAATAATAATTAGATATAGTAATAAATAAGCACAACGATATCGGTGTCGCTCAATGGAGGCGTGATACCTCGTTGTATTCTGGCAGTGCAAAGTACTTTATATACATACTAGCTGACCCAGCGAACTTCGTACCGCCCTAAAAAAAATAGGGGTTGTCCAGCGGACAAAATTGTGAATCTAAACCATTCTCAGTTCCCCTTGAACACACACCAAAAAAATTCATCAAAATCGGTCCAGTCGTTTAAGAGAAGTTCAGTGACATACACACTCACAGAAGAATTATATATATAAAGATGTCGGAGAATGATTATATACATCGAATTTTATTTATTTATTAACATCAATAAGATTAACACCAACTCATTATTCAGTAACTTACAAACAATGTGGAAGCGGACTAAGTGCAATCTTAATTATGGATGTTACACAATAGCACTGTTAAGCAATAATATCGCATAACAAAATCACATTAATTAAAAATCTTCTATTGATGTGAAATAATTAGTAGTAAAATATAAAAAAATATAATTACACTAAAATTAAAAACATTTTTATTAAAATTAAATCATTATTTGGTTGAACGTCAGAAAATATTGTAAAGTAATGGAAATTGATGTTATAATAATTAAAATTAAACATAATAAACATTTACAGTCACCAGCAAATACCTACGTCAAATCTAGTATTTTTTTTACATTATTTTGGAAATATTTAAGAGAATTAGAGAAAATATCAACATCAATTAATTGTGCATCATGCTAATGAGCATGCTGTGGTAATCCACATTTGATTCTACTAGAATAATCTCGAAAATTTTAGGGATTTTGCGAAAACGCGGTGTAATAATTACACAGTGGCGTGATAAAGAACTTTTTTTGTAGCCCAGCGCGCGTTTAAATATAGTAACTAATGTAGTACAAACCGGAATCAGTTTTATCTGCATAAATATGAATGGTCGTTTTCTTTAACCGTGTGTTCACATAATTAGTACGTATACCAGGAATTCCTTAGGTACTTTACCAACTTGTTTCTTTACAATTAAAGGTAAGTAGCAATTTCCGTAATTGCGGTTCCGAGAGAAGCATTTAAATTTTAAAAAGGCACGAACGCAACTTAATTTCCTGATGTAAAGACGCATTACCCTAGTTTAAACCAAGTATCTCTTCTTCGTACATGTTTATGTGGTAGCTTGTCAATAGCTTTAGGCTTTAGTATTGTTTTTTGCTGTTATTTTTAAGTTCACAAACTGTGAGCTGCCCTAAGATATTAAATAAAACGCAGTATATATATAAATCAAAGTACAGACTTATACGTTAAGTATCTTTCACAGCATAAACAGAGTTAAAAACAACAGACAAGCTCTGACCATACTACATCTGTCCGGATAGTGTAGGGTTCAGGTCCGAGCCCGTCTGCTATCTGGAGTGCGTAATTTTTTTCTAATAATATTATCTTTTGATTTGAAAACCTAGACAAGTCATTTTGGACACATAGGTACACCAGAATTTGGCCAAGTTCAGAGGAAGCCATCACCGAAGAAATCAAATCGAAATAAAAACAATTTTATTAGATTTATTGCTAGTACCTATGTATAAATACAATTAATAAAAAAAACTGGATTATTAAGTTTGGTTTATCAAGTAATTTTTTTTGTATGATGTAGGTACAGTAAAAGCAGAGAAGTTAGAAAATAAAGCCCAAGCAGATCAAAAGAAATACATAGAATTCGAAAGTGTACCTACCTAATGTTGACAATTGATAGCAAGGTCAGAAGTTAGTAGTTCTGCTCAAAATGGGTGCTGCATGCCTTTGTGGCATGACATATTAACATACTTACATCACATGTAGATACAGAAATAAACTAGATTTAAACATCTAGCAGTTAAATGCTTAAAAAATAAAACTATATAATACTAAATTCACTTTATTATGTAGGTATAATTTAATTAAGTTTCAATATATTATGTTTAATTAGTTAATATAACTTGTATCATGTTCATTCCATTTATAAAAAGTTTTATAAATGTTTCTCTCATCAATCGAAGAAAAAGAGATAATAGATTATTGTTTAGGTACTAATAATATATATATCAATTGCTTGGGTTTTAGGATATTTTATAAAATCTTGAATTAAACTTTAAATGCATCATGAAATAAGTTGGTTGGTATGTATGTTTAATTCGAATGAAGAATAAATTATGTACGACAGTATGTGCAATATAACTTGCAAATCCGCACTTGTATGTAAAGAATTAGGAAAAATATATATGTATTAGTTATTTATTAAACGACTTACCATTATTGGTATTGTATAAGACAACTTTCCTGAAGTCTTTTTTGATCTGCCCCAGTAAATGTTCTATGTAAAATTAAAAATTTTACTTACAGATTTATACTCTTCAAGTATCTCTGGTATGATTTTTCCTTTCACACGCCAGGTCTTGTATTTGTAGACAGGCACACCATTCTGTGCAGCAGTTGTAGCTGAAACAGAATGCATTAACATAATAAGAGATTGCTGAATCATCTTGTTTATAATAATCCTAGTGGCTGCCCGCAACTTCGTACAAGTGGAGTTAGTTAGAAATAAAGGTTCACTGCTTGTTCCCCATAGGTGATAACGTGATAATATGTAGTCTATATGTTGACCTGACCTACTTTATCCCAGACATACATACAGAAAAACAGTCAAAAAATCTAAAAACTATATTTTTGGCTTTGGTATCGATTGTAGATCACACTCAAGTATTCTTTTAAAAAAATATTTTAATGTATGGTTTTGACTTTCCTACCATTTTATTATATGTATAGAGATGTTCATATTCTTATTTTTCTATTTGGCTGTAAGGACAAACATATTGACAAGATAATAGTATGCACCCTGGCAAACTTCCCAAGCATTGACCACTGACAAGGAAGCCTGCGCAGTAGCAGTACTACCTATACCATTCATTTGAACATTACAGTGAAATACTCAAGTAAAAGCTCTAGTTATACACTAGAGCATTTACTTGAGCATCTTTAGGGATATTAATTTAAAAAAAGAAAATATGAAATACATACCAAGTGGATCCTCTCGGTTGCCTTTATCAAGTACAGTAAATACTCCAGCGATGACATGACCATCTTTAACCAAAAGTTTAAACACTTCTGCAGCAAAAGTGCTTTGACCTATGATAGCCACTCGCAACTTTTTCCTTGGAGCCTATAAAAAAATAAACGAAGGTTTTTTTTACAATTAAAGAAAAAAGAAAGGTTTAATAAAAAAGATCAAATTATACTTATTATTTTATGTTTTTTTTGGAATACTTACATCTTCGTTTATGGATACTGGAGGCATAATTATTAATTAAAGCCAAAATTACAACACTTTCATATCAGACCCCAGTACTAAGCGAGTGGAGCAAAGTTGAACTAACTAGAATTAAACAGTTTGCAGCTATATAAACGAAATTTGTTGACCTTGACACTACTATCAATACATAACTGATAATTTAACGAGTAAAGACGATACTTAACTTAATAAAATAAAACTATATTATGGGCCAAGATTTTTGTTTTGATACGTAAACGTCATTGAGGGAAATAGATTTGGCGCCAAAAATTCATGATGACGTTCATAATGTCAATGTCAAATTGTTAACATTTTCTAGCTTCAAACGATTACCTTTCTAGCACTTTTGCTCTTTCATGCACGATTCATAAATTCTTACCCAATAATTATTAGCAATAGATATTTAAAATTATAAAATACATTATTAAATAATCTTTCGATGCTTGTAACCTAAAGATAAATAAGCAGAAGGTATTTTTTCCTGTTGTTGTAACCATATTTTATCAACTCATGTAAACAATTTACTATTATTTTCGGTGTCAACATTTTAACCAGTTGCAATACCCAGTTTAAACTAGTTTTGAACATTATCTGTTGGGGTCAAGAAATGGTCAAGAATATTATTATAGCATAACGTAAGTATTATGTTTATTGCTTAAATACAGCGATATTTGCGACACTGCAAATGCGTGATTTAAAAGTTTCCATTGGAGTGCGTTTTTGTTTCAAAATTGCTTACAAAGGATCAAAACTTTTGGAAGGAGCTGGCTTAATGTACTAAGTGCGGAGTCTACGTGAGGATTCACCCAGTTTAATGTTAAGGGTGGTAAAGTCCAGACACGGAGACAACTGGGCTGATGCAGTAAATACGTACGTACTGTGTACCTACATACTATTGTATCAACTATTCTCACCTTGGCGCGATGGCGGCCTGCACAAATGCTTCTTCACGCTACTTTTGAAGGATTATATGAAGGAGGGAACATGTGTGCGACCAAAGAATTATTGCACTTGCGAATAGTACGACAAAGAAAATATCTTTGTTTATGTAGCAATCGTTATCAATGTAAGTCGGAGGAAAGGGGAAAGTGGGTTAAGAGAGTAAATCTCCTCAGCACACACCGTGGTAAAGTTAAAAGAACGCACTTAATGATGCTTCAACAAGTGGTTATTGTAAAGACTCGAGGTTGTTAATCACATCAACCGAAATGTGGCGCAAAACTCGGATGAGCTCAACGACAAGATTCTTTCATTTCTCATTAGTTTCTTTCTGTCCAGCTATTGCACGTCCAAAATATTCCTCATACATTGTACTATCGTTTGTATAGCAAATTTAATAATATAAAGAGAAATCCTATGGAAAAGTAATGTGTCGCGGATAAGACGGAACCCTGAGGTATACCGATATTTGTTTGTACATGAACGGCGAACTACATCCATCCGTAAGGATGCCACTTCTACGCTCCTGCAGGAAGTAGCCACCCAGGCAAAGAACTGAGCCGGCAGGCCGTGTTCAGGAAGCTTGGAGAGCAGACTTATGCCAGATCCTGTTAAAAGTTTTGCGATGAAAATGGGGAAAAAAGTATTTCATTCCCATTACGATCTCCTTAGTAATAGCATCAGTACTTGGTTGATAGGTGCTTCTCACAGAAGCAGTGCTGCTTGCAAGGGACGGACACAAAGTAGTCATGCATACCATTTCAATCTATCGGCCCTTAGTGCCAGACCCAGCATTTGACCATTTGGCAGATAACAGGTAATGATTTGATTAACCCATTGGGTCTCGCACCGCAACACGATAACCTAGCGGATGAGTCGTGAGCAGAAGTTCCAGGAAAGGTGCTTGACTCGACATATTTGGCATTCTGGTGGGCTGATCGAACAGTAACATCACATCAAGCAAAAAGGGCGGGGGATGGTCAAACAAGAATCTTGCTTGATGATCACCTACTCTCAGTATCTGCCCGATACTGGGTTTGGCGAACGGGTTAGGGAGTAGCGCAAGTCGCAAGGATCCCTTAATCAAGGCCAGAGGACTATCCTTCACGAGGTTGCCGCCCGTTTTTGGTCAAATACCTTCTGTAATTGACGTAACAGAAACCTCTGGTCGGACCACAAAATCCCGCATAGCCGAACCCTTGGCGCATATCCACACCCGGGTTCACATGGCCTAGGGGCACTAAATACCCCCTAAAACATTGTACCACACACCCTTGGGCAGGAGTCGTGTGCGTTATTTGGCATTTCCCGCCAAAGCCCCAAACATTAAAATGAGTGCTGATAAAAAGATTACAGTACCCCAGGAGGGTATCGCGATTCGCGAGGAATCCCTCACCAAGCCTGGCTTGGTCTGTCCCGCGTATTCTGGGGGGGACAACCAGCGCTCAGGGAAGGGCACAAGCCTGGACCTGTCTGGCCTAGCTGAGTCCATAACTTCAGCTACACCAAGCTCAACAAGTAACACAACACCCACACTTACACAGTGGACTGTGACCGCCCATAAGCGCAAAATGCGGCGGCCACCCATAAACACGCAAACAAAGGTTCGCAGGGCCAAACAGAACGCAGTCGCCCCAACAGGCGCGCGAGAAGGGAAGCCCTGCAGCCCAAAACTAAAACAGACAGCACACAGGCGGTCACCGCAGCAGTAGAAACACAGCGCGAGCCTGAAGAAATACAGGGGGCCGACAAAACAAACACACACAAGAACCACGACGGAGACCGAAACTGAGGGGTGATCGTGGTCGGCGGATCGCTGCGCAGGCTTCCACTGCTCCTAAAAAAGAGCAGCCTGGGGATGCGTGTGGCTCGGGCGAGGCAGCTTCTACGAAGCGGCCACGCCTCGACGACACGCAGTCTCCAAGGGGGGACGCCAAACGCGCGAAAACCGACGCGAAGACGAAGCGGGCGGTGAGCTACGCAGATGCGAGTAAATCGCATCTGAGAGTAGCGGTCACCACCGTCCCGCCGAGGGACCTCTCGGCTGAGCAGGCGGAACAGCTGAAGGAGACCATCGATGCTGGGATCCTGCAGGCAGTTCTGACTCCGCAGTCTCCAGATGCGCAGTCTCCATCTTTCTGCGGGCGACCCTTCCTGTCGGACGGGGTGCTAGCGATGCGGTGAGAGGATGAAAACGCACTCAAGTGGCTTGAGCAAATGGTGAAAACCATCCAGTCACCCATACCAAACACCACATTAACGGTCATAAGGCTGTCGGATGTGAAGAAGAAACTCAGAGCTGGGCTTCTTTTCCACACTCGCATCACTGAGTCTGCCACACTGCAGAAACTCCTTTGTGCCCAGAACCCCTGGTACAAGGTCGAGTCCTGGCAGTGCTACGACATGACCGTCGATGACAAACCGGAGAGCAGCTCTAAGGAGAAGGTGGTCCACCTGATCCTTGGAATCCCCGAGGACCAAAAACCAGAAATACTGGACAGGGAACGCCGTGTTGCACACATTTCTGGCAGCGGATACATCCGCTTTTTCGCGACAGACGAAGCAACAGTGGTTGACCCGACAGTAGCGACACCGAGTGCTACTACAGAGCAGGAAGGCGCTGCGATCCCGACACCTACCACCTCAGCTCCTCAACCGGGTACGAGCGAGATGGAAGAGGAAGCAGGCCTGAGCTCTGAGGACAGCGTTAGCGACGAAGATGGCGTCCTTCGCAGTCCCTAGTAGCACCATCACTATAATCCAGACCAATCTCCAGCACAAGCAGAAAGCGGCGGCCACACTACGCAGAGTGCTGGAGACAAACAACATGACCGTCGCCCTGATTCAGGAACCCTGGATCAGAAATAATAGGATTTGCGGTCTGAACAACATCGATGGTAAGTTACTTTTAAACACATTTATCGATAAACCAAGGACATGTATTTTTACACCCAAGTCTATAAAAACAACCATGCTTAACCAATTCTGTTCTAGAGACCTCACAGCTGTGACGATCCCCACAGATAATCAAACAGTCCTGGTACTAGCTCCAGTCTACATGCCGAATGAGGGGGAAATTCCTCCGAGGGAGCTGACCGAGCTGGTACGACACTGCGAGGTCCACAAATGGGAGCTGATTGTAGCGGCTGACTGCAACGCACATCACTCACTGTGGGTAAGTAAGGACACAAACAATAGGGGTGAGTTATTAACTGAATACTTATTCCAAACCAACCTTAACATCATGAACATTGGGACGGAGCCCACATTTGTTAGCTCTAGGTACCAAACTATCATAGATATAACACTAGCGACACACGCGGTGGCCAACCTAATCGAAGAATGGCACGTGTCAAACGAACCCTCCTTTGCATACCACCGTAGAATATGTTTCCAATTACAGTACAGACAAATAGACCCTGTTCCATATCGCAACCCCCGAAAAACAGATATAGCAAGGTACATAGAACTGATAACTAAAACACTAAGCGAGATGCAAATACATGATGAAATTCTTGACATAAACAACATAGAAACAAACATACAGTTCTACACTTCAGCACTTATTAAAAGCTACGAACTGACATGTCCTACCATCGTACCGAAAGGCCTGGGTAAAAGTTCCTGGTGGGGGCCAGAACTTGAAAGACTACGTAAGGAACTCAGGACACTTTTCAATCGAGCGAAATATACCAGAATCAATGAGGACTGGGACAGATATAAAAAAGCACAAAAACACTACAAGAAGCGGATCAGATTCCGGAGTAGGGAAGGATGGCGCGGCTTCTGTAGTAGTGTCAATTCAACAAATCAAGCTGCCAGACTCAAGAAAGTTCTGTCCAAGGACAACTCCAACCTCCTTGGGTCTCTGAAAAAGGAGGACGGCACTTATACAAAAACAGAAGAAGAAGCCCTGCGGTGCTACTGGAAACCCACTTCCCAGGATGTCAACTGGCGCCTGGCTTTGAGTGGTCGACTGAGCACCACAAAGCACCAATAACCCAGGAATGGGACTTGGCAAAAACAATAGTAACGGCGGAAAAGATAGAATGGGTTCTAAAAAGCTT